TTTGTAAAAAGACAAAATGTATGATTGTCAGAAGAAGGAGCAGCTCAAGATACGAACTATGAATTGGAGACACCAAAATCAAACAAGTATAAAAATTTAAATATCTGGGAATTGTTTTAACAGAGTACAGAAAATACGACAGCGAAATCTGAAGATTCATTGGAATAGCGGAAAATGCCTTCCAGAAGCTAAACGAAATATTAAGAAACAAGAAAATTTCGTAAGAAACAAAGAAAGAGTACTGGACTGTTATGCAATATCGGCCTACCTGTATGGCATTGAATAGTGGACAATCTCCTCACAGAGAAATGAAGCAACAGAAATGTAATTCTACAGAAGGATGCTGAGAATACCATGGACTGAACATATAAGCGACGACGAAGTTTTAGAGAAAAAATTTACGCATACGTTAAAACAGAAAGAGACAGTTCAAATTTCTAGATTGCATAATGAGAAAAGAAGACTTGGAGAATTTGATACTCATAGGAAATATTGATGACAACAGGGACAGTGGAAAGCAGTGAATAACCTTTCCTAGTGGGGGCTTGTGTTGGCAGAACAGGGATGTGAAGAGATAGCAAAAGACAAACTTTATTAAAAGCTACAAATATATCTATAGATGAATACGAATTGGGATCAAATACAAATCAAATATGGATCAGAATTCAATAGAATGATAGGATAAAGAACAAATAAGGAAAGTTTATCAATCAAAAATATTTCACTTTTATTAAAGCTTCATCAGAGAATGAGATATGGAAAAAAAAATTTCTAGTATTTTTATTTGTGTCTGGTTTGATTTTAATTGGTTAAGCAGGCTTCATGTGTATATGATTTGTTAAGCAGTGTTCATGTAATTTATTGCTTTCTGAACTAAAGGAGATATGAAGAGTCCATTCAAAGTTTCCAAAAAATTGGATTCTGAGCCTTACTGAAAATATTGTAAAGCCTTATTGTAAATGTATCATAATTCTAGTTTATGTACGGTGTGTGCGTAGCAGACATATATATTTGGTGGTTGTATGCATGTTGACTTGAGGAGGTTTTTACATAAAAACTGGTAGATAAACATACATAAGATTCTTTAAGAATAGATTAAATAAAGGCTGGTGACGTTATAGTGTTTTTGATGTGTACAATATTTATCAGAATTTCCTCAAAGTACTTTAAACATAAAAAATGTTTTTTTTTTAATAAATGTAGGATTTATAAAATCAAAATTATGGCCAGTTTTGATCCTATGTATTATGAGTGAGTATAAAGTGTTGTACCAACTTCAATCTTTTATATATATATATATAGATAGATAGATAGATAGATAGATAGATAGATAGATGTGTGTGTGTGTGTACAAGAAATGATTCTTTTTATAGACATATGAAAATCAACAGAATTTACTTAAGATTTTAATTCAATGGAAGTATGAAAATCAGCATAATTTATATTAGATTTTGATGCTTTTTATACAAAAATAAGAAAATCAACAGAATTTACTTTAGATTTTGATTCTATTTCAATAAAAAATTATAATATTTTCATAGAGAAATGTAGAAATATCATGAATTTACTTTAAATTTTCATTCTTTTTATGTAGAAATATGAAAATCAATTGAAGTTACTTTAGATCTTGATACTTTTTATAGATAAATATGAAAATCATCTGAATTTAGATTTTGATTCTTTTTCAAGGAAAATAGGAACATCAACAGAATTTAATTTAGAATTTGATTCTTTTTATATAAATTTATGAAAATTTGATTTCGATTTTGTTACTTTTTCAAAGAAATATGAAAATCAGCTGAATTTTACTTCAGATTTTGATTCTATTTCAATAAAAAATATGAAAAGAAGCTAAATTTCCTCAAGATTTTTATTTTTAGCAATATAAAAATAAGAAATGCAGCTAAAATCACTTTAGATTTTTATTTGTTCTGTCAATACAAATATGAAAATCTAATATTAACATTAGATTTTGATTCTTTTTCAATAAGAATATGAAAGTTCACTGAATTTTACTTCACTAAATAGAGTAATGTGAAAATCAATTGAATTTACTGTATATATTCATTGTTTTTATATAGAAATATAAAAATCAGCTGAAGTTATTTAGATTTTCATACTCTTTTTGGAGAACTGAATTTACTTTAAATTTTGATTCATTTTCAATAAAAATGTACAAAACAGCTGAATAGTATTAAGGTTTTGATGCTTTATCCATAAAAATATGAAAATCAGCTGAATTCACTTTACATTTAAAATCTTTCTGTATAGAAATATGAAAATCAACTGTAGATTATTTTCTTTTCAAAGAAACATTTTAAAAACTGATGAATTTCCCTGAGATTTTTATTCCTTTTATATAGAAATATGAAAATCAGCTAAGTAAACATTAGATATTGTTATTTTATACAAAAATATAAAAGAATCTTAATTTTATTTAAATATTGATTCTTTTTCAATAAAAACATGAAAATCAGCTGAATTTATTTTAGATTTTGCTTTTTTTACATAGAAATATGAAAATCAGATGAATTTGCTTTAGATTTTGAAACATTTTTTGCAAAAATATGAAAATCAGTCACATTTACTTTAGATTTTGATTCTTTTTCAAGAAAAATATTTAAAACTGCCAAATTTCCTTGAGATTTGTTTTCTTTTTCTGTAAATAATAATCTACAGAATTGCTTTAGGATTTTCATTCTTTTTATATAAAAATATTAAAAACATTGAGATTCGATTTTCTTTTTTTCAAAAGAAAATGAAAATCACCTGGACTTCAACAGATTTTCATTATTTTTAAATGCAAAACATGAAAATCAGCTGAATTTGCTTTAGATTTTGCTTCTTTTTCAATGAACATGAAATAATCAGCTGAATTTGCTTTAGATTTTGCTTCTTTTTCAATGAACATGAAATAATCAGCTGAATTTGCTTTAGATTTTCAATGTAAATATGAAAAATATGAATTTAGATTTTGATTCTATTTCAAAAATGAAAATCAGCTGAAATTACTCTAGATTTTTTTCAGGAAACATTTTAGAAACTGCTGAATCTCCTTGAGATTCTTATTCTTTTTCACTAGAAATATGAAAATCAATTAAGTCTATGTTAGATGTTATATTTTTGTTAAAAAAAAAAATTCAGATAATGATTCTTTTTCAATAAAAATATGAAAATCAGCTGAATTTGAGATTTTCATTCATTTCAATAGAAATATATCATCTTAATTAGATTTTTATGTAGAAATATGAAAATCAGCTGAAATTACTTTAGATTTTGATTCATTTATAGAAAATATAAAAATCAGATGAATTTAAAGCAAATTCATGTGATTTTCATATAGCTATATAAAAAGAAACTAAATCAGAAGCAAATTCAGCTGATTTCTATTAAAAAAGAATGAAAATCTAAAGAAAAAACTGTTTACTATCATATTTTTGTATACAAACAATGAAAACCTAATGTAAAATTGGTTAATTTTCACATAACTATAAAATCAAAATGTAAATAAATATTTCTATATAAAAAGAATCAAATTCTAAAGCTAATTCAGCTGATTTTCATATTTCTAGTGAAAAAGAGTCAAAATATAATATACTATGTGATTTTCATATTTCTATACAAAAATTGTCAAAATCTAAAATAAATTCTGCAGTTTCATTTTTCTATCTAAAAAGAAGCAAAATGTAAAGAAAATTAAGGAGATTTTCATATTTTTATTGAAAAATCAAAATTTAATTACTATCAGATTTTATTATTTCTGCACAAAAAGTGACAAAATCTAAAATTCTGCAGTTTCACATTTCTACTTTAAAAGAAAAATGTAAAAATATTAAGTAGATTTTCATATTTTTATCGAAAATGAAACAAAATCTGAAGTACTATCAGTTGATTTTCATATTTCTATACAAAAAGTGTTAAAATGTAAAATAAATTCTGCAGTTTCATATTTCTAAATTAAAAAGAATAAAAATGCAGTCAAGCAGGGAGATTTTCATGTTTTTATTGAAAAAGAATCAAAAGTACTATCATGTCTACCTATAAAGAAAGCATAATGTAAAGAAAGTTAAGTGGATTTTTATTAAACAAAAAAAAAAAAAAAAGATCAAAATCTGAAGTACTACCTAATGATTTTCATATTTCTATACTAAAAGTATCCAAATCTAAAATTAATTCTGCAGTTTCATATTTCTATCTAAAAAAGAAGCAAAATGTAAAGAAAATTAAGGAGATTTTATTTTTATTGAAAAATTATGAAAATCTAAAGTACTATCAGGTGATTTTCATATTTCTATACAAATATGTCAAAATCTAAAAATGAATTCTGCAGTCTCATATTTCTACCTTAGAAGAAGCAAAATGTAAAGAAAATTAATAAAAATAAAAAAATCTAAAATATCATGCCATTTTCATATTTCTATACAAAAAATGCCAAAATCCAAAGTTCCATATGTCTACCTAAAAAAAGCAAAATGTAAAGAAAATTTTCAGGTTTCTTCATAAAAAGAATCAAAATCCAAAGTAAATTTTGCTGATTTTTATTTTATTGCAAAAGAATCAAACTTTAAAGCAAATTCAGTTGATATTCATATTTTTATTGAAAAAGAATCAAGCTTGAATATGTTAACCAAAGTGACAGCTTTGTTTCAAAGGGAAAGCACATTTCTAAAAATAACCCATTACTATGGAAATGACATCATTAAGATTGTAATATGAACTCTGGAAATGACTGGATGTCAGCCACTTTCATAACTGAAAGTTGTTTTATCAGCAAATTTTAATAAAATGTTTTAAAAACGTTTTTCAGTCACAGTGGTGACCACCAGAACAAGGCTTGGATCCATTATGTCAATAGAGAAACTTTTTATGGATAGTGACAGTGACAAAGAAGAATTTCTCAGATTTACCCACACAGATATTGGTGATGTGTGTGACAGTGAGACTGAAAGTGATTCTGACCAAGAAGGGGGAATTTTCAAACCTACACAAGCGGCTACTAGAGTTTTCTTACATTCCTGGACCTACAAATGTTGATCAAGAAGCTAATAAGGTAGACGTTTTTCATCATTTTTTTTTTTTTTTTTTTTCAAATCAGACATGTTATTCAATTTAAATGGTAGTGGAAAATAACTGGTATGTAAATGATGTGAAAACAAAAATGGGTGACACAGCAAAACCCAACTCACAAATTTGAAAAAACATTTGCTTTGAAAAAGTGAAAGCATTTTTGATCTAGCTTTTGTTGATAGGTTTGATAAAGCAACTTTTGTATTCGTCATACTGGACAAGAGATCTTTTATATATGCAAGGCTATCACGATATGAGAAGTAATCACTTTTTATCAATTATGGTCTATTTTTTGTGTTTTCATGTTTATTTTTTTTTTTCCTCAAAATTTATATCTACAGTAAAAAGAATGTCTACATTTTTCTACATCCTTTCATGCAAATACACTGAAAATTTTGTAACAATACTTCTAAAACCCTAAAAGTTACAGTACTAGTAATATACCCACCATTCAAAAACTTACCAAACCCAAAATTAATGTGGATCCAACTCCCAAAATTAGTGCAGAGTTGTAAAGGTTAAACATACACACACACACACATATATATATATATATATATATATATATTACTTCACACTAAAATCCAAAATTACCTCATATGGAGAATAGATCTATTTCAACCAACAAAAACTTTGCCTTACCTTTACTATATATATATATATATATATATATATATATATATATATATATATTAGTAGATATGGGGTTTTAGGTTTCGAAATGTTTTGCCAATATAAGTGTTTTTACATTGCAAGGACTATATGATAAATCCAAGCATCTGTAGTGTTGTTGGATTTATTTTTCCTCCTAATAATATCTCCAATTATCTTGAAGGTAGAGCGAAACACCCTAGTATTACAGATAACTAATTATTTTCAAGTTTAGTAGAAGGAGTGTTATGATTATGAATTTTGTGTTGTTAATGTTACAAACATTATCAGTGGTTTCTAGTTTTGGGGTTTTATGAATTTTTATGCTAATTTTCTAGTGTTGAAAAGGAAATGATGTGGGTAGTGAAGAAGTGTAAATGTTTTTTTTAATGTATTTTCTTCTGCACCTAGGTATTCTGGGCCAAACTTCTAGGAAAGACACCAATAATAGGTAAGTCAAATTTTTGCTTATATAATTTTTTATTAAAAGAAAGAAGCAGTGATTAGTAACTAGTTTGCATAGTTATATAATTTTATGGACATGTAGAGGAAGCTTTTCTTTGGATTTTTTGAGGTAGTTTCCTAATATGTTATGGCATTTTGTAAAAGGGTATCTTTGTGTATAATGATTTGATATCTAAGCAAGCCATAACATTGTTTCCCATATTTATGCTTCATATCCTCTGGATTAAGTCATTGGAATATTTAATGTGTTGGGCTGATAGTGCTGAAGAATAAAGTTAGGAATTTTGCAATTGCTTTAGGCAATTTAGATGAGCATGCATATATAGTGATATAGAAGGGAAAAAAAAAATTTTGATCTGGCGTACTTTAGACCACATAGTGGTTTCCCCTTCAAACACTGCCAGAGGGCACAAAGGCATAAGACATAATTCACACTATCAAAAAAAAAAATAATAAAATAAAATAAATAAATAAAATAAAAACAGAGCATCTATTCAAACAACTGTATCCATACAACATTTAAAGTAATATGAAATTATGCCAGATTAAAAGTAAAATCCATTAATTATGCACACACATGCAGGTAAACATCTGTAGGTATATAATCCAAGTGAATCCTAATAGTATACAATAATAAAACTGATCCACAAAGAGTGCTCAATGTATTTATTAAAACAGAGCATATATAAATTACATACACAGGAATTTAAAACTACTCCATGGTGATGATCTTTTCATCTTGCTAATTTAGTAAGGTGAAATGATCATCACCATGAAGTAATTTTAAATTCTTGTGTATGTAATTAATTAGAAAACAGACAACCTTGAGGGTCCATTGATTATATTTTATATCCCCAGGAAGGTGGGTTTTTCTTTCTGGTTCCTCAGATCACATTTCCAAGCATAAAAAAATGGCTTTAAATTTATGTATTATTTTTATACACTTTTGAAGTGTAGTTTTAAGTTGATGTAAGGTTATAGAGAGAGCGGAAGATGACAGATATGGTCGAAATTAGAGAAGGAAGGGAGAGATAGGAATAATTTTAAATTTATTTTTATTAAAATAGATAAGAGTAAGGGAGGTGGGTAAGGACTAAACATTGACCTATTTAATAAGTCATCTCACAGGAAACAAGACAAAGAGAAGAAAAGATATAAGAAGGCAAATGTGGAAGGAGGGGGTGGGAGGAAAAAGTGGGGAAAGAAGAAAAGGAAAAATAAATTAACATATGTAGGCATATTGCAGTTAATTTAAAAAAACAGATTGATATATTTTGCAGTTAACATTTGACATTAATTTAAAAAATTTAAAAATTAATGAACAAAATAAAATAGGATAAAAAAATATGTTATGTAAGTAGAAGATAAACAAAAAATATTAATATTATTAATAACAACTAAGGAGTAAAAAATTAATAATTAAAATTTCAAATCTTAAATTTATAATTTAAAATTTAAATATAAAACAATCTAAAAAATTTTAAATAGTATTGAAAAGATATAAAGTAATATTGAAAAACATTGAAAAAAATTATATATATATATATATATATATATATATATATGAGAGAGACACATGCACAATAGCACATAAGAGACATTTCTGTCAAATGTGGCTTTTAATCTATAAAAATGATTTTTTTTAAAGCCTATATTTCATGAGTGGAGTTGTGCTGAACCATATTATCATTCAATTGGCATAAAAAATACAAGAAAATAAAATTTAAACATTCAGGATTGTCAAATAACGCTGACAAAAAAATTATTTTGATGTGTTTGAGATTTTGTGCAGGTAATGTAACAATTATAATTGCAGAAAGAGGAAATAGCTTTGTCTTGCACTCAGTTTCACATTAATGCCCTTGATAAATGAACCCATCTCTTTCATCCCACCACCTAAACAGAAGGTATATTGAGCTCTCTTGGATGGCAGCAAGTCTAAGATGACAATATTGAAATCGGGAAACCATATCTCTATCTTTTCAAAAATAGCAATTCAGACATATCAAAGAAAGCTGTAGAGAACTATGATCACCTAAGACTTGAAAGGACATGGCAAAAAATATTACACGAGTTTATACAAGAAGAAAAATAGAATATAACTCCGGTCCCTAAAAGATTGCAAAATAGACTGACTTATTCTTTAAAATAGTTTCATAAATTTTGATTTCAACAATCAGTTGCTATTGTCAATCAGAATGTAATATACCTTCCACTTTGCCCGATCTACAGCTGATGTGCTTACAGTCATCACTGAAACTGTCTACCGAGCTCTTCAAAATAACGGAGAAGCTCGTGCCGTGGCCCTAGACATCTCCAAAGCATTTGATAGGGTTTGGCATGCCAGCCTTCTTTGCAAGCTCCAGGGTTATGGCATTACGGGTCGATTGACCTAATACAATCATTCCTGTCAAACCGTGAATTGAAGGTTGTTCTCAACGGATTCTCCTCTAGTTCCTATCCCACGAACGCAGGTGTTCCTCAAGGCTCCATCCTAGGCCCCACTATTCCTTATCTACATAAATGACCTTCCTGACACCATAAATTCCTAAGTTGGCATCTACGTGGATGACACGACAATTTATTCCTGCCTCAAAAACAAATCTAGTGTCACTGACAAAACTAACCTGGCTGTGCATCTCGAAAAGGACCTCCAATCGGTTGTGAACTGGGGCAGGAATTGGCTGGTCAACTTTAATGCTTCAAAAACAAAACTGCTCTCTATTAATCACCACAGAGATCCTTCCCTGCTCTCCATTAGAATGTCTGACACCCAACTTCGAGAGCAACTCTCTGCAGCTGTTCGGTCTCACGTTGACGGCTGACCTGAGATGGAACAAATACATTGAGTCAATTGCTTCGTCCACCGCAAGGAAATTTTTCTCCCCGGAATCGATCCTCCAGATCTACAATTCACCCTTGCATGGAGTATTGCTGCCATATATGGTCTGGAGCCCCTTCTGTTTGCCTCAGGGTTCTTGATCTGGCATCTCATCTACAGTCACTTTCTCAGACGCACCATCGCCTCTGTCTGTTTTACAAATACTTTCATGGCAATTGTTCCCAGACCTCACGAGTTCAAGCGCCCTACAAGGCTGGCATCCCACTCTCACCCCTTCGCTATCGAAACTCCTAAATGTAGCCGTCTCTTCTACTCCAATAGCTTCATGTCTCGAACCTCTTGCCTGTGGAGCTCCCTTCCCTATTCCAGTTTCCCTGAGAGCTATAATCTCCAGCTATTCAAACGTAATGTTGATCGACATCTCCAGTTGCCTTGATCTCTCCACTACCCTTCTCCTCATCCTTTCTTCTATCACTCATATCTGATCTTGCTCCAAATTTTCTGTAACCCCTGCGTCCTAGTGGCTTCCCGCCTTGCTTGGAGTGAAACGCTTATATAAAAAAAAAAAAAAAAAAAAAAAAACCTTTCAATCGGTTTTATTTTCATATATTTTCATTAGACAAGACAATCAATTTGAAAACAGGAGAAACAACTACTTAAATACATTTCAAAAATTACCTCCCTTGGATTTTTTTTAAAATACAACTTTTTGTAGATACTGTTATTTGTGTCAGATTAAACCAGCGTCACCAAACCGTTCCTCAAACAGCATTCCCCTTTGGGCACAAACTTTTTGTCGACGCCCCCTGTCAAATTAAATTTCGAATATTATACCGAATTCATCTTTCATAGCAAGATGACACTTGGGTATTAGTGCAAAAATAATTTTAATATTGTTTTCATTTCTATTATGAATGCCAATGATTAAAATACTAAAAAAACTTTTACTTGATAGCTTACTTGATAGATGTTTTCAATGTGATGGTTAACTTTGGTGCTTACTGCCTAAAGCTCTTACTCTAGGTTCCATGCTTCTTGGAAGTAATCGTAAATCACCTTGTTTTGTAATTTGCAGGTAGTTTCTTTGTTTAGTAAGAAGCTATGTAACTGCGGTGAAACCACATTCAGCCATATAGGAAGTTGACAAAACAATGAAAAGTTTTATAGCTTTCCACAGCACTTTCAGAAATTTCCATTTGTAGCCAATAATAAATAATTTTTGAAAATCTGAAAAAACTGGATACATGCCCACCGCCACCTGAGTATGTTCACTGCCCCCCCAATGAAATAAAAAACATTGTAATTTGTCAATCATGTCAATTAAATCTGTAAATACAGTAAATTAAAATTGTAAGAGCTTTGCATTTAACTTGGGTACATCCACGAGATCGCTAAAAAAAGAGCATAGCATGAAGAAAAAGACGCCAAACTTGATGAAAAGAAAATTTTATCGTCTAAATATTTATGTTATTATTATGAGGAAAGATCAAAGTATTTTGGGGGTATTTTTTTTTAATTTTTTAATTGTTCCTAGCACATCCAAAATTTTTGTTAAAAATCTTTTTTTAGTCAGCATAATTGACCATTTTTTTTCCATTTTATAAAAAAAAAACTGAAAATCTCACTTTGAAAGTCTTTTAAATATCAATTATCATTTTTTCAAAACTTATTTTAAGAAAATCAAAAATTATGTTTATTTAAAATATTTTGAACAAAGTTTAACTTAGCTTAGCTTCTGCACCAAAAAGATGTAATTTGAAAATAAAACAAAGTAAGTCATAAACTTTCACGTCACTTGACAGGTGATGAATGACATATTGACGGATTCCGTGACAATAATTTGTTCTATGGAAAGAGAAAAGTGAAAATATTTACATTTAAGTGAACAAATTATTTACCTTGTTTTTAAGGAAAACTTTCAGCGCTCTCTTTTTTTTTTTTTTTTGTACTTAGCTTTCACGTTTACAATGCTTTATGAAAAATATATTATAAAGAAATTAAAATAAGGCTGTTAAGAGTGAGATTAAATTTCATATTTCATAAGAAAGGTATTAATTTATAGGTACCTTTCTTACAAAATTTTATCAGAAGTGTACATAAAATACTATAATTTTATGTACATCTATTACATTTTACTGTGTCATTTGTATTTCCATTCATTTTATTAATTTTGATATTTCATTTATGGAAAAATGTCATAACTGAGATTAATATAAAAATAAGATCATATAAATTCCATAAGATGATACTGATACTTGTAGGTACCCTTCTCAGTTGAAATTGAAAAATCAAATGAACTTCACACGTGTTTTGCAAAAGTATAGGCCTTAAATGCGAAGAACAATGCTTAACTCAAATAACGCAACTTAATTGTATTCTGGTTGGTCTTCCATACTTTATAATTACAGCCTGATTATAAACACAAAATTACATTTCTTAATTATTGTGGATCTTCTGATTAGTCAAAATGATACAATTTACAATGCACTAAAAAAAAAAAAAAAAAAAAAAAGATCTATCTCATAAGGACACATAGGAAACCCGATGTGGCTTTTAACTAATTTTATAATATTTTAACAACTTAAATGTAAAAATCTATTATAATTAAAAAACAACAAATTGTATTAAAAACATTTTTCATCCAAAAACTTTTTGCTTTCAGAAAATATTGTCCATATTCATAAAAACAACTAAAAGCAAATAAAAGCATTTGAAATTAAATAATATCTTTGTTTTACTGAGTTTTCTATGTTACAATTCAGAGCTGATTTTCAGATATGGGGGTCCAATTAAAAAAAAAATGAAAAAATAAACTTGATTTGCATTCCTCAAAGCCTTGTGCTTTTAACTATTGTAATCACTAAACCAGACGCGTTTTCATAAAATTAGTTTGGGGGTGGTGATAAATATTAAAAAAAATTATATTTCTGCCATGAATTTAATAATTTAATTTTATTTATAATAATTTCGATCATCTGTGAATAGTTTCTGAAAGTTTCATTAAAATCCGACAATTATTTTTATTTTTGCAAGATTTTCCAAATTAATGTGTGTCACACAAAAAAAAAAACGTGCTAAAAATTGTATGTTATTTTACTAGTTCTGGTGATACAAAGAGAAACAAGGTTTTTTTGTTTTAAAATCAAAATTTAGAATGTTCTAAAAAGAAGGAAAATTTTTTAAAATTAATCAAAATAAACTTTGATCTTTCCTCTTAATAATAATATAAACATTTAGACGATAAAATTTTATTTTCGTCAAATTTGGCGTCTTTTTCATCATGCTATGCTCTTTTTTTAGCGATCTCATGGAGGTACCTAATTTAACTTTTATAATATTTATCAAACGAATTGTAAAGCATTTTCATAAGGAAAAACTTGTAACTTGGACAGTGCAAATTGTTCAGCAATTGTCATTCTCTAACTAGATTCTAGGAGGCCATCCCAAAATTTGGCAAAGGTTATTGTATGTCCAAGTAAGATTTTATGGTGCTTGAAAACTCGGTGTCGGTTTAAACTTTATCAATAAACCCAGAACTCCAAAAGCGTAGTCCTTATAACAAAGATGGAAATAACTTGAAAATAACAAATGGATAATTTCTAATAGATTTATTTTTTACAACTTTCATTACACATGTTGGTTATTATCATTTGTGCATGCATCTAAACTTCTGAAAAAATATATTGCAAAATCTTAACATAAGATCAGTTAAAGCAAGAACCATTTTCATACACACACACATATATATATATATATATATATATATATATATATATATATATATATACATACATACATACAAAGTATATACATTAATATTCACACATTTATTTATATGCATACCATAAAATAGAGAAAAAAAATAGCTGGAGGTGGCTTTCAGCACCATAAGAAAAGGACTTTCAAGAAGTTATTTTAATCTACAAGTAGTCTCAGTGGAAGCAATCAAGAATATACTTTAATCAGCAAGATGCTAATTGCAATCATGAATCTTGATAATATGAACACATTAACACACAAATATACAGATCCATACCAAATGAAAGTTACACACCTTCCACTGTCATCCATCTCCCATTCCATCATTGGTTAATTTCACCCTGACATTGAACACTTGGCCCCTAATTCAAAAATATTTTCAGATTTTGATAAATGTTTACTTTTTTTTTTTTTTTTTTACTATACACACTTCAGGAATGAGTTACCTTTACTGAAAAATAAAATCTGTGTAGACTAGAATCAATTTTATATAAAAAAATGAACTTTTTATATTTTTAACAATTCAAGAAAAGAAATAGTTTAATTCTTCACATTTCTGTTGGTTTATTTCAAGAAAAACAGATTTTTATTCTTTACTAATCTTTTCTTTGTACAAATAAAAAGTAAATTTATTCTATACTGAAATTAAATTTGCAAAAAATAAAAAAGTCAAAGCGATCACACAAGTTAAATATATTATTTTTGGCAATTTTTTTTCTATATGCTTTGAAATCATAATTGAGATTATAAATAAAATAAAAAAGAAACGGATATTAAATAAAAACTTCTATGTAGAAAAAGGCATGACAAGCAATTACCAAAAATATTTTTCAAAAATCAAAATGTTAAATTTTTATGAAGGAACTTTTAAGCAGCTTCTCAACAGAAAAAGTATACAATAAAAATTACAATAAAATGAGAAAAACATGTTTGTATGTGTGTGGTGGATAACAAAGGAGACAAACTATCACAGAAGAATCATTTAGTTTCTCATTCTTCCTTTTACTTGGAAAGTTCAAGAAATGATAATAAAGACTAAAAAAAAGATATACAAATTCCATTTTTTAGTCTTGATACTTATTAGGAAAGAAAAGATTTGCTTTCTTTCACCTATTGGAAATATACAGAGACATTATTAAAGCTTTATATTCTGGTCAATAACAGTAAAAACTGGTGTATTTAACATTTCATCCCCTAATATCATCAGTTCAATCCTTCAACTAGGCAGAGGGGAAATACACAAGGTTAGAGGAAAGGAAGAGAAATCGGATTAACATAAAGGAAAAATTGTAAGCTTAATTCGCTAGAAAGTTAGCTGGAGATATATACATCTCAATTTTTTTTTTTTTTTTTATTCAACTCTAGAGAAAGGCCTTGTAAAAAGGCCTTCAAGACAGTGGATAAAGGCCTTGGTTAGATCCAGTGATTAGACCCAAAGAGTTGTGAGCTCAATACCAGGCTACAGCAGTGGTGAACCAAAAAACTTGGAGGTTGAATTAAAGGGAAATAATTGAGAAATCCAGAAGAGGCATGGCACGTGGAACTAAAACAATCTAACGTGGCGGACAAAATAAAGGGTTCAGTTTGAAATTCCAATCACCTGAAGAAGGCCAGAGCATACAACAGATGAAACGTTGTGAATATGGCAATGAAGGTAACAGTACAAATAATGTAAATGTAAACATTTACACATTTAAATTTATGATTTTAAAATTATTAGTTTTTTTAATTTAATTTAGAATGTTTACATGCATATGATTTTTGTTTTGTTTTTTTTTAATTAACAAATTTCAACTGTACTTTTGCAGCAGTAAAAGTAAAAACATCATTTTTCCAGTAAAAAGGTTGTTTGAGGTGATATTGATCTCTTATTTCTTATCACTTTCCTCATTTTAGCACAAATTGGAAATTCAGAATAAAAATTAGTATTTTCTTATTGTTATCTTTTTATTTAAATAAAAAAAGAAGTACAAAACATTTCAAAATGATTTTAAAATATTTTGAATTAAAAATTAATTTAATCAGTTTACAACTCTACAGGGTTGCTGGTGTATTCTTTTCTTTTCAGCTATTTATACCTTATTTAAGATAAATTTCAATTGTTTTAATTCATACTGTATTATTTTAAATCTTTTGTTCATTCAGTTTATTTACTAAATAAAACTATTTCATTTGCCCAGTAATAATCATATAATTTTAATTATTTATATTTTAAGTATAGGAAAATATGATTAAAACCCAAAAAAGAATTTATAAAAATTTTAATGAAATTTTAAGAATATTTTTTAATATTTTTTAAGTAGAAAAAGAACAAATACATTTAACATTAACAAAAATTTTAAGTGAAAATAAAGGATAATTTTCAACAAGGAAAAAATCTCGTTTCAATAAAGAAAAATGACAATTCAAAAACATAGTAACAGATATATTTGTCATGCAGTGCCAAACATTGTGTTGACAAACAAATAAAACTTGTCTGATCTGATTGAAAAGAGCATAAAGAAAAACAATTCATTTACCTGATCCTAACCTAAATAAATTTATAAAAGTGAAATAGGCTTTTGACACATTGACAAACTATCCTATTAGCATTATTAATTATTTAAAACAATCTTTTCTTCCACTAGATTTCATTTCACATCTTATATTAATACTTGCTTACAATGTTTTATATGCATAACTTTTTTTAATGTATTTTATCAGTGTACATGCAAGTTTATGCATATATGAATAGATTGACAACTAACAATTAACTTTCCAAAACATAATTTTCCCTTGAAATGCTGTACAGACAGCGATGAACTCAATATTTATCAACTATTTTGGTCAAAATCAGACAATAGAATGACAAAATGAATATATGTGTTTTTAAAAACTTAGTATATAAAATAGATTCTGCATGATGTATAATCTCAAAAAATAAAATTAACATGAAATCCATGATTAAATTTAATGTATTTATGTATCAAGGATGATACATAAATTTTAAAATGTTTTACAACAAATTGTTTTTATGTAGATTTGTGATAAAGCACAAAAAGGCACTTGCATAAAAAAAATGGAGTTAGAGGGCTGAATATTGTATATAAACCAAGGAATTCATGAAGTTAGAAATTTTAAGCTGTCAGAATTTAAAGAGAAAAAGTAATTTTGTATAGTTTTGGTAATAGACTATTTCAGATTCATCAGTTTGCATTTTCTAAACCATTTACCAACTTTTAGAAACCACAAGTGCCTATATTTTAATGCTTCACATAAAATTAAAAGAGGAAAGCAGTGGAGTGGGAAAAATTGTTTGTTTTTGTTGTTGTTTTCAGGCATCTATCTATATCTTTTAAAGAAATGCTTTTCCCCCACAATTATTCCTGGTTCAATGCAATGTCATTCAGGATCCATTTCTTTTCCATCTTCTTCTGTTTCTTATCCTTCAAAATATAGAAGGGAACTGTAGAAAAGAAAAGAAAAAATCAGTCTATCATTTTTAAAAATGTATCTCAGGAATGTGAAACATTAAGTTTTCATAATATACTATCATATTAAACAAATCACTTTCACAAACTTTACATTTTTTTCAAATCAGAGAATTTTGCTTACATTAGGTATCCCAGCACTCAGCTTACAGCCGATGAAATTCTTAACTAAACACTAAATAAGGCATATATTCAACTCACCGTGTTATTTAATTCAATATCTCCATAAAAACATAATGCATACTAAATAAAAGCTTATTTCATGAACTTTGTTTCTATCTTATTTATTTTTATATGTACTACAGTGTGCAAAAAAAATTACAGTTCGAAAATAGAGACATTTTGGTGATTTCGCAAAATTTTGGCCATTTTTTTCACTGACGGCAGTTTAGACTTCCTCAAATTTTGTAACATGTGCACTCCGCAGTGTTTATTACAATTTTGCTAATACGTTAGTTTGAAAGTTAACATTCTAAGCTTCATTTTCATATATTTTATATTTTTTAATAAGAAGTTTGTAAACAATTCAAATGAAAAGTTTGATTGTACAATTCAAATGAAAAGTTTGATTGTAAAATTCAAATGCTTCTTGTAATAATAAAAACATAAAATATATCATTAAACGCTCATTTAATAATCTATGAAACTAAATCAAAATCAAATATGAAACGATAGCTCCATTTTGCGCATGTGCGATTATGTGTAATTATGTGCGACTCACTTAACCATCATTTCAACTCCACGTGACAGTCAATACACAGCGTCAACACGGACACCCAAGAATCGACCAGCATGTTTTCTATGGGTAAAATTTTCAAGGAAATTGGTAAGAATTTGTTTTAAATATTAATTTTCTATCATATGTAAAATGTAAATGGGATTTAAAAAACATTTTCGTCATAAAAAACATGAAACAAAAATCAATTTGTTTATGCTCAGATTCAAATCACAAAAAAAAAAAAAAAAAAAAAAATGTAGGACTTATTGATCGAAAAATGTTCATATTCAAAGAATGAGATAAAAAACATTCTACAAAAAAAAAAAAAAAAAAACTGCAAAAAAAAATTCTAGAATGTCTTATGTTTTTGCAGTATTCTCACAATAATTATCAGCATTTCAGTTACCAAGTAACATTTTGTTTAAAGTTACCCCTTCAAACAATTTTCTTACTTTTTAAATTATCTAATGAATGGATTTTAGTTACGATTTATTGCTATCTTAGTAATATTTATTTCATACGGATTATGATTGTTTATCTTATTCTAAAATATTTTAAATGTGTCAGTTTTAAAGACCATTATGGAAATAGGTTTGTCGAGAAAATATTTTAATGCTTCCTTATTTGTTACTCAGGTGTATGGATGACTATAAATTTATATTTATCCCTGATTGTATTTAGTGCAATTTTTTTTATGAACTGCAAATAAACTCAAATTCAGTAAGAAAATGTAGACAATAATTTGTAGATGACTACTAAGTAGTACTTCATGGGATAGGATTATAAATTCATTTTTTCTTTTTCAGGATGACGATGTACAGAATCAGTTGCAACGTTGTTTTATGACAAAATGATGTAGAAGGAAGATGTCTTTGCCTAAAGTGGAATGTTCCAAGAAGGTGCTGCTTCAAATATACTTATTGAAAGAGAAGTATCAGGAAACCTGCGATTCTGCTATTACTTGGCTACATAAATTGTTCCCAATCTTTCCTAAGAACAGATGGGTACACCTTATTGAGAAAGTTGTAGCAGAAGTTCAAAGTTGTCCAAAAACGGATTATCCTGCATTGTACCATGAGGTAACAAATTTGGGATTCGTAGGTGAAAGATGTGAGAGTGTTGTATTGACTCTCAGCGTTTTGCCGGATCCAACACTGGGTCATAAGCTTTTATGTGCGAAGTAACAAATGGGCTCATACTTGAACTAGATAAACTGGATATGCCAGCAAAGATATACTAGTCAGAACTTCGGTAGTGCCTGAATTAGATTATTTGGAGGGATTGTATGAAGACTTACTTTTGACTACTCAGTGAAGAGGTATCCCAAAACCCAGCCCACCATTACTGAAAAATTCCAAATAAACTTTATTTGATTAATTTTATGTCTGTGTTGTTTATTTTTGTGTATAATGTGAGGAACATTACAGTTTAAAAATTGAGACAATTTGGTGATTTCATACCGCTTACATAGTGATTGGAACTAACGTGTCAGAACTTCAACCTTTTGATCAAAATGTGACAGATAAAATATTTTTATTTTAATGATTTCAGTTACAGATTTAGTGGTTGAATACCACTACATGATATGGTGAGTTTTCTGTTGTTTTCTTATGTTCATTAGTGGGTATTGCTTGGCGTGTATTGCTTCTCTCTCTCTACAGTCCAGAAATTGTACATGTTGAGTCAGGACTGCTCCATATACATTCTAATCTGTTGATTTTAGGTCATTCTAACCATGATAAATGAAAAGAGCAAAAAAAACAACTTCTAATATAAACACATACATAATTCTTTTAACAAACAAAATATCATGTAGTTTAATTTTGCTGAGACTTAGAATTATGTTTATAAAAATGTCATTAACTTTTCCCTATCTTACTTTTCAAGCCTAAAATCTTATTTAATCTTTTATTATAAGAACTCTGAATAATTATTAATTCAACTATAAAAGTTCTTTAGAATTTTTGTCACTTTATTTTCTTGTGCTACAGTTTTTATAAAAACTTCATATTTATGTTAGGTAAGATAAGTTCAAATCTAGAGCTATGATATTCACAAAGTGTATGAAAGCTGATTTGATTGTCAAAAGCTTTGTGCCCTTAAACAGAAAAATTAAATACATAAAATTATTTGCATATGATAGAACTAAATATCAGTGAAAATATGTCCCCACTTACAGCTGCTACTGGATATTAAAATGAAACATAATTTTACTGCTAATTCTACTCACATTTTAAATTTAAAAAACAAAGTCATTATTTGTTTAGTGATTAACTTGATTTCATGTACTCCTCTAAAGATTTATCAGAAATATCTTTAATGTAAATATCTCACTTTTAACAAAAGTTTAATATTTAGTATGTATGGAAAATCATGTATCAACTATATGTATGGCCCTTCACTATTTGCTTACTGACAACTTATACCAATAAATCATCTTTTATCATTATTTTTTTATACATTTGCTACACATAAATATTATATATATATATATATATATATATATATACACAGATTTCCAGATATGACATTATACATTAAAATGATGTGCATTTGGCAAATAACAAAAAATGCATTTAAGATCTTTTCCCATAATCTAAGAAATCATATCCAACAATGTAAAAATAGAAATAAATTTTTTTTAATTGAAAAGCTAAGAAACATTTCATAATTTAGTTGAAAAATCGCTAACTATTTTGGATTGAATCCTGGGTCTCATTATTTTTTGATGGATTTCACTTATATCAAAAATTAAAATCTGTGAAAGGGTTTTTTTTTTTCAAAACACTTGAAATAATTATTATTATTGCAATGTCATTATTTTTATTATTTTTTTTTCTTTTAATTATTTCATTGTCAATTAAACCCTGCAAAATTATCAAATAAAAATATTAGCAATTTAATACATTTGTAATCATTGTTGCAATTTAATAACATTTTCTGACAGTGAGTAAAGCAAAATACCATTCCTGGAAGCTTCAAAAGTTTTGTTGGCATAAAAGTTAAGTATTATTTTTTCAGTCATTACTAGCTCCCTATTTTATTAAAAATGTCAAAAATAAAGAGGAAATGCCCTTTTATAAATTATTATTTTTGTTAAAATAAAAATCTTATCTTTATTTTGAAACTTACCTTAGTAAACATCATACCAGCATACCAACAAAGCATCATGCCTTCAGTTGGGAAATACAAAGCATGCCCAAAATAAGGAGCATCTTTAGTTCTATAAAAGAAAATGTTTTAAAAATTATTAAATTTCATTAATATGGCATTTGTTAAACTATTCAAATCTACAAAGCTGTAAATGAAGGTCAGAAAAGGCTTTCAGATTATGAAAGTAAAAGAAAAAGTTTAATGTTTCTACTCATATTCTAATGGATGCAAACAAATATAATACTTTAATTACAATGATTTTCAAAATTAACATATATACACAGTGTAATCATTTTTCTTTCAGCATAATTTACTTAAATGACCGTTTTCAACTTTCTACATTTTTGTAAGTTCTAATTTTAAAAATCTAGCATTTGAATGCTTCCAACAAATCTCTTTTCAACAGTTGCTTTATAATCATTAAGAAGTTAGCATATATAGTTCTATAGTCGAATTCTTTGAGAACTGGATCAGTTGCAATTTGTTACTTTTTAATTTTGCAGTCCTTTACTATGCATAAAAATCACCATGAAAATTGTAAAAATGATTTTTGCACATTTCAGCAATATCTGAACATTCCATCCCCACTTACCTTTTTGTTTTTACATTCTTCACAACAAAAGTGAAACCTGTCCGACTGGAAAGAGAAAGACAAAAAAATGAAGCAATCATAGAGACAAGGGAAAATAATTTACACATTACCAGAACCTTTCCCCAAAACATTTCAGATGCAAATTAAATAATTGCAACTTCAAAATTGATTTTCAAAACTTACCAACTCTTAAAATGAAATAATTATCATTCAAATTCCAAAATAGTCACAAATGATTATGCTACAAGTAATCTATCTGATAATAATTACATATACATGCTTACCACTGCTGGCAATGTTTACACACGCACAAAAAATGATATATAGAAGAGAGTGCTAAAGATTTCTTGGCCTAACCCACTTCCCAAAATATAAACAGATTTTTTTTTTTTTCTGGAAGGCCTTTTTGGTCAAGCTGGAAAGATGTTTAGCAACTACTTACATGTCTAGATATCTGATATTCATTCAATTATGACCTAAAGTTCATTGGACAAATAATTATTTCTTTGATTATTTACTATTTCAATACTGTCCAATGTCCCTTGAATCCTTAAAAAGCAAACAACTGTTAAGAAAGAAACAATGTGGTATTTGAACAAAATACCAAATCTTTTGTTTTCAATTTCTGCAGTGAACATTTTGAACATCTACTCAATATTGTTGTTTTTTTGACTAGATGGGATTTGAATTACCCACTTCTTTTTCTGCTGAATGATAACTTGTTTAGATAATAATTTTCTATTAGCTCCATCTCATAACACATGTGATTAATATACTGCATTCACTGTTCTTTTGGGAAAGATTAAGACAACTTCTACCACCTTTGCAATAGAATTTAATTTTCATTAATTCATCTTCAGATCTTCAACAATATGCTCACTTTTAAAATCCAACAATTTCCCTGCTATTTCATTATATAAATTTTATATAGCATTAATCCCAAAAACTAGAGAGTAAAAAATAAAATAAAAATAAAATGTTTCTTTGTAAGAAAATAATTAAAAATGAGAAATAAAAAATAACTTACTCTTTGGAATTCCGACCAGCCTCTACTCCCTTATAAATAATCAAGTCCTCCACTCTCCATGATGACACTAAATTTGTTCCCTGCCAATAGAGGAAAATCTTATAGCAGTATTGCTTCATGGAATTAGTCTTTGTTTTATCACAATGTTTTCATTAATGTAATCATTTGTTACAGTAGCAAGTTAGAAAGTAGAAATATTAATTCCCGCATCATAGCTTATTGTTGACAATGGGAGGTTTTGACAAAGGGGCAGATAAATGAGAACTTGTCAAATTTTCTGAGTAAAGACCTTTCTAAGATGTCTAATTTATACTGAAAATTGAAGGAAACTCCATAATTAAACAGTTTTCTTCCAAAGTTCTGGACATTATTCTCCTTACTTGCAACAACTTCTAAAATATTTGTCCTCTCCTTGGCTGCTGACAAAATAACACTGTACATAAAGAAAGGATTGTTCTCATTCATTGGTATGCTCTACATTAAAGAACAAAATAGTCATGTATATCAAATGTCTCAGAAAAATTAGAGAATATACATGATGGTATACAAAAATAACGAAACTCTAAAAACCTACACTCTGAATCAGAATTCCTATTTTTTTACATTTAGCTGAGAAAATAAATTAATCTTATCCATCTCCAAATCTTGAAAGCATGTTTGAGACAATAGAAAGTAACAAAAATCCCTAGCAGATAACATGATTCTGCTGCAACTGATTCAGACACCAAAACAAAGTATCAGTTGTCATTTTGGGCTTGCAGCAGAAGCTGCAGTCTTCAAGAAAAGATGTAATCATATTTGATTAAATAACATGTATGATGGTATTTACTGTTACATCATAAGTAATTACTGATAACAATAAGAAGAATTAAGGGTTATTCCCCTGGTTTATATCTATCCATGGGGGACCATTCTACAGGTGTTCTAATAAAGTTTGTTAAACTGTTAATATGTATTTGTTGTCACTCCTATTATCCAAGCAGCAGCAACTCAGAAAGCAATTCACTTTCTGTGATGAATGTTACCTTCGTGAACAAAATATGGAATAAAGTGGGATTAAAAAATATAATACCAATTGATGTTGGTATTAAGTTGACTTTCATTGGAAAAAAAAAAAAAAAAAAAAAAATGGTGGGGGAGAGATATATTATATTTTGAAGAATTTGTTAAACAATATGGATTTACATGCACACCACAGTAAGCCCTCATTTCCCACAAATGAATGGAGCTGCTGAAAGCACAGTGAAAATTGTGAAAATAATATTACAACAGCCAGGCATATTGCTCACATTAATAACATTACCATAGTACACCTATAACTGCTACAGGAGTTAGCCCAGCAGAGCTCTTAATGGGTGGCAAAATTAAAACAATTTTACCCAATCACCCAAATAAACTAAAACTCAAATGGCCAAATTTACAGGAAGATGGGTCATACAAAATAATATGTAAAACAAATTACAATAAAAGACATGGAGGTAAAGATCTGAAACAACTAAAAGTGGGAGATTGAATTTGAGAGAAAACAGGAAGAGAAAACATGGAAAAACCCTAGCACAGTAATAGCAGTAGATAGGGAAAATAGGACATACACAGTAAAGATGAACCCTAGTAAATTCCTAAAAAGAAACATGAAACATTTACTGCCTATTGGGGAAGAAGATCACAATGCTTTCCGAGAAAGAAGACAGTAAAGAAAACTAGGACCAATTCAAAATCAAGAATCAAGGAGATCTAGAAAAGGACGTTTAACACAAAAACCAAAATATTTAAATGACTTTGCATTAAAATTAAATAATAATAATAACTCCTTGAAAATAAATAATATCTGGACAAAATGAGGTGTTTCATCAGTAAGTAATTACTGATAACAATAAGGATTAAGGGTTATGCCCCTTGTTTGTATCTGTCCATGGGAACCATTCCATGTGAGTTGTAATAAAATTTGTTAAACTGTTAATATGTTGGTTGTCACTCCAAACAGCAGCATCTATGCTACAATTATACCAAATTTGTATATCTAGCTGAGGATGTTATTTATGAAGTGTAGTTTATTTTTGGCACAACATCACCAGACTAGTTTATTATTATCCCATACTAAGACACATTGAGAACATTATAGTAGCTACAAACCAACATACACATATAGACACACTTTGGTTTGTCTGACCATGAATAAGCTCTGTTTTCAGTACTCACATACTTGAAAGTTGTTGTGATAGGTATTGGCACAGGCAGACATCTTATGACCAAATATGAACATTACTTTTTTTAAGAAAAAGAAATTAAATAAATCATTTCTACAGAACTATCAAATATCTATTTTATTTTCTTATATAATTGTTCCAAGTTTAACCTTTTATGTTTTTCTGATCATTTGACTGGTGTTGGCTATCAAAGAGACAATGGATTTACATAGCTAGATGACAACAGCAGGTAGCCTTTGTTGAATTCCTTAATTATCTGTTTGCATGTCTACCCACCTCTTACATAGTGAGGCTTTTAAAATCTTATGGTACAAATACAAACAAGTAATTTTTAAAATTTATAATGCAAACAGATAATTAAGGAATGCTCATCTGGACAAAGAGAATAATTTATTCAGTAATTGCAAAACATAATTGAATGGATATGAATTCCAAGAAGAAAATTCTAATCAAATAAAATCCACTGCCTCATGAATGGAAAATACAAGATTCTAATTGAGAATATTTTTATATCAACAATGGATATAAAACCAGCAAAAACTGGTACAAAACCCTTCAGGCTATCTTTGTCTAGACACTGCAAAATTTGTCCCTATCATTTCAAGCTGACAGAGTTTTATTCAAAAAATCTACTCATGTTGTGAATATATGGAGCCCAAAAGAAATATCAGAAATAAATTGCCATGTAGTTGAATTTCATATCAAACTTTGGCTGCCAATAATTAGATAGCAGATGTGTAATAATTCTCTGAGACACAATATTCTGATTCTCTCAGAATTGCTATTTCTAAAGGACTTAATGAAATTATGACAGACCATTTTTGCAATTCCACCAATAAGAGGTTCCTGGTTTGTCAAATATTGCCAAAATAACTTTAGACAAACCAGATAGACTCCCTCAGATCAGCTTAGAACTTTTAAAGGTTTAACTGTTCAAAAATATACTTTTCCAAAACTCTCTTAAGTAGATAAAATGTGTGCTAACAATTTTTTTTTTATTAATGATGCTTTTCACTTGTGGTAAATTTCTGCTTTCAAGGATTCCTAATTGTTTTCTCTGTAAAGATTCAAAAGATAAAATGATATATCTGGTGTGAGAGCCTAGAAATGATAACTTCCCACAGTAAACTCAACAAAATTTCACAAACTACAATTCTAGATTCTGATTTTAAATATATTTCACTTTGAAAATTTTAAATAGTTGAAAGTGTGTATGATGTCAATCTAAATACAGTGTGAACATCCCCTTCACAAAATATCTAACCTTGTCTTTTCAAATTAACAAAAAATTAAAACTAAGTAAGTGTAATTTGGCTTTTAGATAAAATTTAAGAGTTACAAAGGACAGGTAATTGTGGAGAGACATGAATGCCAAAGTCCTGAAAGTACACAGCACATGGCTAGTCTGAAATAAAGTGTAAAATAAAATTTCACTACGTTTGTAACTACTTAAAAACATGTAGTGACTTCATAAATCAAACTTATAGTAAAAAAAAAAAAAAAAAAAAATTCCTTTTACAAACCTTTGTATCTTTATAATAAGAGAGTCTTGCTTGAGAAAATTCAAATAAATATTTTTTGATTCCTTTTTTATCACTGAATTCTAATTCTGCCATCAGTGATCGAGCAGGATCATACTGCAATGGAGAAAAAGAAAAAAGATACAATAATGAGAAATCTAGAGAGTATTCATATGCAAAGGTGTTAATATTTATCTGATAAAAAACATGGCTTCTTTAACTTGATAATGTTGGTATAATGGCAATTTTTTCTAGCCATAGGTTTCTTTACACAACTTCTAAAGTTGAAATTAAGTAATTATTAAGGTTAAATTAAAAAAAATGCAAGTTAAAATTTTCTAGGTAATATGAAATCAATGAAAAGACTAATGAAAAATATCCAAATGAAATCAAAGAAAACATAAAATAACTTGAGTGATACTTTGCCTCTTCAGATGTAAAGATTTATGATTGTCAAAAAAAACAAATAAAACATTTTAAAACAGAATATTTTTTCTTTTTATAAAACTCCAATGTCTTCAGTGGTTGAACCTTGAGACACACACAGACTAACATTATTTTTATAATTTTAATGCAGCCACTCCAGAAACATTTTTATCTGTCAAATACTAGAAAGTACATGAAAAATTAGAACTGCTACATGAAAAAAAGTTTGCAAACAAGTTTTTTTTATCTTTAATTTCCACCAATTTTGCATTCTTCATTGTACACAAAGAAAAATCTACAATTATAATCTTCTCAGGCAGCATCTTCGTTTAGTTGATCATTTAGTTATTGTGATGCAAATCAAGTCTATAAACAATTTTTAATAAAACTCGATTCCCTAAGGTCGGTTAATATTGAGTACTAACAAACATTTTAAACAAAAATATTTAACATAATTAAAAATAAAATAGTTCCAGTTTTTATAGTAATCCACTAAAAACAAAAGTAACAAAAGAGTGCAAAAATACAAATAATGTATTTAAGTATTTACAGTTCAATGATAATATCAGAACATTCAAGGTTGTATTTCAAGTATGAAACAGAAATTAAATATCAATAAATGTAATCCTATTTGACAAAATCTTTAATACTGGATTACTAAAGTTACAGCTTCCAGCTTTCATGCACTTCAGGCTGTTTTCTTGATGAGAGATGGACTTCCGGTCATAAATATAATTAAATCTTACTGGGCTAAACAAAGTTGGAGGGGTATTTCAGAATCATGCCAAAAGGCATATTTTCTCAAACAACACAGTCAAGTACATAAAAAAACCCACATATGCTTACTCAAACATTTATATCCACAAAATATAAAATAGTAATACAAAAAAATGATGTCAAATTACATATAAAAATGCAATATATATATATATATATATATATTACACACATATCGAACATGTATCCTATATGGAACCATCATATAGCCTGACGTGCCTTAACCTACTGCCTAGGAGCATTGTATTAACATTTACTGGCCTGAATACTGTTTATTATATACCGGCTTTTAATATTTAAAAAATAATGTTGTTAATACCATTTATTATAAACAGAGCATTTACTTAAATATTTGTATCTATAAAAAGAACATGTAAACATAAATGTTTTAAAAAATAATTGTCAGACTTTGTCCATTTCATAATGTCTGACGTCATTTGTTTACATTTGGATATGCAGATATGAATGAATTAGAAAAAAATCATGGAAAATATATATATATATATATATATAAATAAAGAAATATACTCTTAAGCTGTGCTATATTTATGGGGTAAAGTGCTCAATATCAGATATAGAGCGTGTGTAAATATAAAAGTGAACATTGAAGTCAACACTTAGGAGGTGACAGGCTGTTTCATGCAAGACGCAATCGTCAAGCCACGAGTCTTGTTTTTTTTCTCGGTTATTTATATATACGGGTCAGTGGTGCATTGTGGGTAGTCTATTTTGGCTGTTATTTTGCTGGAAGCTGTTTATTTATTTATTTATTATTTATTTATTTGGGTTAAATTATTTTGCTTCTTTTTATATAAATAAATAAACAAATAAACAACTTCCAGCAAAATAACCGCTTGGTCTAACCACACATCTGGATAGTAGCCAAAATATTTCTATGGCTTGATGCGGAGATAGCTAGATGGATGCTGACCTCTCAAAAAGGTTCATCCACCCTTTGACACATCTTGTATTTGTCCTGCAAAAATTCTAGCCTCCCCTCCTCACCATACAAACACTCATGCACACACACGTGTGTGTGTGTGTGTGTGTGTGTGTCCACTTGCACAGATCATCAGCCTAATAGTGCAAAGCAGTTTATAGATCATGGCACTTGGAGATTTAGGGGATGGATAAAGACCAGTGTTGCCCATCCACCTTAAAAATAAAGGTGCAGCAGACGAGTAACAAAGCTACTACTTCTACCCACATAAAACATATGTATTTTACACTGAATGTTGGGGTAAACAGATTGTCATCAATATGCCAATATATTACTATATAATAATTTTATACTTTAATATATAGAGTATAAGAAAAAATTTTATTATTATTAATAAAATTTGCAAGATAAATAATAAAACAAATTGTCTTGTAGTAAAAACAAAACAAAATAACGTTATAACTGGGAACACTTTCCAAAAAAGTGAAAGAACATTACTTTATAATTAATATACATGTGTGTGTGTGTATATATATATATATATATATATATATATACACACACACACACACCTATGACAGCAAGAGAGCGAAATTAAAATAAATGTTAATTAATGAAGCATAACGAGTTGATTAGGGTTCGAGTGATAGTAAAATTGATGCTATGAATGACTTGATGAAATTAATGGACTATCTGGAAATATTGATAAAGTGACCAGCTTAAGGAAAAGGTTGAAAAAATTTCTTCACTGAAAATTTTATCTCCTGTCTTTTTTGTGGATGTAAACAATGAAGGGCTAGACATCCTGGCCAATAACAATTTTGGAGTGGCAAGTGGCTGTCCTGTTCAGGCCCGCTCATAGGGGTGTAAGTGAGAGTGTCCACTGGGAGGAAGTGAGAGGGAAATTCAGATTAGGAGGAAGATACAAGTTACAGTGGTAGGAGAGTTGCCTGCAATTGGCCATAGCAATTATGCGTGGGGACCCTCGAAATAACAACCCCACCTATCTTCAATATACACAAGGGTTTTACAGTCACCAACCTTCATCGTATTTACATCTTGCTCACAACTCAAGGTTTGCCCGTCAAGGTGTCAGTCAACCAGAGTCTGTATGTAGGTGCACCACCTTAGACTGCCACTGTAGTGGAAGGTTAATACCCTTTAGTATTGCATCAAGTTCTACTAGATTATACATTGTTGGACAAAGCCAATATGCATCCTCCAGAATAGCACCATGTCTTTCCAACACGACATCCAACAACCCATGCATTAACTTCCTCTCTGATTACACACCAGTCACCTTGGGAGGGATCATCTTGGTGCACTTTAGTGATTACTTCAGCCATCATCTGCTTAAGAGGCATGTCATTCAGTGTGTCAATTGATCCCTTTGTTACTACAGTTGCTCACCTCTTCATTACTACAGTTGATGCACAGACAAGAAAATGTCCTACCAACTTCTCCCAAGTGGAGATGTTATGAATCATAAGTACAGCAGGGAGATCTGGAACCACACTCCCTTGCTTCCACAGTAGTATCATGCTTCAAGTGAGAAGCTCAATCTTTTAGGTTCTTACTGGTCAATTGAAAGGATTCTAGTTTCTCCTTGACCTTATCCATGGACATTGTTTTCATTTACATATATATCATCGATATAAGATGAAGTTGCTCTCTGTTATTCTCTCTTGAAACAACACAGTCTTGATGATTGATTTTGGAAGAGGTGCCACATTGAGACCGAATCCTATGTGCGTTAAGCTGTACTGTTTTCCTTTTATTAGTACTCTTTGAAATGGCCACAGCAACTCGTGGACACATATCTGGAGATACGCCCTCCAGAGATCAAGCAAGGCCACATTAACACCTTGCTGGAGCTATTCCCATAATTTGGCAGTACATATGTCTATATCTACAATAAAGACATCCACGTAATGGGTTAATTCTCAGTAATCCAAGACCGGATGCACCTTATTTTTGTTGGGCTGTACAACATCCATCAGAGAGATCAGGCCCGTAGGGGTCCTAATCATTCCTGTGGGTATGGTATCAGCCAGCCATTAACAATCCATGTTTGCAACTCTTCTTCATATGCAGCCCTGATCTTGCTCAATACTGCATATTGTGGAACTGTATTCTGTAACAGCTCTTGTATTTATTCATGGCCCACTAACAACTTGTAGTCCAGGCTTTTGCTTTGTGGTCAAAAGTAACACAGAAATCATGTTTGTCAATGGAAATTGTTGCACATGATTCTTCCTTTCTGCCAAGCGCACATCACAGCTAGTGTAATCACCGCACTACCTAATGTGTGCATAGCATCATGTATGCTCTGGACACACCACTGATTGCTATAATATCTACACATTGCCTCCTCCACAATCAACAGCAATAGGCATTAATTATTGACTGAGAACATCCAATGTCAATAGGTGTTGAACACTGTACATCATCTACCTGAATGCCAACTACAGGTAATGGTACACTTACTTTCTTACAGGGTACAAAGTTGGCAGCAATACCTTTGTCCCCAGATCCATTTACCCAAACAATTCCACACAACATGACCCAGCTTATTACACCGATAACACCTCAGCTGTGTCCGTACTCCCAGACTCATGCTCATCACAACACTTCAACACTCTGACAAAGTCGTTTGGTCCTCCACATTTGTAACATAGATGGTTTGCCAATAGTAATAATATCTCTAGTTGGGATACTGCTTTGCTGTCAGTTATCACTGCTGCTGCTACTACAAGTTCTGCTTCTTTGCAAATGGCTTAGGCCATAGTTTGATAGTTCATTCATTTCTGGATGGATGTTGCTTGCAACAGCTGACTAATCTCATCCGGCAATCCTGCTACAAAGCACACCACAGTATCCAATTATAGATGCCCCCAAATGGCACAGAAAGTTTCTGTAAATCAACTAGGTAAACATCAAATGTTTCACAGAGGAATAATTGGCATCCAATAAAATATTGACATGCCACAAACGGGTCTATTCCAAAGGCTGTATAAAGAGCCCATTTTATCACAGTAAAGTTGTTTTTTTCTTCCTCTTTAGGCTGCTGGTACACAACATAGGTGCTCCCTGACAGCCTCAAAGGAATAACTATTGCTGACCCTTTCAATATGCATAGTCACCAAATAAGTTCTGCCTTCTCCACAGACTAACAACAGTTAGTCCAGTGGGTGAACCATCAAACTCTGGTATGAACTTCAAGTCAATCGGTCCATGAGTATTAAATGCTGAAATAACTTGTAGTCAATTTCATTGAGGTTGGAATAAAATTCCCTAATGTTTCCTTTGTCAAACAGCGCTGTGCAAACCAAACACTACCACATTTGTCTCCTGTTTGCTACCCAAAATCACACTGCTATGTCGCCTCATCAAGCACATTTTGTAGCTTGAGTGACAGGTTAAATTTGCATAGTTGCAAAAAATAGTCTCACAACTTTGAAATTATCATTTCTTAAATATACAACTTGATGTTAACAAAGAATGGACATGGCATACTGGTTCATCAATTTATAACCACAAAAAAGCATGAAATTATAGAAAAGGAAGAGGAAGCAGAACAAACGACGCAAGAAAGGATACAGTACCGAGAATAATCATGGAGACCACCAAAGATATGAAATTGAAGAACAGGAGAGGAAGGAGAGAATGAGTATATCCAGTAGTAATGAGGAACAATGTGGGGCTTGATTTTGAAATGACTTCTCATTCATAGCCCAAATTATCCCGGTTTATTTAAAAGTTGCTCAAAAAGTTGCAAATAACAATTCAAAATTTAGTAAGCTGTACTTTTAAAAGCAGTGGAGTAAATAAGATTGTTATTTTTTGGAGGTAATTTTGGCTAAACTAATACTCATCCTAATAGTATTAATCTATGATAAACTAGAATTGATTTATATAAATGGACCTTAAAAAAAAAAAAAATTATTCTGGAACTCTAAGCTATTTGCTTCAGCATGTGCAAACGTATAAATAAGTAGCGATCGTTTTTAGCATTTTCACTGGAAATTAGTTTCACTAAATTTATTAAAAAATTTGTAACTGCCATTTACTGATGTTCCTTTCACCAGAAATTTATAGATGGAAATTCCAATATTTTTATAGCTTCAAAAAATAGAAAAGATTTTCTTTTTGTTATCACACTCAGAAGGATAGAAATACAGATTATTTTATTAAAAATCATTAATAAGAAACAATAGATGTGGGTTAAAAATTAACTTTTTCATATTTAAGAATCCTTAAAACTTACATGGTCTCTCAGCTGAGTACAGAGATGTTCCTGTCTGACCAACAGTACCGCTGTACGAGCATCTGCATCATCCCAATTTTGCCACTGGCCAATCACATCTCCTATCACCTCAAAATTATGCACTGGACGCTCTGTTTTAAAATTTAAAAAAAAAAAAAAAAAAAAAAAAAAAGTTTTATAACAAAAATGGATATTTTCTAAGAAACACTAATTTTCATAGAGATTAATTTAAACTATCCCACAAAGAGATGCACCCCTTTTATTTTAAATAATGAATGAAGGAATGGATTGTAATATAAGCAGTCACATAAAATAATTTTTCACTCATAACGAGTGAAAAATTACTTTTAAAGTCTGCACAAATTTTAATAAATTATCTCCCTTACATTACGTTTGGTGTCGCTGAAATAATGATGCGTAATGATGAAAAAATAATTATTTTAAATTTAATTGCTTAAAAAAGTATAAAAAGCACATTTGATCAATATAAAAAAAAAAAAAAAAAACTTGTCAAAATGTTCCTAATATCACCAATGGAAGCATATATTTGTGGGGGCTTGAATAAAATGCAACCACAGTTATGTAACATCATTATTACAACTAAAAGGTTTTATTCTTGACCCAGTCATGATCTCTTGAATTGAAAATGAACTTTGATAGTTCTGACACAAATAGAACTTTGAAATTGATTTATATAAACAATTTCTATCATCACTACATTTTTGTTTGTGTTTTATGGCATTTTGTGTTATGGTTTTATGTATATTTTTAAATTCAGTGTAATGTGTTTTCTAACAGCAAGATGCAACTTCTATTTTGATTTCTGTCCCTGTCTAATATAATTATTTACACACTCAAACCTTTTGATCAAGAGTTACACATCAAGTACATTCATATTATTCCAAATAATTGAGTGAAAGCAATAATGAAATTTTCAGACTTGGATGAGCACACAGTTGAAATGCAAATCCACTTTTGTTTTCTTTCAAATATAAAGTTACTTACAGAGTAACACCAAAGTAGATCATCAGAACTTACCTAACATTCCTTTACATACAACTTCAAAAAGTAACCAGTTAACATCTTTAAGGAATATTTTTTGTTTAACACTTTTCAACAAATCTTCTGCAGACATTTGAAATGATCCCTGAAAAGATATTGTAAAAGATTGTGTGAAAGCTTTAGAGGCACAAAGAAAAAAGAAAATATGGATGGAGGCAACATAAGAAATGAGAAAGAAAGAGCAGGTCTAAAGAACAAAAAAACAAAGAGTAACAACATACATTAATCATAATTGGTTCGGAATTGTAGACACCGACATGTATATGGAGATTCAGTGAACTGAGATCTTCATTTGTTTGATGCATCTGAAGAAAAAAGAAAAAAAAAAATAGGTTTTAAAATTCTACAGTTATGTATGTAGATTTCTTTTACAATTGATTTGAAAAAGATTTCAAACTCATAACTGCCATCTATATAAATAAAGCACAGTGTGCATGTTTCCATCCATCTGTTTTTCGAATCAGCAAATCAATCTGAAGTAACAGGTAGTAACTACTGTAGTTACACACAATTAAAATTTATATAATAAATTCATTTAAAATTAAATTTAAATATCAGAGTAAAAGGTTTAAAAAAAAAAAAAAAAAAAAAAAAGGAAAAAACCCCAAAAAATAACTCCTTATTAAAGGAGTAACTTAATTTCGCTTTTCATTGTAATTGCAATTGATATTGTCTAATTAAACCGTAATTAAAACTTTAGCAGGGCATGATCTCATGTTTTTTCTTCTTTTCCTAGCATACGCATTTTGATGTAGTCAAAAAAATATTACATAGTTTGCATTCTCTAATGTTTTTAAGATTGACTTTATGTGAAGTGATCATTAAGAATGGTGATTTTTAAAAGAAAATAAAAATTGCAAACAAAATAAATTTAAACAAACAAACTACAGAGATCAATTGCATATACGAAGAAAGATTATGCTAAACTAAGGTGTCAAATAAAGATAAAATAATTTTATTATTTCTAAATTCTTATAACTTTTACATACATTAAGACTCTGAAGGTAAAAGACTGAAGGCCCAAAAGCCCTCCACAAGAGATAGCCTAAGGTCCACCCAAAGGGTGACTTCTAGGATAGTTAATAATAAATGATGAGGGACTGCTAAAAAGCTCTTAGCTTGATCAAGAAGCACTTTCAAAATAATTCTGTCATTTGGTCAGATTTCAGGAAATGGATCAGGCCAAGAATCTTTTGGCAATACTTTGTGGATACACCCCCCCAATGTGAATTTTTCTACTTCTCAAACAGGTTAAAATAAACATGATGAGAATTAGCTGAAAATACTTTTCAATTGATTCTATGCAGATAAATAAAAGAAAGGCAAAATGTTTTCAAAATTGGAGGAAAAATATACTTCAGAATTAAGGATTATGGAAAATATCCAGAAAAATATGGCATAATTAGTAGCTTGAAAAAAAAAACAGAACTACAAAAGGATTACTGAGTAAAGAAGATATTCAATAAACTGATCAAAAGTTTAAAGTTCATAAACTTAACATTAAGTAGAATGAAATTAAATGACTGATTTTTTGCAATGCATTTGTGAAAATCATTATAACTCACTGATTTCCTGATTTCAAGATCTCGTAATGCCTTCTGAATTTTGTCTTCAATTTCCTTTTCAGGCTTTACCTACAGATAAAAAAAAAAAAGAAAAGCACAAATAAGTGTTAATAATTAAGTAACATTAACTTGTTGTACAGTCTAAAGTTGTAAGAGGGTAAATGATTAACCAAACTTAAATAAGAACTATCATATATAAATATTTTAAGCAAAAGAGGGTTTTAATCTTAATATTTTCATACACAAATCATACACTGAAAAAAAGTAATAATCAGTTAACAAACAGGTTGATATCTGAAGAATTTAAAGTAGTTAGTCAAAAGTAAACAAACGATCACGTCCATGGCAATTATTTAACCAATCAACATTAAAATACAATAAGAAAATTAAAATATTATTTCACTTACTTCAAATAAATATTCATGGTAAAAAATGATTTCCCGTATTACAGAAATTTCAGCATTTGTTTTGTAATATACATATTGACCATTCTGGAAAATTTAATGAAAAAAATAAATTCAAAATAAACTGATAAAATTAATTTCTCTTGTAGATTATTAAAAGTGAAACACCGATTTATTTTTCTTTTACAAGTATTACTAAATGTATTTCTAACTTTAAAGTTATCCATTTTTTTTATACAATATTAACTATAAACATTAAACATTGAATTATGGAACAATTGTTGTATCACCAATAGAACAGATCATAACTGAAAAGGACTTTAACATTATTCAGAAACTCAAATCTCTTTGTAAGTATCAAGGTGATAGCACTTATTGTGTCTGCTACTACAAAAATAGACAAATCAAATGGATATGTTAAAGAACAATTTCTTTGTCAGGGAAGCAAGTTTCTTTTTTCCTCATAGATTACACCTGAAGAAGGCTGAATAATGCATCTGCAAAAACAGATTTAAGTATACAAATAATGATGGATATGTTAATAACTCTTTTCAAAGTCATAGGTAATGAAAAGTATTTATTCAAGTAAATAATCAATATACATCAAGAACTCAGTATTATTTATCCACTTGGAGAGAGAACATAGCATTGGTTACTGAATTTGGAGACAATTTTGAGTTCAATCTCTAAGCTTGGTAGTATAGATAGAGAAAACAAGACTAGCAATAAATGAACAATTAAGATATTCCTAGATATGGACAGTAGAATAAGAACAATCTAACCATACAGAATGAATAAAAGATTCAATTTGAAACTCCATAAAGGTTTCCTGGACTGATAGACCCCTGAAGAAGGCCAGATGGCACAATGGCTGAAACACTGTAACAAAGTAAATAGTACTGCTATTTAAAAAAGCATTAACTTTCTTTTAATAATGATGCTTACAGTGTTACAAAATAGACCTCATTTTTGCTTGTAAATTATAAAATCAACAAAAGTTCAACAATTCAAAGATAAACAATAGTAAACTAACAATATTTTCTTTTCAGAGAAAGAATTTGCTGTGTCAATAATGGTGTCAAAGGTCAGTGTTTAAACCCTGGAGAAAAATCCAAAATTTTAAAGGTTTTTCAAGTTCTATCATAACTTGGACAATTGACCCAAGAATCTTCCTTTTCCCAAATACTTATTTAGAGTTTAATTTACTCAATATCTATTGTTTGAGTTATAAGAGATGAAGAGACAGTAAAGGGAATGAAAGAATTCACCTGCGTTGATTCAGCAGACATAAGTGTTGGCCCAAATACAATAGCCAGCTGATCAATTCCCATCTTGTTTTCATGTTGATGCTGAGAGATACTGAAACACAAACAGAAAAATTGATAAAGATTTCTATAGAATTTCAATAAAGTGAAAATTAATAGAAAAGTAAAATTAAATCAAAACTATTCTCTTTCAGCTTCTTATCATTTGTTATGCACTAATTCAACTATTTGCTTTCCTACAAAGAATTAATAATCATATTTGCCTAAAAACAAAATTAACTAAAAAAAATACATTTAAAAATTATATATTTTTAAAAAATTAGCAATTTTATGTTAAGCAGCTGAATACTCTCTTAAATAGTTTGAGAATTAACAAGTTACAAATGTCACCAATACGTTTACATAATGGAGATCAAAATGAATTGCCTGTTTTAAGTGATAAAGTAAACAGGAGATGCATGTTGTTTAAATTGTTATTTTTATTTTTAGTTTACTATAAAAGAAGCTTTAATTTTAATTTAGAAACAGAAAAGAATAATTAGATGATTTTTAAATCTGCTACACAAAATATTCTGTTAAAAAAAATTAAGTGGGTATTGAAGATTTTTTAGGGATTCAGATAAATACAAATAAAAACATGATAGCAGTTCAAGACAAGTACATTAAACTTTCACATACACACAAAATAAATACTCTTACGACTCCCTCTCCAACCTTACCGATAGCGAAGGTAGGGGAGGATCGTAACCTGTGTTATTTTGTTTTTTTGGTTTTTTTCTTTAACATTTTACATTTTTTTGTAAAAAATTCCCAAGGGTCACTTTCCGATTGATCAAACACAGCAGGGCAGAATTGATGAAGGAACAAACATGATAGGCGACAAACAACAATGGAGAAAGGAAATATAAATTTATTAACAAATATGGAATTGTGGAAAAGATAAAAATAAAAAAAAACAGCGAAAACAAAAATGACGATATGTCAAGAATAAACATTTAAACATTGTGGACAAAATAGTGGGAGGAGAGCATCCTCTAAGAAAGGTAAAATAAAAATCAACGTATGGCCTTGTGCCATACTCCAACGAATTTACAGGACATGTACTATACCTGCACGGATTCACAAAACATCAATTTTTTAAGGCAAGTGGACAGAAACATGTAATAAAAAGATCTCATGCTAAATTTGCATGAAAATACAAACATGAAAAAGAGGTACATTTAAACAAAAATGGAACACAAGAAAAACAATAAACTTAACTTAGAATAAAGTCCTTTTTCACTAATAATGTCTCTTAGTCTTATCTACTTCTTTTCTTTTTCCTTTTCTATTTCTTTTTATAAGGGTCTCTTTTTGAGGTCTTTTCTTACTTCCTCTCTTTCTCTTTTCGTCGTCTAGGGGCTTGGCTGACGATTAAGCAGAAAATGCGTTCCCGCTCCCTTTCGTCTTGGTATAACAGCATTCTCACTCGAGATGGTCTGGTCTGTTCTTTCTTTCTTTCTTTTCTCTCTCATGCTTTGTTTAAGGGCTTCGTGACAGTTGAACTGCTTTCTCTCTCTTCGATATAGCGGCGTTCCACATACGTCGTCAAAAGGGGTCCATCCATTCGACTGGGAGACCAATTCTCCTCACAATTTTGCAAATACACCCTTTTGGCCCATATTCCGAGACATTCGCCAAATGTCCTACCAGCCCGACAGCTTGGATGAAGACTAACTTTTCCGTTTCACTATTCATTTCCGTTTTCTTGTCACATGGTCAATTTTCAAAATACTAACTTTTTCCCATTATGGGTGGAATGAGGTCATCGACCCTCTCTCTCATCTTCAGGGTCAGAGAAAGTTTAGTTTAAAGTGTTTCAACTTCTTCCAACCGGAACCTATCTGTGTAAATCATGCTGTCATCACCTTGACCAAAAGAGAAGGAAAGGGTACACTCTGGTCAATCCTTGTCGCCACTAAGTCTACCTATCTCTTTGGATTTACTATGTTTTTTTCTGCAAGTACTGGGCCCTTTATTTAAGAAACTTTCTAAAATATAAGCAATGGTATAGTTTTTATAATACATTTAGATTGGGGTTCGTAACAATACACACTCACCTCCAGAGATGAATAACCATTTTCTTCAATGTGTTTCGGTTGATACTAGGCAGGCTGTCTACCAAATATTTGTATAACTTGAGTTTTATCTGAGTATCTTCTTTTGCTGAATAGGTAAACAAAAGATAAATACATATAATGGAATAAATCATTTCATAATGGAATAAAAGATTAAATCATAGCCAATATTTATTAATGAATAAAACTTTTCTCGTGTGTTCATATTTTCATAAATCATAATTCATATTATGTGTTTTTCAAAACAAAATGTTATTTTCAGTGCCATCCATCTGTTGGGTTAAAAATTAAATTTCCAAAACAAATTATAAACTTCACAATAAAATGACGTTAGTTTTGAATTGAAGAAACTTTGCAGGTTCATTTTTGACAGCGTCATGTTTTTGAAAGTCATAATTCAAGGAATTCTGCAGGGACTGTGAAAATGTCATATTTAGAAGATGTCAATTTAATAGGGTATGACTTCCAAAGCATTCAATTATAACAATTTTTCCATCTGTGAAATGTCATTTAGTACTGTTCTGCAAAAATGGAGATTCTTAAATTATGGGACTTTTCATTAATTACATTCTCTACACTCTGCAGTACAACTTTACAGTGATAGTCTGCTTCAGGTCAAACATTGTCAGTACACAATACTTGGCCCCACCACCAAAACATAACATTTTTCTGATGTAACCTCAGTTTTGTTATCACTGTCACCACACCCTTGTCTGTCTAGCAAAAAAATTCAACATATTTTATCACTTGTTTGACAAGCACTTCAGAGACCTCAAAGAAATTTTAGTTATCTTTCAGTGAATAGAGACTTTATCAAATACAGCCAAATGACATAGGATGTTAGGGTCACTACAGTTAAACTGCTGTGCCATTTCTCAGCTAAGTCACTTGTAGATCAGCTTCTATTACATCCTAATACATCTCTGTGGTCACTGGAATTTTGTAATACACCATCTGCTATAGAATTCTTTCTCTAAATGCCTGGTTGATTTTGTTGATCCAGCTGAACCATTTTGAAAGCAGATGCTTGAATGCTTCAAGTAAAATATGTTTGCATAAATCATGAGATAATCTATATCTTGAAACTTTTGGACATTTGCCTAATATTTAGTAACTGACAAACCTTTCTATATTGTGATTGCCATATTTCCCAGCAAATAATATGTACATATAATGTATAAAGGAACATTTACAAAATGGCTAATAATATGCAACTGATAAATGTAATTTTTTTTTTTTAATATTTTCAGCTGTACTCATAACTTATTATTTATAATCATGCATATTTAATTTTGAGATCATTAAGGGACTAGTGCATCATATTGGAGTGTTTAGGTGTTAGTCTAGCACCAATCATCAGGATATAAGATAAAGAGCAATTTTTGAAGGGATTTTTTAAGTGTGCCTTATACAGAAATGAATAAGGCAAAATATGTAATCATATAAGTTGTGTTAGTTATTGCACCTCAAAGTTAAACACAATGTAAAATCTTGTTTAAAATACAAGTACAAATATAAACAGGCTTATTTTTCAGTGAATGAGTGCATTCCAATCTGTAATCTAATTTTTAATTCAAATATTTTCACAAGGGTACAAATTTTATTAGAACAATAAAAACAGATATTTTAAAACTATTTCATAAAGAAACAATTCATGACAAAAAATGTATATTAACGTAAATTAGTAATACCAAAATATAATGATTAAAAAAACAAAAACAGCTAAACTGGTTTCTCATCAGAGCAAAAATTGAGAACAAAAAATGTGCACTGTGACTAAAAAATATACAACACCAGACTAATGTCATATGCAAATAATAAAATATAATATTAAAGACTAATTACCTTTAAGCACATTAATCTCTCCTTCTGTTTACAGAGATATGGTTGGTAGGACTTAATATATATTGATTCCAAAACCTTCACATGATATTGCGAACATGTCCAGACTATAAGAACAGGTACACTTGCTGGGTTTTAATCAAATATTTAGCTGAAGCAGATACATTAATGCACCTACGTAAATTCTCCACCTATCCCTTGCAAATATTAGCTGGGACATGTTGATTGACCCATGCCTCTATACTTTGACATTTCCTGACTACACAGTCAACATTGCCCTGACATCTGAATTTGTAAGTTACAGAACTAATATGCTGGATAAGCAGAACATTCTTCTAGATTAGTCTCAACATAAGTCAGCAATAAAACATGTAGATTGGTGGAAAAATAAGTTTCTTACACCAACTGATATTTGCTTGGCAAATCTTGCACTCACCTGACCAATATACAATAAACACACATTTCTGGGGACCAATCAGCCTAGGCTTAGGAAATTGTCACTTTTTCTCTACTGCTGGACTCCACAATATCCACAAGGGTAACCATTTTTAATTACATTACTTAAAATAATTTTGGGCTGCTTCTGTTCAGCTCAAAAATTTTAGAAAATATTACAATTCAATTTTACCTTGATTTTCCTGTTATAAAAAAGTGAGTGTTCAAACTTTTAAAGAATAATTTTTAACTGGTGTAAAAAGTAAACAAAAAGTAGAGAAATAGAGCAAATGAAGAGATTTGCAGACAATGAACAGCAAGAATGGGTTGAGATTTAAAAACTAGAAACAATTTTGCAGTCAGTTCCAGTGCTAAATATTTCCTCTGATTTGACTAAGCTTAAATATGTGAAGTACTTACAAGCAGCATTAAGCCAGTCTTCATAGGATTTCCTAGTAAGAAGAGGATCTTCCAAGTTCCGGAAAAACTTTCTCAGTGCACTTGTAACATCATGGAGAGTAAAATTCTTCAAAAGCAGATGGACATCCTGAGCATCTGTAAGAAAAGAAAAAAAAATTTTGTAAAATCTTTTCCATAAATATTTTTGAAAGATATTTATTTCTAGATTTGTCTTCAACAATTATGATCAAATAAATAACTCCATAACAAATAACAATTTTATTTTTCAAGATTCAGATAACTTATGTGGATCCTGAAAGCATTATGAAAGTTAACCTTCAAGTAGTATCATGAACTTTTAATATTTTTCATACAGTAGCAAATAACAGAAATAGGAAAACATTTTGTCCAGAATATTCAATTTTATTAACAAAACAGATTAAATATTAAAATTATTATTCTCTATAATATTTAAGTAGACAAAGATATTTAGTGAATATACAGTTAACAATAACAATTAAAATAAATACATAAATGAGAAATCTAATAATGGTAGACAAAAGAGTACCTTTTTCAAAGGTTTCCAACAATGCTGTCACTCGGGATTGAATACCATTTCGTCTGTAGATGCCATCTTCTGAAAGACCTGAAAAAGTTTTTGAGTAGCCGAGTTTTATGTAAAAAAAATATATAATCATCATAAATGATGTACATATAACTAACAAATCTTTATGATGATGCTTACAAACAAGTGGACAACACAAATGCATAAAAAGTGACACCAGATAATCTTTAAACTTGCAATGTTGACCACTTAAGTTCTTAATTGAAATTGTGGTTGGTAAGAAAAAAAAGACTGTATGATGATCTGAATAATAAACTGTTAAGCAAATTCCTTTTGTCTTTCTAATACAAAAAAAAAACTTTTCCAAAATGTTTAGTATACTACAAATTTAAGTATGCAATTCCATATTTAAAATTTATTCCCAAATATAATTAATGTTACTAGTACTAAAGGAGTTATAGAAATGTCTATTACAATTCTCACTGATGTAAATAACATGGAAAATTTTAATGAAAAATACAAAAAGACTCATTCTCAGCTTTTCCTAGATTTTGAAAGACAGGACTTACCATTTGTCATAATGAATTTAATACATTTATCTACAATTACTGGAACATCATCAGATGTAAGTTGCTGGTCTTCAAGTCTATTCTGGCATTTCTGGAAAAGAATCATTTAATACTTAATACTAAAAAAAATGCAACATCACTATCTGCATTACTGCAATATACAAGAGAAGAAAAACCCCTTCTAGTGCTAGGAAATTTTTTTTCTCACACTCGTTGGTTTATTGTGGCACTAAAATCACCAAAAGTTATATCCATCAAGGAATAGGACAAGAGGAATAACAGTTAGTGCTCTGGCAATAGAAAAAATATCAACAATTGAAAAGTGGCAGTTTGGAAAACAATGCAAAATAATGTGGGTTTCCTTCTACCAGCAAGTCCTTTTGCTTATAAATTTTAATAAAATTAGAGATTATTCACTTTCTTTAGTGCTCCACTTTCATATTATATATATATATATATATATATATATATATATATGTGTGTGTGTGTGTGTGTGAGAGAGATAAACAGATATGACACCTTTATACTTCAGCCAAAAACATGAAAATGTAGTCATACACTTTGACATGCCCCAGGTCAGGTTAAAGTAGATTGAATCAATTTCATCAGAATAGGTACGGATAGAAATTAGATTTATTAATTTAAAGTAAAGATCAAAGCAGAAGTAACTTGAAACATTTTTTTCTTCAAATGATGTTTGCAAATAAATTGATACTATCAGTTTTCTGAAAAATTAGTGTTTTCATATAAGTAAATCAATAAGAACTGAATGGTAAGTATTCAGTAAAAACAAACAAGTTATAATGTTTGAAGAAAGCTGTCTTATGATGTAATGGATTCTTCAAATGACAAAAGTGATGTGTGTGTGTGTGTGTGTGTGTGTGTGTGTGTGTGTGTGTGTGTGAAATAAACAAAACTTAAGATTTATCTTACAGTGGTTGCAGCACGTATAGCCTTTTCCAATCTTTCTGTGTCATGTTGAAGATCAGCCTGAAAGTAAAGGCTCCTGTAAAAGAAAAAATACAGATAAATTATCACACATTTGTAAAGTAAAATTAGCTTTAAAGAAAAAAAATATCACATATACAAAAGTTAAAAGGAGATGAAGTGGTTTCTACAAGGACCAAGGCACTTGACAGAAAATGTGGGTCTTTATTTTGCTGGTCAAATGATTTTGAAAAAGGTATGAAAATTCTAGCAAAATAGGCAATACAAGAAACATAGGCAACAGATAAAGAGATTGATCAATCTATTCAAATTACTTTCTGTCAATTATACATACTTACAAAAGGGATACTCAAAATTTCAGGCACAAAATCTTAAAAAACTAATAGAAAATGGGATCATTTTCTGGGAAAATGATTTCAAGAGAAATTTTAAATACCGGACAATCAAAAAGAAAAAAAAACATTGATAAATAGATTGAATTTAAGGTGGCATCTCATAATCACATACTAGGTGCAGACATAGAAATTGGCTAAAAATCTAACTCATCTTAGAACAGATCACACTGCATTTAAAAATATTAATCTCATTAAACTTCACTTCTTGAAGAGAAATAATTTTAAAAATTAATAATGTATATTAATTATACAAGAGATTATAAGTTTAAAATTATACAGGTTCAAAATCCAATTTATATTTTAATATTTGATTTCAAACTTCAAACTGGGGGTAAAAATATCAAAAAAATTTAATAAATGTGCATATATACAAAATTTTTAGTAACAGAAAATCAGATTCCTAAAATGAATTAATTTTGTAAAAAAAATAAAAATTCCTCAAAAGCTGACAATTTTTATTATAAGTGGGGATATGACAGTTTAAAAAAAAAAATCATGTGAACAATGATATCATGAAATTCAAACCAAAGGAGAAAAATAAAACATCTTTCAAAATTCTAGAAAACAAATGATTTTTATTCAGCACATAATACTGGTAGACAGACAAGAATATAGTCTAATGATGAAAAGCATTTTATATAAATATTTATTTTTCAATAATCTGTCAATGCATTTAATTCAGTATTAATAACAAACATCAAACATAATATTGTGAAAATTTCAGTTTAGGGATCAAAATTATTCTAAGCAATAAATCCAGCTATAAATTAATTGATCCATCTTCATACATAATATTTGACATACTTATAAAAACTAATTTAAAAAAAAAAAGGTGAGGGAATAAAGGTCTTAACAAAACTGGGATATTGTGAGCCTCAACTTCCCATTTAAATAAGATGATAGCACAAATGAACAAAACTTTACCACATTGTCTAACATTTTATCCTCCAACTTTGGGAAACTATTTTTTTTTATTATTCAAATAAAATTACAGAATATATTGATTAGATGTTTTTTTATGATTGATCAAAATCATTTTTCATAGTAGACATTTAATTGTTATTACCTTTCTGGAAAGCCAGCTATGAAAGGATAGCCACTCTGAATTGTATGTGGACATTGCTCACTATTAATCACATCTAAAATCATAAAAGAGAAAAAAAATAACATAAAAAGATTAAAAGGAGTATGAAAATGTTCAAATGTAGTAAAAATATATATATATATATATATATATATATATATATATATATATATATATATATAGGAATGAAAGTTACAGACTTGAGTTTTTATACATCTTCAGGTTGTCAAATATTTTAAGAATTTTCAATCAAATAATAAATCAAAAAAATATTATAGTTTACCATTTCTGCAATGTCATTTTTGCACAAATACAGGAAAACAGAAAGCGCATGCATGGTAATAAAAGCTACTGGTTCAAATGACGCACACAGTAAACATGTAACATTAAAATTTTTAACTCTTGTTTTTTTTTATATTGGTGGAAATGAAGCCCCCCAACAATCTGTAAAAATATATTAAGTGTAACTTCCTAATTGCTAATGATCAGCATTTAATAAAACAATAAAAAATGGCTTCTACTCCATAAATGCCAAAAATATATTGTGGTACTTTTGTTTAATTCCTAAAATATTACCACTAAAGTTATGAGATATCTCTTACAAAAGTTGAAATGGAATATTTAATCAATAAATATTTAAAACAAAAATACTTGGGTGTATCTTAAAAAATGTGTTATTATATAGCTGAAATTACCAATGAGATCACTTCTTGAGGAACACTAAACAAACACTAAAGCTAATCACTAATGCTGCACGATTCCAATGAATTGTCAAAGACAGTGAAGAGAACACAGAATCATCCATTAGAATAAAACTTTATTCTAATGAATTATTCTATATTTTCTTCAGGTGCTGTTGCAGATCTGGTAAGGCAGGATTTCCTTACACAGCACTGGTTGTCAAGAGATCACAATGAAAAGAAGGAATATGGTAATAAGAGATTCACTATATTGACAAGAGCAAACATCTCACAACTGTCAAACATTTAAAACATGGACCAAATGAGAAAATGTTCAATGAAAACTACTTACATAGTACAATATGAAACACATGGATCCAAAAAGAATAATATATTGATAAGTATTATACAACATCCTAATCATGATAACCTCAAATTGTGGAAGTTATTAAAATCATGTTTAGAGAACTGCTAGCTTCACTGGTTGTGAATATTCTCTAAAGAGCTGCACATAGTCATAACATACTGGAAATCCTAACTGAATGCTGAAAAAGTGACTATGCTGATAAAAATATGCTTCATTAAAGAAAAAAAAAAAAGTAACATTCCAGGAGAATATTTAGAAAAATAAGTTTCTTTACATTGAATTTAGAATTTTGAGATGCTTTTCAGCCAAAACCACATAAACCTGACCTCGTCATGTGGTTAGTTGATTGAAAAAAGTCCATGTTGCTGATTTGATGTTTACATTTGATGAAATTATCAGAGCTCATGAAATTTGAAAAATATAAAAATCCCTGATAAAAATGTATAAGACGTAGCTAGATGATAACTAATGTTTTTTTTTTGTTTTTGTTTTTTTCATTGAAGAGAAATGTTGAATTTTTGTCATCAATGCATCTTCAGCAAACCAGAAGAAACTGATTACATGAGAAAAAAGGAAATCTATCTCCAAGTCAAAGAAAAATCAACAAAATCTTTTTTAGATAGTGCTGAAGCACTTTGGCTAGTGTTAGAAATACTGAAGCCCCAAAAATATGCTTGGCACCAAAACCATCAGCTCACAACAGCTTTGATGGCACTAATTTTACTTTCCCAGTAACTGCATGAAAAATACTGATATATGATTCAATCCCTACCTTCAATTTTAGCAAGTGCATCAGATAAAACTTCACAGCACAGTTTTTTTTTTTTTTTTTTTTTAATTCTTTTGTGTATAAACATGCAATAAAAGGTTGTAAATGCTGTAAAGTTTCTAAAATGTCAGCAAATTAAAATAATGTTTTGGTACACATATTAGCATTTATTTATAGTTGTTTTATAGGTACCTCCATGATGATGCAAAAAAAAAATAAATAAATAAATAAATATCAGCATACCATGATAAATGTAATGAAAACAGTTTTATCATCAAAATTGTAATGTTATTAAGAAGGATCAAAGTATTTTTTTGAATATTTAATTAAATTTTTTACTCCTTTACATTCAAAACATTGATTAAGAAAGTTGTTTTTCTTGTGTCAGCAGTTGTACTAACTTTTAGCATAGCAAATTTTAGCTTCTTTTTTTGCAGTGACAAACACATTAATTTGGAAATTCTTGCAAAAATCAAATAATTGTCAGATTTTAATGAAATTTTTATGACTTGTTCACAAATGAATGAAATTATTTTTGAAATGTTTTATTAGAAAATTTTGGTAAAAATATTTTTTTAACATGTTTCAGCCCCTTAATTTTATAAAAACTTAAGAAATTCAACATGCTAATTTTTAGTGATAATATTAGTTAAAAGCAAAATTTAAATTACCAGTTTTTTATTTTTACAAAATCAGACCCCATCTTACCAAAAATCCGTCCGAATCAAAAAATAAACAACATAATAAAACTAAGACATTATTTAATTAGGAGAAGCTTTTAATTGCTTTTATGAATAATAAATATTAAAACTTATCTGAAGAAAAAAAATTTTTCAACAAAAAGAGAATTTTTACAAATTGAATAATTTATAAAGTTTTTAAAGTTTTTAAATCTTTTAAAATTCATTTCCAATGTGATAATTCTTAGGAAATATTGTTAAGTAAAACTATATCTACTAATCATATATTTTAAAGCTTATTACAATCTGACAACCCCAAATATTTTTTTTGAAATTTCAATTTTTATGTGTTTTATCATGCAAAATTTCTGAAGTATGAAAGTACAAATTGATAAAACTAGCATTAAAAGGTCACGTGTTTTAAGGATTACTGTCCCCCCACCCATAAGCTTTATCATCTGCTCCATCATACACGTTCATACTGTCAAATCAATTAAAATGTCAGGAAAACAAAACCCTATAGTTAAGAAATGTTTGTATAGAACATTTTATGCTATAAGTAATATTTTTTCAAATCATTAATTTAACTTTAAATTTGTTAATTTTCCTCAAATAATGTTTCAAAAATATATTTCATTTTTGCAAGATTTTTAAAACTGAGAATTAACTTTTGTTTACATATCAGCCAAAAATGGCCATTTTGATAGATTTTACTGAAAAAAAAAAAAAAAAAAAAAAAATATCAATTCCAATTCTGTTTGAAATACACCAGAGTATCATGCTGACTGGAAATAATAAATTTTAAATCCTTTATCTTGCAATTAAAGTTAAAATAAAAGCCTCAAGAAAGTTTTTTCATTTTTAAAAATTTACATTAAACTTTATGTATACTGAATTAGTGGAGGTACCGATTGTTTTTATATAACAAAAACAATATTCAGCTTAATCTTTTTACTGAAAAGATTATTTATGTGCCATGTTGAAGTTTTAATAAATTTTGAAAGCTATTTCTAAATTTAAGAATAGTTTCAGATAAAAACAAAACAGTTAAATTTTGCACAAATAATAAAAAAGACATGGTTAACGAGATTATTTCAATAAATAAAGCAGTAGAAACCAAATTTATTTCATAATGCTTAGCAACCTCTACCCCAAAGTAGATGACTGTCCTTCATGTCAACAGATGAAGAGGAAATAAAAACATAAATACATACTTACTGACATTGATTGTTTTTCGTAGATCATACTTTTCTCCCTCTTTATCCTATATAAAAAAAAAATAAAATAATTGTCACTTTAATAATTAAAATATTAATACTAATAGTCACAGATATATATCTGAAAGCAAGTGTATTGTCTGGAGTAGAACATAAATATATTCAGATGAATCACTACATATATTATTAATGGATCACTCTAAACCAGGTAATGGCTAAGTGCCTATAATTACAGGTAAATGAAGACAATAAAATATGCTTTCTGAACAAAATACATATGGTTTATATTTCCAAATTTATACAAAACATTGAATTATTTTAGAAAAAAAGATTACAATTGGTAATATGAAAAATATTACTTCAAGAAAGTAATTTTATAAAAAGGGAATTGATCATAAAAAGTAAAAATGCTAACTATATTTCCTTCCTATTTTGATGAATAAAAGCTGTATCTTTAAAAATGACAATTTCAGCAATTTAAAGGAGAAATATTAAAAAAATCTTCTAATAAATGAATATTTGATTACAAAAATACATGACTGATTAGAAGCATTTTTTTCAAACATAATTTCTAAAGGTTTATAAAGATTTCCTATATAGACTTTCTCAAAGGTACACAAGAACATCAGAATTAGCATATGATCAGCCATTTCCAGTATACAGCTGAACTATTTTTTTTTTTACTCTTGCAGTAAAATTAATGTAGATTTTATGTTAATTGTAGTCATTATTTCAAATTCTTAGTTTTGTTTGCTTTTTTGCCAATTGTCTGGAATTGGCAGAGCAATGATTCAATATTACGTTCTGATGAATGTTCTTCTTTGGTACCTACACTTTATGAATTTAAGTGCAGTACTACATTGGCGGCAAGGTCTCAATTTACAGCTGAAATTGTCTAGATGTAACCACAAATTCTATGCTAACAGTTTCTTCTATCACACTTCTCACTTGTGGAACTCTTCTGGCATCTTGCTTCCCAGTTAACTTTGATCTTCAAAAATTTAAATATAATGTCAATCTTATCTTGTTTTCTTAATTCTTATTCTGTTATTGTCCACTCTCCTTAATAGTAGTTTTTTTCTCATATCCTCTAACTCAGTAACCTCTTGCATCCTAGTGGCTTTATTGCCTTACTTGGAGTGAAATGATTAAAAGAATTTGCTTATAATTACCCACAAATTTACTGCTTCCTCAATATATAACAAATTCTTTAAAATCATCATCACAATAAGGTGAAATACTAATGAGAAATATGATTCACTTGTAAATGCCAGCTTAGAAAATGAGGTTTCAGTCTTCACATATAAATATTTTCACAATTGACAAAATATATTTATGCTTTATTTATGACATAACATTAAAGCTGATATCTTGCTGGTTTTATTTCTATATTTTGCAAGAAGTAATGTAGTCTTTCTACATTATAAGAGAGAGTAGAAATACACAAATTCTAAGCATTATAAGGCAGAAAGGCATACAACATTTTAGATAAATTACCTTTTTAAACTACACATAAAAAAAACTCATTCTAAACTAAAATTTTTTTTGAATTGAATATACAAACCCCCAGAAAATTTTAACATTTGTCTGTGATTGTATATATTGTTTTTAGTTGCTATGCACATTTTATTTTGTCCTCAATATTTACTCAGATGAGCAAGGATGGATAAACCAGTTTAGCTGGTTTTTAATAGTCGTTATATTTTGGCATTAACATGTTATAGTAATATATTTCCCCACCGTTTTATGAATTGTTTCCTTTATGGTTATAAATTGTTTTTTAATATACTGCTTTTATTACTAAAGCATGTGTCATAAAATAAAAATGTCAAATAAGCTAATCTTACAAACCAATAAGAAAGAAATTAGAGAAGAAAACCTGACAAAAAACAAGGAGCCTCCCTTCACCCTCAAAGACTCTGGCATCCCCCTAACCTAGATCATCTAAAAAGAAAAAGGCTTTTCCAAAGAGGCAGGGCATCTGCAATGTGAACAGATCTGATGTCAAAAGGGACCTTTCTTCCTGTAGAAAGACTTTTTAAAAGATTTATTTAAATTAACCTGAAAGTCAACAGAAGATCCCAGGTACTTCCTGAAGTTTCCTGGGGTAATAACAGTTATACAAAACACTGGCAGCAGACTCAAAATATGAGAAATGATATATACTGCCAAAGAATCATTCCCCAAACTCAGGATGGTGCAAGTAATGCTACTTGTGTGACAAAAGTTTTCCGCACATTGTTATGAGAGGGCCCCAATTTTGCTCCACCCCATGATATATAAAGCAGTAAAAGCTAACCTTCCTGACGAACATTAGTAGTATTGCCACTGGTTTAGAGATTATGTCTGAGCAGGATTCTGGTAGTCTTGTTGTGGAATCACCTCTTTCATTTTGGATCATGATAATTTTTCCAGTAAACATTTAATGATTCCTGGTACATTTGTCCCACAAACAATATTTGATGAACCCATGTGAGTCCGGTTAAAATTAAGAAAAACAAAACATGGAATTTGAACCGAATAATAATTAAAGCATGTTATTAACAAAAAGGAATTACATGTGTGCACAAATGAAATCAAAAGGATAAGACATTAAAAACTAGCTATAAGATGTGTGTGTGTGTGTGTGTGTGTGTGTGTTCAATAGTCAGTGGAGCAAGGAACTGGAAGCAAGTGGAAAAAAAGAACGAGAAGGAAATTGTCTTTTTATAGACTTAAATAATACTGCCTAACAGGCATTTCTGGCAAAGCCAAGTGGGATATTGCACAAGACCCCCATATTGGGAGAACTTTATTTTGACAATATGTCTATAATGTCAGAGTTTGTTCCGTTTTGTCCTTTATAAGCTGAAAAGACAAAGATTCAAATAGCGTAATTGAGATGTGAGTGATTAACATGCCGACGAAAATGTACTTGTTTGGAGTACTGCGTCATCCGAGTGCTGTAGAATTTGTAGTGTGTCAGAATGTAGTATGTTCTGGAAAATATGTCGGTAGAATGTTTTTCAAAATTTGTGGTTGTTTTCCAGTGCTTCATGTTAAGTTTATTTTGGTTTGGAAGGACCATTTGTTTTGCTGTGTGTGGATTTATCTTGGTGACACAAATGTAACAATTAGAAAAGTCTTCGATTTGCAAAATCGTTGAGTTAATACTGGTGAAATTGATACAGTGTCAAAGCACGTTTTGGAAGAACTTTTGAAGGGATATGGATTGATTGTCAATTTTTGTGGAGGTGCTGCTATCTCCAGTATGCTTTAGTCATTCTTGTATATCTTTGAAGTGTCAGTGAGTCGATGTATGTTGAGTTATTTCACATCTTTTTCTGTTAAGCCCGAGAGAGACTGTACAGCTTAGTTTTGCTGTGTGGTATGAGAAAGGAGTTGACTTCTGTGTTTGAGCAGTACCTTATGTGTTGCTGGCATTTTCTTGTGTGGTCCACATATGTTTATTTGTGAATTGTAGTTAGCATTCTGAAGAAAATGAGCTGTGTTTTCTGTGATTAAAACTTGTTAAAACAAAGTCAGGGTATTTTTTGTTTGGTGAAGTTTCCACATGGTGAATAAAGTTGTGTTTTCAATGTTGAAATGTTGTGTTTGACAAATATTACCATGTGGTCACTTGTGCTTCTGTATTTGTATATATTTTCAGAAACATTACCATCATGGATATATTATTAGGTCCCCTCTGAAAATGCGGTATTTCGGTACATGTTCAAATTGAATGGAATGGGATGAATTCTTGTGGTGATTGTGTCACTTGTTAGAACGAATGAGTTGTGTATCAAACTAGCTAAGAGTAGAATGATGACTTGCCTCCCCCTTCAGCCTTGTGCCACAAACAATGTATTTTGTCTAATAAACAATAAAAGAGAAGTTAACTTACTCTGGATACCACACAATTACAGAACTTTTGCCAGACTAGGTTAAACAATATTTATTTTTATAAAATCTAAAAATATGTGCATTTTACAAAAAAAAAAAAAAAAAAAATTACTGTTCAGCCAAATGAGATGGTTATTAATGTTTGTCTTACCTTTGTAAAAATTCTGAGTTCTTTACAATAAATTCTCAACCAAATTCTGGACCATTCCTATCAAGAAAAATACAGAATCAAATATCTTGTGTTTTTCAGTAACAAATCAAAGATTAACCTGCAAAAAGTATCACATAAAACAATTCAAGATTATAAAATAGACAATTTCTTTCTTACTTTAAGAAAGAAAAAAAAATGTTAAGTTTTCACAGCACTAAATAAATATCAAAGATGCAACAGAAAAATGTTAAGAATTGTGTCCCTGATTTCCTGTTGTTTATTCACGGTCAAAATATTTTGTTTTTGTTAGATGGCATTAAGAGGGTTCAGTTTTAAAAATGGTTTTGATTGTATTGTAACAACTGTTATATCAGCACCCATTTTTTTTCATAATTGGTATATTTTTGTTTATTGATTTTAATACTGATGTTATGTCCTTACACAGCCCCAAAACCCCTAACCACAAACATTTTACACTTAGCAACTCAATTCTTTTCATTGCTCTAATTATACATTAGCTCCCATATCTCTTTCAATTTGTAATAGTAGTGCTATACTACAAAAACAATTACATCAGACAGGTTGACCCCAGCAACAGATCTGAATGGAAGCTAAAAATAGATTCTCACACATGTGCAGAATCACATGATCAAGTATGAACTTTGAGAGGGAAATATTAGAAGAAACCAGTTGGGGCAATGGAACTCAAGGGAGTTGGACCAACCATGAAACAGTCATGTGAATAGATTCACCAAACTGAAGAGGAGGAATGACATCCCCAACCTGCACAACAAAATCAATTGAAAACCGAGTCTTGTGTGTAACATCTCTTTTTAGTTGTTATTGTCAAACAGAGGAAATCACACAAAGAATAATTTCAATTCAGCTTAATACTATATATAATAATAATAATAATATAATAATGGACTCTCTCGTCGGTTTTGACATATGAGGATCTGATATTGATTCAGTTATGAAAGTTTGTGCGATAATCTTAAGTGGCACTTAAGACCCACTAGTGATTTACAAAGGAGGCCACATATGGAGCAAGAGTAAGGATTGTGGGATGAGATCACTGTTCGATTGGCTGACCTTTTAGATCTTGCTCACTTCTTGAAGCCAATTCAGACAAGCTGATTGAAAACTGAGTCCACTAAAACATGTTGATCTCCATTCTACCCTCTCCAAGTCTAAGCACTCAAGGGTATTATGAGGTATATTGACAGCTTACAAGTTGCTCTTCAGCTTGTCTTTGTATCTTAGCCATGGGTGTCCTACATTCCTGTAGCCCTGATCTAACTGGCTGTACATTAGGATCTTGGGTATCCTGTAATCAGACATTCTAAAGACATGACCAGTCCACTGTAACTGAGACTATATGAGAAAAGTCTTGATTCCACCAATATTAAACCTGTTAAACAGGTCTACGTTAAATGTCCTATCTTGAAGGTTAACTCCACAGATGGCATGCAGACAGCTTTTATGGAAAACATCCAGTGGTACCTGTATGGAGTCTACAACTGAGCCGTACAAGATGATGGCAAGCTCTATAAACCCAAATTTTCGTATATATTGGGTGTTCCAATAACTTGGACCGATTTTAAGTGTGAATTAAGTTTGACTGTCTAATGATTTTTTTTTCTTTTACATTTAACAACTGCTTAAGTCTTTGGCAATTTCAACCATGGAAAGATTAACAATCAAACGTGTAAGTTATTGAAGTCTATTCCGAAAATGGATGTTCAAACAGAAATGCATTTCTCTTTGCGATATTTTTGGTCAACATAATCTACCAACTGAAAATGCAATTGGAAAAATTGTTTGTAAATTCAAACAAACTAGGTTAGTGGTAGATGTGAAAACACCATTGCATGCTCATTTATGCTGTTCAGCTGAAAATATTGCTGCAGTGCACAAGAATGTGGCTGAAAATCCAGACACCTCTATTTGTCACTGCACGCAGGAATTGAACCTCTCTACATCAACATTACATTGAATTTTGACAGATGATTTGTCTACACACTTACAAAATTCAATTGACCCAAGAACTGAAACCTGCTGACCATTTGGAGTGCCGTACATTCATCAATTGGGTGCCCAAGCAAAGACAAGGCAATGAAAATTTTTTGCAGAAAATCCTCTTTAGTGATGAAGCCGATTTTCATCTTGGATTCGTTAATAAGCAGAATTATCACATTCGGGATGATGAAAATCCAAGGAAAATTGTTGAAAAGCCACTGCATCCACAAAAGGTTGCTTTTGCTAGCAGAATCATTGGGCCATATATTTAAAATTTGAATGGCCATTTTTGTAATAGACTTTGATAACTTTAACATATTGTTTGATTGTTAATCTTTAATGAAATTAATGAAAATTGGTTCAAGTTATTGGAACACCATATGGAGAGAGTATTTTGTAATTAATTATTTTTTTTAAAATAAAATATTTATTATTAAGTTAAATATTAAATTAATCTAAGCCATTTTGCTAACATAAATGTTTATTGTATTTAAAAAAAAAAAAGAAAAAAAAATAGCTCTATGCAAAATAATCATTCTTAATTTTCAATTTCTTAAAATTTAAAACTCGTAATTTAAAGTTTAAATTAAGGTATGCTTGCACCAACTTCTCTTAATTTTTCTTTTCTTTTTGTAATTTTTAATTTTCTGTAATTGAAACATTTAATTGTAATTCACTTGTTTGTTAATAAAATCTTCCATTGGGTATATTCCCTCATATTCTTAAGTTTTACTAAAGTAATTCAATTTTGTTTTGTTATTTTTGACTCTTTATGATATATCCCGGAAAGGGATTTATTTGTTCGAAGTAGCAAAGTGGTTTTGGACTACTGTAACTGAATAGGACAATAGCAGGTAACCGTAATGAACTGGCTCTCGTTGTAGTGGCAGGCAATAGGCGTAGCCAATAGGCATTGTCCCTGTACCTCCACATCAGTCTGTATTTATGGCTGACACCAGCCAATCATATTACTGTGTGGGGGAACCCAGGTGTATGCATATTCATTACATCACCCCCCCCCCAAGCTAAATTTTCCTGTGAAATTTAGCTTCAATATTTTCTCTTTATAGGGTCTGGACTTAATCGATTGATTTTTTTTCATAAGTCTTTTTCGCCTCAATCCTCCTTGCAGTGGAGGCATTTGACACACTGGTACCTCTGGCCTTGAGGTCTGGGATACCTCCATTGGCAAATGTTGACTTACTGGAATGGGAATTTCAAATGCGTCATACAGGGCTTCCATTGGAATCTCTTCGGTATTTTCCATGACCTCTGTAGCGTGTCTTGGTCTCAACTGATTCCAATGAATTTTTCACCAAAATTTTTCCCTTTTTATGTCATATATGACCTGTCCAATTCTTTTGGTTATCATTCCTTCTTCCCAATACATTTTTCAAGTCCTAAAGTTCTTGAATAAACTGTCACCTGGCTTACACGCTTTAGTCATCTGATTTTCTTTTTTAGCAATTTTCTTCATCAAACTAGGCAACAGCCTGTCGAACACATTAACTCTGCTGGCGATAACCCTAACATCATATTTGGGTTTGGCGTGATTCTATATACTGCCAAAAATTTCTGAATACTTCTTTCATTCGTGTCCACACCTTGGTTTTTCTTCAATGCTCATTTAAAGATGTCCACAAATTTTTCCACCTGTCCATTCGATCTTGGATGATATACTGGTATTGTCATGTGATCAATGGACAATGATGTACAGAATTCCTTGAATTCTCTTCCCGTAAACTGCATTTCGTTGTCACTGACTAAAGTTTTAGGGAGTCCAAAGTGACTAAAAATTTCATTAAGCGCGTTTATTTTATTTGTTGCAGTCAGATGTTTACACTTAACAATTCCTGGCCAGTTAGTGAAACTGTCCACAATGATCAGGTAATAAGATCATTTATGGGCCCTGCATAGTCAATATGCAATTGAGTCCATGGGACATCTGTCTTTGGCCATGGTTGAATCTTTACCAGTGGATCCCTTGCTGCCAGCTGACATCCTCTGCACTTTTTCAGCAAATTTTCTGTCTTGGTCCATCCTCAGCCAATAAGTATAGACTCATTAGAGATTTCATTCTCAAAATCCCTGGATGGCCAGTGTGAAATTCTTTCAGAATTTTTTTTTTTGCAGAGTAACCGGCATTGCAACTATCTGCGTATAGTAATATCTGTTCGCAGATTGAAAAAGGTGACACACTAATTCCTTTTTAGTTGTCTCGTTCAACAAGACTTGCTTTTTCATTTTTTTTAATGAAATCATCGTTCACCGCTTTTTTCACATCTTCTAGCATAACCTGTAGTTCTCTAATAGTGTTGCATAACAGACCCAACAATTCACTTTCATCTCTTAGTGCCGCTATTGCTGTTTCTTCCGGTGGTTCCATATATTTAGGTATCAATCTTGATAACTCATTGGCGTGACCTAGCTTCTTTGAAATTATAATTCAATAGAATTACACCCCAATGTTGTAGTTGATTTGCCGTGAGTTGGTATACCTTTTTTTGAACCAAATATTGTTAACAGCGGTTTGTGGTCTGTCGGCAGAATAAATTCTCTTCCGTATAGAAACCAGTGAATTTTTTTTTTACAGCATAGATTATTGCTAAACTCTTTTTCAATTTGACTGTAACTTCGTTCCGCAGGCAGTAATGTTCTTGAGGCATGTGCTATTGGCTTCGTAGATCCGTCCTCGAATTTATGAAGCAATACCGCAACTAATCCCTCATTACTAGCATCTGCTGCTACAATGATTTTCTTCTTCGAGTCGAAATGTGCTAATGATAGGTCTGCTAGTAGACAGCTTTTTATTTTTTTAAAAGCCTGTTCACATTCTTTCAACCATATCCACTTTGCGCCCTTTTTCACCGAATTATTTAAAGGAGCTCTCATATCATACATTTTTGGGATATAAATGCTATAGTAACTTACTAATCCCAAGAAGGCCTGGCATATTTTTTATAGCCTCAGCCCTTTCTGGATCTGGTTTTCTTCCTTTACTGTTAATGATCTGCCCTAAATATTTTATCTTCTTTAAGAACTCACATTTTTCAGCACTCAGCTTGAACCTGTATTCCTCAATTCTCTGAAATACTGCTCTAATATGTTTTGTATTGGGCCTCGTTTTCACTTTTAATCAAAATATCATCTAAATATGTGATTACATACTCCATACCAGCCAACATTGTGTCCAATATTTGCAGGAATAGGCTTGGAGCTACCTTCAGCCACAAAGACGATTTAGTTTAAAAATCCCTTTATGCGTGTTTATTGTCAGGTACTTCAAACATTCTTCACCGACTTTAACCTGAAGGTAAGCCTCCAACAAGTCCAACTTTGAAAACACTACCTCCATTTAATTTAGTGAATATATCCTCCAGAGACGATAGAGGGTACGCATGGTCTTTCACACAATCATTTAAGCCTGTCGAAAAGTCAGCACACACTGATTTTTTCGCTTTTTCTTTTTATATATACGGTTGGAGATGCCCAATCCGAATAATTGACTTTTGAAATTACGCCAATTTTGTCCAACCTTTCTAATTTCTCATTTATTGTGTCTAGTGCCAAAAATGGTACTTTTCTCTTTGGTTTAAAGATTGGTTTAACATTTTCTTTCAATTTGAAGTTGACTTCTGTTTTTGTGCACAGACCTAGTCCTTCTGAAAAGACGCGAGGGAATTCGCCTTTCAAATCTGTACTAAATATTTGTTTGCTTCGTCTTATAGTTCTCTATGATGTCAACTTTGTTACAGAAAGAATTTACCGGCAACTCCCATAAATTAAACAATACGATCCAGTCTAAACCAAAGAGGTTTACTGAACCAGGGAGCACATACGCTTTCAATTTGTGAATTTTTCCTATGAACACAAGGTTACATTTTAATTCACCTCTAAACTTCTTTTTCTTGACACTCCCCTGGAAATTTTGTCTGTGTTAGTCAGCAGTGGGTAACCGAGTTTTTTCCATGTTTGCTCGTTTATTATCAAGATATCACTTCCTGAATCGAGTAATAATTTTACGGTCTGCCCATTTATTTTTACATTGAGGTATTTTTTATCTTTGACCCTCCTCAATTTCATTTTTAGACAAAACTACATTCACCTTTTTTTGAGACTTTGCTTTTACTTTACTGTTTTGCCCGACAATGGAAACTTCTATGGCCTACACACCCATAATTAAAACATATTTTATCCCTAAAGAAACAATCCTTCTTTATATGCTGTCCTCCACACAAACTGCATATATTTTTTTCTTTATTCTGTATCCACTTCTGTTGTCTTACAGTTTGTACTCGCGAAATGCTCTTATCAATCTGAGTATTATGTTTTTTATGTTTATAAGTCGCTGACATTCTTCAGTTATTTTTTGTAGTGTAATCTTCGTATCCTGTTCCATGATAGTGAGAATTCTTGATCTAATTTCTTTGTCCTTCGGTGTCGTTAGACCCTGCACAAAAATTAGACACTTGAACATGTTGCTTGATAATTCCTTTAATTTAAACGCCTCACACTGTGCATTAACCATACCTGCATACGGGACAAAATCATCATCCTCTTGTTTTATGATATTTAGACACTTGTATCATGTATGAAACAGACTATCTCTTTCATCAAAAATTTTTGACAAAATTTCTACTGTTTTGCTGAATGTAATTTCTTCTGGCTTCTTTGTGAGGATTAAATTCGCATATTTTGTATTTTCTTCCGTTCCCAACTTCTGCAACAATAGAGTGATTTTTCCTCATCAGACCATTGTTCACATCTTTTTGTAAATAATGTTTCAAACCTACGAAAATAAGCTGAAAACGTTGAACCACTGTCAGGGTCATATTTAAATTCAGAGAGTGAATTTGAAATTCCTTCAGCAGAAAAAAATCTAGAACCCAGTTCTTTTGTTGTCCTAGATAATACATCTTCCAAAAGTGTTTTATTGTCTCTTGCCTGTTGTTTGACTTTCTTGTATCCACAAGAAAAAATTTTGCTCCAATTTATGTAGACAATAAAATTTTCTAAATCCAAACGAGAGGGGGGGGGGGGCAATTTCCTACTTCCTGTAAGCATTGCACAAGTTTTTCCTTTTCAAACGTTCCTCGTTAACAAGTGTTAAAACAAAAATGAGGGGAAAATTACTTTCTGTAAGCATCGAACAAGTCTTTCTAACGTTCTTCGTTAGTAAGTGTTGTCAACTGTATATGTATTTTTTTTTTTTTTTTTGTTTTAACTTGTGAGGTCACTTCGAATCAAGTCACCAACTGATATGTCCCAGAAAGGGATATATTTGTTCGAAGTAGCAAAGTGGTTTTGGACTACTGTAACCGAGTAGGACAATCTAGCAGGTAACCGTAATGGACTGCTTCTCGTCGTAGTGGTAGCCAATAGGCGTAGACAATAGGCATCGTCCCTGTACCTCCACATCAGTCTGTATTTCTGGCTGACACCAGCCAATCATATTACTGTGAGGGGGAACCCAGGTGTATGCATATTCATTACATCACTTTAAAAACAATTCTTCTCTAGCTCTTTTTCTAGACCACTCAAAAGTCTTTGATTCAGTTAATCATAGGTATGTACACGGCAATACAAAGGGGGATAATCAAAATTTTTTTCAGATTTGTCAATTATAAACAATTACCAAAAAATCAGGGAATCATCCAATTTTAATGAAATTTTCAGCATTAGATACATTAAGGAATAAAAGGTTTTTATTTCAGTGAACTACAATTCCAAGGCTATTTCAAACAGAAGTTTTTTTATTTTTTTCCTTTTAATATTAAACTTTCAATTAATACTTAAAGCCTGATGCTGATAACTTTTTAATTTAGTTAGTCTCAAGACCCACAGATTTGATTTGAATTGGTTCCCAGGAAATTCTATGGGTCCCAACTAAAGCTTTTTAAAATGTAGTGTTAAACTGCTGAGCTCAAAACTAAAATGTTTTATTTTTTTTATCATTGTCCCAAAAAACAATTTTAATTGTCCTGAATCACTTAAATTGACAAAACAATTTTTTTTTTTTTTTTTTTTTTTTTTTTTTTTTTTCAGAGAGACATAGCCAGTGCATCTAAAAAAAAAAAAAAAAAAAATGAAGACATCATTCTGTCGAATATCTTACTTATGGGTTCATTAAGTCCCCACAAAATTGTACAATGCCTATGTATCTGCTATGCATGACCTCACTCTCAAATGAAAGTATGTGTCCCTGCAAAGTGAAAAAACTTCTGGAGAATTCACACAGAGACAAGAAAGACAATCCGCTAGATTTCTTCAAGAAGTTATGTGATGAGTTCCAAGAAAGGATGACAGTGAATTATAGGTTTACTCAAAAAGTGATAAAAGTAAACAGAGGAATGTTGGCTTCTTACAAGCAAATTTGATTGCAAAAACTGTTAAGCCTCATACTATTGATGAATTTTCGATCATGCCTGCAGTGGCTATAGTGCTTTCAACAGTCATGAATCAAGAATCCACAAGAGATATAACTAGTGTTATACCTCTGAGCAATTCATCAGCATTTACGAATCAACTTTACCCGATAATCCTTTTTTGATTGCATTTGTGAGGTTTCTTCATGTTGATATATATCAAGAACTACTTTTCACGGTGAAACTAATGACTGACACTAAGGGCAAATCCAACTTCAAAAAATTTGGTCTATTTTGAGGAGAACAACATTCCATTCAAGAACATTATGGCTTGTGCAACAGATGGTGCTATTGCTATGATTGGAAGATACCTGGAATTCAGTGCTTACTTTTAAAATGTTTTCCTAATGTGGTTTGTGTTCACTGGCAGCACCTGGTTGCCAACACCTAGCAGGACGTCCATATGAAGCACTTATGCATGCTATCAAGGCTGTCAACTTGATAAAAAAGTGATTTTTGAAAGAGGTGATTCTTGTAGTTCATACAAGAATCACCTCTTTCAGCAATTATGTGAAAAGAACAGTGAGGAATTTGAACGACTTGTGTTGCACACTGAAGTCAGGTGGATGTCCTAGGATAATTGCCTGCATTCTTTTGTTGCACTTTAGAACAGTGCTATTTCTTTCTTGAGTGAAACAGAACTTAGACAAAAACTTGTTGAGGCAAAGAGTGATACCTTCTACTTGTCTGACATACTTGAAAAAGCTAAATGTCCTGAACAAAGAACTCCAAGGAAATGACTCTACTCTGTTTTCCTGCAAGGAGGCAATGCATTTAATGGGAAACTAAAGCTGTTCTGGTTGAACCTTGGGAGACACAATTTCCTTCCTTAGCAAATATATCCACCAAGCTGCTCAGAGAAGCAATTTTTGATATCATTATGCACTTGCTTAAAATGATCAACATGCACTACTAGGTCATCATCAATCTACTGCCACACTGGTTTGTGGATCCCTTCATTGCTTGATATCACCCCTACAAGAAAAGTTTCATTTTACTTAAAAAATAACACAGCAGCTCAAGCGAGTTTCAGGTGTGGAGGATACCAGAAGCTGTAGATGAGTGAAGACATGCATAAGAATTACTCACTACACTTGAAAAATGTGAAGTTGGTCTTACTTGCTTTTTGCACGTCTTACTTGGATTATTTAATAAGCCATAAAAACTGAATATATAATTGCATAACTCCTGAATTGAAGCTAGACAGCAAGAATTTTTATGTCTTTTTGCTATCAGGAAATATAAAACATTGAAGGATGTAATTTAAATTGACAACGGAGTAAAAAACAAAACTATTTGATACCATTAAATTTTAAGGAATCAGCTTTATTTTCTTTGCTTCCTGGAATTAAGTATTTAAGAGAAATACTTCCCAATTTTTTCATTGCTACACAACATTACATGGCAGCACAAGAATTAAAGTTAATTGACAGAAATTTAATTTTATAAGATTTTTACATTATATTTACTAAAGGAAATGAGACATTATACTGAAATAAGAGATTATTAATAAGCCATAAAAACTTTGTTCCTAAACTTGTTTGTAGGACTTTCTTCTGATAGAACAAATATTTGTAATCTTACCATTCCATGCCATTTGAAATAAAAATACCCAGCCAAATCAAATTCAGTCACAGCACTCATAATATGTGGAGGACAGAATATCTAAAAAGAGAGAAAATGTAATCAGGAGCATTAAATTAAATCAAACATTTGTATCTAGAGAGTGGGAATAGAATCTTTCATTGTTCATCTGATGAAATGTTATTTGAATTCTCTTTTAATTGATTTATCTTGATCCTCATCCACAACTCACTTTAAAACTTAAACTTAAAATCTTGCCCATTTTTCTTTAGGTTGTCATGGGCAAGGTCTCAAACAAAGTACATTTATATTTTAAGCCAGAATATGAGATGACTTGACTCAGGGTATGATTCCCTGGCTTCATACAAGGAAAGGATGTCTACAGATTAATCACACAAAAACACAATAACCAGTGAAAGACAGTGAACACATGGGTTCCATTTAAGACAAACAATTCAATAACACAAACAGTAAGAAAAGAAAAAGAGAATATAAAAAAAAAAAAACATTTGTTTTGGGTGAATATGCAGTGAATGCAGCATTTAACACCGAAGTTTCAATATCATGTGTTCCTAGATCAATAGAATTCAAGTAGTACTTATGTGAACTTCAAATTCAATATGCCAATATTTTCACAGAGAATTACATCAGATAGTTCCCTGTATTCACATAACACTTGAATTCATTGACAAGTTCAGAGAAATAGAATGTTCAAATTTATGGGTAATTTCAATATTCTTCCTGCCAGATTTCAGGTAGTCATTGTTAAGTAAAATACTTCCACAGTCATCGAATTTAATATTAGAGATCTTTTCATATGCTGAAAATATATCAGTAATCCATAGATGTAGTTCTCTGGAACTCCTTCATGGCACAAAACTGGTTACTTCCATTATTTAATTCAGTTACTGCCTTTCTGCTCCTCTGGACAGACAATTGCAGGAGTTGGCCATCCAATTCATTTGACTGCCTAATTCCAACTGTTGAATCTTTGATTTTGGTGCTTGAGTGTCCATCCATGGTCATGTAACCTGGTTGACATGTAGGATATCAGAAACAATCATCTGTCCTCTGTTTCTGCTGTCCTGCATGGGTACAGGGAAACACAGGATTTGCTGTCACCATTCACATACAAGGAGTAGTTAGAATGAAGGGGAAGGGATAAAAACCAATGTTCTTATCTATGAGATAATTGATGGATTAGTCTTTCTTTCGCTCCTTTAATACACAAATTATAATAGCACGTAACAATGTACATTACCTCAGATACTTTTTAGTCTAATCTTTATCCCACTATAAGATCTAATAATATATATGTAAAAAATTCTCAGAATTAACCTGTGAAAAAAAACAATATGTATAAAAGAAAAAAAGACAATAGGAAAACTGTAGTTTTAGCCAACTCGTTTCATCCAATGTGGACATTTTCTTGGTAAAAAATGAAATGAATTTATTAAAACAAAGTATCTATAAACAACAAACAAAATGTCATAAACTTACATGTAACTAGAAGTTACAAACGCTATTGTATATTCATATGGTCAACTGAAAAAATTACGTCATTTACTTTTATTACAATACAAACAATATTTCTTCATGTGAAAATATTTTCTTTAAACAAAGTAAATGACATAATTTTTCAGTTGACCATATGAATATACAATAGCGTTTCTAACTTCTAGTTAATAACATTGTTTCTTGTTTATACTTTGTTTCAATAAATTCATTGTTTTTTTTTTGCTTTGTGAAAGTCCATATTGGATGAAACACAGGTCTTTTTTTTTTATATATATATATATATATATATATATATATATATTATACACACACACACACTTGTGAATCCATTAAATCATTTTTTAATAATTTTCAAAAAACTATTGCCTCCTTTCCTGCCACACCAGTAACTACCTTTTATACCTGCAAGTATATAACAATAAAACTAAATAAATATTACAATATTTGTATACTTACCTTGGCAAGAGCTTGCATCCATGAAGTCTGTTCTGGTAATGATTCTGCTGCAAATTGATAAATTCTGTTATTGTGCTGTGTGGTACTTAATTCAAATGAGTAAGGATACCTGAAAAGTACAAATAATTATATTAAGACAATAATTAAAAACCTAAAGAAAAGCACCAAGTAATTCACAGTAAATGCTCAAAGAAGTTGCAAAATAAAGACTCAAGATATTACTTACTTATCCATAACTGTTGCCTGGATCACCAACATCATAGTATTCTCAATATTTCCTTTTGCAACAGTGTGCTATAAGAGATTTAAAAAAAAAAAAAAAAAAAAAAAAGAAAAAACATCTATCAAATGAGAAATATGAATTTATAGTTTTGATAAATAGTATTTACCACTTTCATAGTAACACTTAATTCTGATTCAAGAGTCTTTTTTTATAATTCTGTTTCAGTTAATCCTCTAATATAAATTACATCAAATGATTGTCCACTGAAAATATGTATAAATATATATTAGGTTAATATTAACCTAATATACCACATTTATGGAAATATATTTACACACAATTATTTTATCTTCTCATTGTAAATATTTTTAAATCAGTCCCGCAACTCCATACATAAATTCCATTATGGCCATGAACAACATAATGCAACAAGTTATTAAAAGAAAAATAGGAAAATTTTGAATGTAAATGGTAGTGTAATGTTTAAAGGCTCTGAATGAAAAATCAACAAGTGGAGTACAAACTCTTTAGCCATAGTTGACAACTAGCAAAGAAGGAAACTGAATTCAAAATCATATGCGGCCTTGATAAGCACATACTTGAACTGTAACCAACGTCTGTTCAGCATTGTTGCAATATAAATTATAGGTTAGCTCTGCTTGTGTTGAAGAAATACAGATGGACATGCTTATAAATGAACAGCCATGCTGAAGATGAGAAATCACATTGAATTGCAGTGTACCTTCAAGTGAAAACAATGCTGATGGGCAATTTCATAAATCAGTAGGCAGAAAAAATTCAATCTCTTGTCTAGTACTAAATGCCTCAAGCAGGCATCTTTTACATGTTTTCTGCTTATAAAAACCTGTAAAAGATTCCTGCTTGAGGAATTTGATTTGATTTTTCATAATGACAAGAGATTGATAAATTTTATATGTAGAAAAAAAAAGATCACCTTTTTGTCAGCATAATAACTGAGACAGCAATGTTCTAACAAACACCATCGTCGAAGAAAATCAGATGCTACAAAAGAAAAACAAAATCACCATTAGATTATTTTTAAGGGAAAAACCAGAATAAATTATCAACAAATATGAGGATACTCTTTCTTTAATTAAATCACTCCATTTGCAAACACATTGCAAGAAGCAAAGAACAAGACTGGCACTTATGTAAACAGTTTCTAAAAATGTTACTACCACTTCCAATTAAATATAAATAAAATTTAAAAATAAAGATCTTCTGACTTTAAGCAAAAAATTTTTGAAAGAAAAGGGCAAATAACAATTACAAAACAATATTTGCTATAAAACTATTTCTTTAAATAAAAAATAAAAAGCAGAATTGATTGAAATTATCTTGAACTTCTATGAATTAATATTTCATGAGAAATATTATTCTTACCTTTCATATTAACCCCGGTCTTATGCAAGTAGCCTTGATAATGAACAGCATTTCTCATTGTTGCAACAAGCTGAAAGAAGGAAAACTAAAAAATTTATAACAGTGTTAACAGTAGTTCAATGTTTTATTGTATGAGATTATATAATTATTTCCTGTTCAAGATCATCCTTAAGATTAGACTGTGAAAAAAAACTTAGGAAACTAATTAAGTGACAAGGAAAATAAGGAAAGAACAAATTAAAAATTAATTAAAAGCCATAAAATAAGTTCAGAAAAGAAACCTAAAATAAACTAACAAGAATTCATTAAAATTTAGTAAGATGAGATTTTCCAACACACCCAGTTGAATCCAGAATATGAAAAATTTCTGGTTTTCTGAAATTTCCCAAATTCAAAAGAAATTATTGATTTTGTTATATAAAACAGTAATTAATATTAATAGGAGTAGATAGATTCATCTATCATCCTGTTCATACACTTCCTTGTTTTTTTTCTTTTTTTTAACAGGAGTAGAGGTTTTCCCTGTTTCCTGTTTAGAATTGGCTTTCTGGTTCCTTCTAAAGTCTTTTCATTCTCTTTCACCCCCAGTAGCCCCTTAACATCTTAGTGGTACTATCACCTTGTTTGGGGTGAATTGATAAAAAAACAAAAAAAACAAAAAAAACTCAAAGATGTTAATTTTATTACCAAAATGAATATCTTATCAAAAACTATACAATGTCAATGGCAGTGATGAGCAAATTTTCTCATATGAATACAACATATATAGCCAAGAACTGAAAGACTACAAAAAAAAAAAAAAAAAAAAAAAGTGCTTTATATTGTTATGAATTACTGCTTGAAAACTTTTCTAATGAAAAGTTTTCAACCAGACTACATGGAAAGATTTATGATTCCTTATGTAATTGTAAATTCTTGTATTTGTTTTCATTAAACCTGTTATTAGTTATCAGTAAAGTTTGTTTCTGGTTTTCAACAAGAGAAAAAGAGATCACAATGGCTTGTTGAAAGTCACACCTGAATTCTCAGTGGGAATCACTATGACCATTTAACAAAAATCACCATAAAATCTGGTTACCTCTACATGCAATGGCCATTAAGATTAATAACACTGCCAAATGACAATGCCAAGAATACTATATTTTTGGTAGTGCTGAGAGAACAAGTTTTTAACCTTTTTTATATTTTTTTAAGCTAAACTATGATTTAACTATGATTAACAGAAGATTAACTTTCTCAGTTCACTGTATAGAAATCTTTTGTTCTATGGGATAAACAGGATATAAAACAGTCTTTTTGTAACAAGCATTGTTTTTACCTACTGTTTTTTATTCATTCAAGTACATGCTATCAGTGACATACAAATAAGGAATGATACCTCATGCGAAAAATATTAAGTAAATCAAAAATTAAGCATATATGATAAAAGGAAAAGTAAAGATTAGGGCAAATTTTTTATATAAACTTATCTTTTTATAAAGTTTATAAAATGTACATAATTAAATAATTAAAACAATATTTGAATACAACTGTAAATATGTATCTCACACAAGACCAGAAAAAAAAAAAAACAAGTCTTTATTACAGACTTTCATCCCCCTTTTTTTCTTTTATGTCTTCATCTTTGTAGATCCTGGTATCTTCTCTGATGATGCCTCTATGACTGAGGAATTCACTGATCAGATCTATCATACATTCTCCACTTTAAGTTATCTTTACAAAAGAGCATCTTTTCAAACCACAATGATAGTGTGTGGCTGCAGACATTATTTCAAGAGAGAGAGAGAACAAACCCAGGAAGATTAAGAACTAAATCTTAAGCCAGTGCATTTTCACGCTCCCCATCACCCCTGACTTTACAGGTCACAGATCAAGCTCACGTTACATCTCAAATATGGGGCAAATTGTGGATGACAAGAAAGATGATGTGGACAATGTCATCATTGAACTGAGAGACATGCTAAAATCTGTAACTGTTTTAGATTGACTTTTAATCTTAATGTTTTTAACAGGAACTTTAACATATTTTATTAAACAATAGAAACTGTTACTCAACATTGGTGCACACAAACAGTCACTTTTTAAAAACCCTCACAAGTGCAAATCCTGAGATAGCAAAAAAAAGGTACACAACCTCATCACAGTTATCTCCTCCAGGCAAATGTACCATCTCTGTAAAACAGCAAGAAAAATTGTTTACTAAGTAAAATACAAATAATTATTGCAGAAGATTACAAGGCAAGAAAAGAAAATTCTACTAAACTAAAAATCCATCATAAATTGTAAAAATTTTTACATGCTTAGATACAGATATGGATGGACTTAAGAAATAATTTAAATTCCAATAATTCAGAAATTGTAAATGCCAACTCTAATTTATTATGAAGTAGAAATATTTAGAAAATAAATAGATGTGTCTTTTAAAAATGACAAAACCAAGAAAATTAAAAGAAAAAAAAATTTATGTCAAAGATTCTAAACTGATCTGTCCATTCTCTACCCAACATCTCATTTACAAAAAAATCTGTATTTTTGGTTCATTTCTTTTCAATTAACTGTTATTGTTTTATTTTATTTCCTGATAATAAAATTCAAAATTATTTTTTTTTTTAAATGTTAACAATTCTAGTAGAATAAATTCTTTTCATTCTTCTACTTATTATGAATTGCAATCCTCTTCATAAACTATTGAGGTATATCCTTGTAAACAACTACAAATGATCCATTCTTGTTAACATACAACAAAACCAGTTTATCACTATATGGATTGAATAAAGTGATCATTTCAAATTTTATCTATCCTAACTTGCAGGAGACAAGAACATATCAATATATATATATATATATATATATATAGATACTAAGCTTAATGGAAGTATACAAACTTGGTAATTAGTTATAGTCAGAATATAGTAAATAATCCTCCAATAATTGTCAGTCAGTCAGTTATGTGCCATGTGTGATACACGCATAGGTGATCCTGTATCTTTTGATACATGACTGACGAGGCAGATTTTTGCACCACAGTAGGTTGTTATTTCTTTCTGCAGTAGACCAGTTGCTATCCAAGGCTACAGAACCCAGTCTGTCCTATTTACCCATAGCTGGTGGGAGAAGAAGAGGATTCATACCTTTCCCATTAGCAATTCAAAGTATGGATCTTGACATGTGAGATGTTATTGTTGAGCTGCTTCAAAAAATATTCTCACATATTTATCATCTTCCATTCAAAGTTGAATTGTTGTAAATACAAGTGAACATCTTAATCATGAACAATGGTTTTATTCAGCTTTAAATTTGTCATTAATCAAATTACAACAATCAGGGTTTTTGCTTTTATGCTTGTACAGTTAACATAATTGGTTTAATTTCTTAACTTCTATTAGAGATCAACTAAGGGGGGGGGGAATATCGTAATAAAATAAATGCATAATTCAATTCTGAAAGAAAATTAAATAAAAAAAAGGAGATGAGAATATTAAACAAAGCTAAGCTTAAAACTCACCCTTTGAAAAAGAGGATTTTCATATAATAAACTCTGAGATTAAATTGAATCTGATTTTCATAAAACATTTCAAAAGGTTAACTGACAGCAAATATTCCGACAGAAATGCTCAATTGCAACCTCCTAGAGATTTAACTTTTTATCCATTGCTTAGCATAAACTAAAAAAAGATCTACTTACTGTCTGCTTGGTTATGAAGAAGAAATTCCTGGAAATACACAAAAGATTTAATTAAATGTTTGTTATATATATATATATATATATATTATAAATTAATTGATTAAAATATGTTTTTTTTCGCTACACAGTTCCAACCATGTTTCAAAAATAGAAGCTAAAAACCCCGAATTTAATTTTGCAATTAAATTAAAAGTATTAGTTCCATTTCTTACTGTTCTTTCTTTTTATTTATATACATATATATATATATATATATATATATATATATATATATATATATATATATATATTTTTTGTGTGTGTGTATAAAAAATGGAAAGTTTTTTCATGTGACTTGTTTTTGTCTCTTAGGACTTCATCAGATCAAAGTGATGTTTATATTGGTGTGATTACATGCACATATGGAGGAGAGGGCATGGCAAATTTTTTTTTTTTTTTTTTTAAAAAGGGGCTTTTGGGTATATAGTCTAGCCAATTTCATTTAGTTCTTTGGGCACTTCGACATGGTGTAATGGTTAGCAAGCTTGTCTCACTAGATTAGTTACAACTGAATAGTGAGTTCGATCCTCATTGGGTGCCCCATACATTTGGCCTTGCACCACATTTAAGCTACTCTAAAAAAAAAAAAAAAAAAAAATAGGGTATCTCGAGGTGGTATAATGGTTAGCAAGCTTGTCTAACTAGAACAATTACAAGTGTGTAGTGAGTTCAATTCTCACTTGGGGACCCTCTACTTTCGGCCTTGTGCCACATCTAAGCTATGCATGAAAAATCACTAGTGTGTAAACTACTCAAGTGGTTTGTAACACCCTATTTATCATCTCTCAGTTGTGTTTTTGGGCAAAGTGCACTCAGGAGCGACTCCATCAAAGAACTGAGTCGCAAATTTAATTTAGTTGCTAGGTAGAACAATGTATTTGGATTAATTGGCCACTCATATCCAAGGATGCTAGTCTGCAAATGCAGAAATCCACACTATCTTTGCAGCATCTTTCTTTATGAATGTTTGGGTTTGACAAATTCATTCAATTTGAAAAAGGTAATTATCTTTTTCTTTTTTTACAAATCTTAAGTTTCATGATCATGCTAAAAAGATCATCTGCAAGGAAAGGAAGCAATGATTTATCACTGATATTTTATCAGAAATGGTTCTATGTCTTTCAAGAAAAAAAAGACAAAAATCTACAAAAAAAATCTGGAAATGAAACATTGTTTGCATTTGACAGTACCACAGAAAAGGACATGATATGAGGTTATTTTTCTGTTTTTTTTTTTGTTTTTTTTTTTTAAAAAAAAAAATTTCCAATATGCTATAAGGAATAAAAAAATTTAATAAAAATACTTTGATCTTTCCGCTTAATAATAACAAACATTTTGATGATAAAACTTTGTTCTTATTAAGTTTAGGCCTTTTTTCATCATGTTATGCTGGTTTTTCAGCAAAAAAGTGGAGGTACTTATTTTGATATAAAGCCAAGTAATAAAATCCAAATAAATTTTATTTCATCATTTTTTTATACAACAAAAGCTAGAGATACAGATCATCATTAGCCTGAAAACTTTAAAAAGAACGTTCTTTTATTTTATTTTCTATCCTATCTTAACACAAAGGCACATTTTCTTCGAGTCAAATTTGATTCTCAAACTTTTGACAACAATTACAAATGTAATTTACACAGATACACATTGACCCAGGATGCATAAAGTATCTATTTTTCAGCATGAACTCACCCACTGCTGACATGAGATCAAAAGGACTTTTCACTTTTGAAATTGATATGTGAATAAAATTTCAATTGTTCAAATTTTAAAAAACCCTGAAAATTTTTTTGAGATTCTACTAAAATGTATTATTATAAAATAATCTATTTTCAACTACAAATTCAATTTTTAAATTAATTTATCTTTGATAGAGATATTTACTTGTCTCTGACACCTTTTATCTTTGTTTTTCCTCTTTTCTTGTTGAGTGAGGGTAGCAGCTGAGAAGACATGCCTTCATACTATTTCTCCTTTACTTTGTAGTCTCAATTAGATGAGAAAGTACAGAAGTAACTACAATGTCATAAACTCATTCTAATCTAGGAAACATTTAACTTATAAAAAAAAAAAAAAAACTTTTTCAGGGATTTTGACTTACATGAATTGAGAAAAAGGATGTGTGGGCAGCCAAATTTAGAAAAACCCAGCACTTTTCAAGGAACTTTTGGGCTATTACTGTTTTTCCAGGACTTTTGAAGCCCTGGAAAAGGCCTTGTCAGTTTTACAGGATTTCAAGGTTTCAAGGACCTGTACAAACCCTGCTTGATGTTGAAAATAAATCCAGGTCACTATAATAATAGATTTCCAACTAAATCACATGCCTCCACTGAATCATACACTCCCATAGCTATATTAAATTCTGGGTTACTCATTGTGGAGAAGTATAGATTTTTCTGCCTGCTTTATATTAATTTCAGTCACTAATAGGGTAGTAATTTATTACCAGATTGATAGCCGACATTAGCAGATTCTTGGTGATGGACAGGTAAAAGTCACAAATATCGAACTGGATGAATATACAGCCATTTTTCCTTTTTATATTGGTAAACCATGCTATGGCTTCAGCTGTTTTGTACCACTGGTTAATTTCCAGAGCATTTTTGGTGTATTTGCATGCTTTTTCAAGGATGCTCTTACTGATTATACTGATATTATTTTTGGTGATTGGTATCGGAGGTTGTTTAGAAAATTGCCTTATGATCTTTAACTCTGATAAAGCTTGTTGCTTGTGTAATTTATAAATCCTATCATCAATTTTAAATTCCATGGCTATTTTCTTGGCCTCACTATTGGTGTTGTTTTCCCAGTTATTGGGGGGGTTTTATTTAAATTTTTAATGTTTTTGAAATTTTTGAAAAAAAAAATTTTTTTCTTAATTATTTGCAAATGTTTAATTGTTATTTTTAATGACAATATTTTATTTTTAATATATTACTATTAAATAAATATATTCTTGTTTTAAGAACAAGTAATCTCTTTAATTATATAATTTTTAAGAATTAAAATATGAATATTCCCCCTTTTCTAATAGAATTTCCCTATTTCTTAACAGATAAAAATGGTTTTTTTTTTATTTTTTTTTTGCATTGTGCATAAAACTCAGTCATGTTAGCGGTGAGGGATAATATGTATATTTATTAATATATACTTAACAGTTTTGTTATATTACATAAAACACTGTTTTATTAACACCAATAAATATATATATATATATATATATATATATATATAAATATATATATAAGAGAGTGGTTATTAAAAGTTAAGCAACCCAACCAAGGAATAATGTCCTGATGTTTTTATATATCTTATATTTGTTATATTAAGTGGATATTTAAGCAGATACCCCTATTTGTTTTTTCTTGTTGCTTCAAAATTGAAATTAGTGCCTGGACAAAAGATCAAGAAGTCCTACTAAAGAATTTTTCTTTAATCATTTCACCCAAAGCAAGCCAATAAAGCAACTAAGATGCAAAAGAATGAGAAAAAAAAAAAAGAAAAAAACATTAAAGAGAGAAAGCATTAAAAGAACAGGAATTAACAAGACAGAAGATAATGATTGACATTGCATTTAAATTTTTGAAGATCAATGTAAACTGGAAAGTAAGAGGCCTGGAGAGAGTTCCACAAGTGAGAAGTGCCAGAAAAGAAACTGTTAGCATAGAACTTACAATTATATTTCAAACGTAAAATGATGAAAGCTAGCTGCCAATCTTACGTGGCACTTAAATTTGTAAAGCTGATGTATCAAAGAGGAAATGTCATCAGAACAATTACCATGAAAATATTTATAGAAAAGGCACAGGAAAGCTATATTACACTGGTGGGAAAATAACTGAAGGCAAGATGCCAGATCAAAACTAATAATATTGCAAATTTTTCTTGGGATTTTGTCAAGAATCTCTATAAATACATAGCAGAAACACCAAACCAGATGTGGCAGCAATATTCAATATATAAATGGTAGACTTATAAAGATGTAAGACAGATTTTGACAAGAAAAATTATCTAACACAACACTGAAACCACTTTTCTAGCAGTAGACCTAGCAATTGATTCGATATAAAGTTTTCTGCTTAATATCAGCAGAAAACATTAGCCTGAGAAGGCACAATGAGTCATTGGAGGTTACATGCTAACTGTTTCTTCACCTGCACTTCTCATTTATGGAACTATCAACTTCCAATTTTCAGTCAACTATGATCTACAAAAATGTAAATGCAACATCAATCATCATTTTTTGTCCCTTTGAATCCTATTCTTTTATAGTCCTCTTTCCTTTCACTCTCATCAACCCCATGCACCTTAATGGCTTTTATCACCTTTCTTGGGGTAAAATGATTAAAAATAGGGAAAATACTACATGAGAACTATGATACATATAAAGACCAATATTTACACCTTGAAAGTATCATATTTTTTTTTACATCATTTTAACATGTGAATTTTTCTACAAAAAAATATCAGCACAAAGGATAGATGTATTTATTTATGCTGGCATTTTGTAGAATCTCTAAAAGCACTTTTCTTTTAACGAGTTTCATAAAACTGTATAAAAAAATCAATGAGAACCTACCATTTGTAACCTCTGACTTGATTTTTTGGCAAGCTGGAAAGCTTAAAAAAAGAAAAAAAAATATATATATATATATTTAAAACACATTGACATTTTCTGTGTGCATTTGTCATTTAAGTTATTTTTCATTAACATATAAATTTGTTTTTTGTGAGAGTTTTAAATTTTTCTCTTAAGTTCTTTGAATTAATGCTGAAAGTTATTTTTAATTAAGTAATTAGAAGGTTCTAATAAACATTTCATATGTATGAAAATCTGTAAAAAAAAAAAAATTAAAAAAATAAATGTATATACTTTTAGAAACTTCTGATAATTTTTTGCATAATTACAAGTATTAGTTATCATTGTATAAAAACTGAAAATTCATCCATTCTGAAAGATGTGTTAATCTTTTAATGACTATATTTTCTTTTAATCATTACAACATATGAAATCTTTCTATCATTTGTGATCACAGTCTAAAATTCAATGCATACCTGTTTCTGTTGGCCTCTCAGGTGAAGTGTAATTAAGCTACAAAACAAATATTTTTTTTTTAATTCATTTATAGCCTTGTTTATAAACTTGAATTCTATAAGTAGATGAATGAATCTGATTTAATGAATTTCAATAAGCTTAACATTTACAACCAGATAACCATTGTATATTTTAAATATAAGAAACATTTTAAACATTCTAAAAAAATTCCCAAAAGTAATCTTTCATTTGTTGACACTGTCATTCACAAGGGTCAAAACATTTATTTTTGTCTATTAAAGTTAAGCAATATCCAACCTGCCCAATAATTAAATGGGTAACCAGTTAGAAACACAACATACTGTAGTTGTTTAGTAAATAAAGAGAGTATTATTAACAAAATCAAGATACATCCTAATGTACATCTTATGAAGTATATAATTTGAATAAGTATTTTTTCATAGAAGTATGATAATATTTAAAACAATTTTACCATTGTGGATAAAATTGGATAATATTGTATCCTACTCTTCCCTACTCTTGTTTTCAAACAATAGCTGACATTTGCATTAATGATAAAATTGATACTAAATCAAAATACAATGTAACAAAATATTAAATATAATTTCCTAATTTTTTAATATATTAAAAAATGTATTGTAATTAAACATGTTGTTGCATAATTAACAGAATGTCAGTTTTAACAGAAAATTAGTCTATAAATGAAATCTACACTTCAAATAATAAAATTATAACAACATTAAATATTTTCTTAAAAATTGACTTTTTTGCATTTTTAAAATGTTGGTAGAAATACTTTATGGTAAAATCACTTCATCAGTGAATAGATCAGTGACAGGCAAAGACTTATTTGAAATGGAAGACGCAATAAATAAAAAACAAGTAATAGTGCATTAAAGCATAATACTGCACAGTATACTTGGTGATCTAAAACGGGCATTGATTAAATAGTGTGTTGGGGGAACAATATATAATTTTCATATATCAAGAACAATTTTATGAAAATCTATGACAAAGTGTAAAAAAGTTTTTGTGACATGTTTTGTCCTTTTAGTCTGTTGAAGTCTGAAAGGATCAAACATCATATACAAAAATTTTCTATTTTGTCATTATATATATATATATATATATATATATATTTTATGGTAAGCAATCAACCCACTCATAAACCCAAAAAATGTTTCAGGATGTAGTTAAATGTAATGTAAAAACTCTTGACATTACTGTTGAAGTCTCTTAAAATGTTGCTGGAGATAGATCTGCTTGGAGAAGGTGATTTGGGGGAATGCTGCAACAATTTTGAGCAGAAGAGAATTGAGCATTCCAACAAAAAGTGCACCATTAGGAAGGGAGAAAGAGAATCTATTCCAGAGTTATTAGGACATCAACACTCTTGCAATATTTGTGGAAAAGTCACCCTCTCAGCAGAGAGGTCAAGTATAAACTCCTGTGAATGCAAACCTACCAGAAAGAGCTGCAGGCTATTTGTGCTAGTTTTGTGACAAGGTCTGTAAGTCTGTTGCCAGACTCAAATGTCAAATGATTGTACACAGGCAAGTTTCCAACATAGGTAACACAAACTTGTTGTTAAAGTGAAGCTGGCCTTAAGTATCACTTACAAGCCCATAGCAGAGCATTAGCTCAAATATAAATGAAAATAAAATTCTGAATGTAAAACAAAAAAAACTAGCAAGTGAAGAGATGGTCTTCTGCAAAGAAATGATATATATATATATATATATATATATATATATATATATATATATACACACACACACACAGAAATGCAAATAAATATTCTCATGGAAGGAAAAAATGCAAATTTTTATGAGGTTTTAAATGCAGACAATTTAAGCAACAAAACTTACATCAGCACCAGAGAATAATATCTTCATTGTTTTTAATATGTCATCAGTTTTCACAGCTTCAAGAAGTGCCTGAAGAAAAAGAATATTTTAATACAATAAATCCATAATACAGAACAGGTTTATTTTATAAACAGACTATCTTATGTATTTATAAATTATGAAAATCTTAAAAATATAAAAGGACACTTATAAATTTTATGCATTCACAGCATATTATATTACAGAAGTAAAATAATTTTTACTGTTTCAAATCAAGCAAATACTTAACAAAAGTTCATCTATGCAGATGGAAAACAAGATAAAATGCATTGGCTAAAAAGTTGGTTTCATTAAGTAATCAGATTCTTTTAAACATTAACCTTATTAAACATATTTACTGATTTGTTTCACTATCTTCTATCTTCTTTATATTTTAAACAACTTCATGTTTCCATCCTCCTAGGAATTTTTATCTTTCTTAGTAAATAATTGTTCTGTGTACCTTTCACAGTCTTCCAAGAAATTTTTCATTAACACAGTTTTCTAAAGACTGGAATAAGTGAAAATCTTAAATTAAAATAATGGTAAATGAGTCAAAATTTCCAGTTGAGCTGAAACAATTTTTGCCTGGTGACTAAAGAAATATAGTCTAGTATTTTCTTGATGGAATATTATACCATTTCTCTTAATTCAGGGCACTTTTTTTATTACTCTCTTCAACTGGCCAAATTGAGAATAGTTACTTGTTCAAATCATTTGTTTCTCAGGAAAGTTTTTTGAAAAACAACAATATACACAACATTAATAATATTAATAACATAAATAATATTCTTTTAGTTTACCCATTACCCAAGAAAATAAAGAGATATTAATTAATGTCTGTAAAATAATTCCATTTTTTTTTTCTTTACTAGAAATGTTTATATCAACTTACTTGCATGTTTGTGGCAAGAAATGATCTAGGCATTGTTTCCCTATTTACTAAGGGAGTTTAAATTTTTAGTATATAAGAATCCCTTTTTTTTGACCCCATTTAAAAAAATTATTTCCCCTCAGAAAAAGTCTAGTATGCAAACACTATTTCAGTGTCATATTTAAAAGATATCTTAAACTCTATGACATCTGAGATATTGTTTGCATACTAAACATTTTCCTGAAGGAAAGCACATTTTTAAGGTATTTTAATAAAATTTTAATTAATTTTTAGGGTATTTTTAAAAATAATCATCTTCAATATAACATTTATCTTATTGTTTTTAAGACAAACATTACCTCATTGAGCATGTTTGGTTGATTATGAAGATGGTGGGAATTTATGAAGAGCTTTTTCTTGTATTTATTCTCAATAAAATCCTTCCTTTCAATATCAGTTGCATTGCTGTCAATCTTCAAAGCAGGATTCATCCCAAATTCCCAGAAATTGTTGGCATTTTCATTACCAATTTGTTGCATCATCTAAGATAAAATCATAATAAAGATATAAAAAGAGATATGAATAATTAAAAGACTTCCAGAATATCAAAACATTTACAGTTATGGCATTTTCATTGATAAAACTTTTTCTGACATTTTACAAATAAAACAAATTTTATAGAATATGTAGAGTATAGAAAGAACATCAAATAATAACAGTTAGCATAACTGGTACATTGGTTATATAATGCTAAACAAAAATTAAAAGAAAGTAATTTATTTTTTTCAACATATTTTGATCAACAGCCTTTGCCTAACTTCCCACTTAAAACTGAGTCCCTATTGAGTGATATGCATATAACTTTTTCTGCCATCATCTCTGAACTAGATCTCCTCAAATGTAGTCTCGGTGGTACCACTGCAATTGTCCTTAAGAAATGTGCTCCCAAACTGGCTCCTGTTCTCTCCAAACTGTACAATGTTCTGCTTCTTGCTTTCTTACTTGTTGGAAATCCTCTTCTATGTTTCTGTCTTTAAGAACTCAGGTGAGCCATTTGATCCCTCTATCAGTCTATTAGCCTTCTGTCTCCTTTTGGCAAATCTTTAGATGCTCTAACCAACTCTGAATTGGTTAAGCATCTTACCTTACAGGGTCTTCTTTTAGATAAGCAATATCGCTTTTGCTGATATATTAATGATTACTGAAAAAGCTTTAGATAAGAAAAGTGAAACTTGGTCTGTTGATTTGGATATCAGAAACATTTGAAAGTGTTTGGCATATTATTGTTCTTCTTCACAAGTTGAAAGGTTATGGCATTTCTGGATGAATTTTTGAACTGATTCTATCTTTCTTATCGAATCTCTTCTAGATATTTTTGCATTAATGAAGTTGTTCCCCAGGGCTCTATCCTTGTACCAACATTCTTCCTAATTTTCATCAACAACCTTCCAGATGGCATCTGTTCTCAACTCAGTATCTATGCTGATGACACAACCACTTATTTCTTTCTTAATAGTAAATCTGAGTGGTTCGATAAGGTCAAATTGGCAGCTGATCTCAAAAATTATCTACTTTCTGTTCTTCACTGGGGCAAGGCATGTCTTGTAAATTTTAATGCCTACAAAACAAGGTTGCTCTCTTAATTGTCTGAGAGAACCAATTTTACCTTCCATCGGCATGGCTGATGCTAACCTCCAGAAGAGTGATTCATTACACCTTCTCGGACTAACATTCATTGGCACAAAGTGGAAATATTATATTGAATAAATTGCTAGGTCTTCCTGCTAGGAAAAATACATCTTTCAGGGATATAGGATAAATTCCAATAAACAAACTATTTTGTAATAAAAAGTCTTATTAATTCTCGCTGACATTATAGAAAAATAGAAATTTTCTTTTTAGACACAAAGAATTCACTCCTGTGAATTTTGGACTTGCAGCTTCTATTACATATCCTGTTGGTTACAAGTTCAATTACATTTTTTTTTAAATTAAAAAGAAACAAAAATCTGAATCGCAGTTTGATATTTAAAGCATTTCAATAAAAATTCAGAATTTCTTTCACAATTATTTCAAATGCATTACTTGAAACTGAATACTGGTTTTGGTAGGAAATATATTTTCCATATAGAAAAATAAAAACAAAATATTTTTAAATAAAATTCTTTTATTCTTATATAAGACATATCTCAATCCTTATTGCTACTCCGAAAGATGAGAATTAGGTAATCTATTCAAATAAGTTTTACTCACCTCAATTAATGATGGTGTCCAAATTTTATAGTCAAGTAAGAGAGATTTGACTAAATTAAATTCCCGATGAATACCTATGATACAAAAAAAAGTAACAATAAAAATGAGGAGATTACATTTGTACTGCATTCAACTCAATAAAAAAGTTCAATGTTTTCAAATTCTGTTTAAAAATGAATGACTGCTTCTTTTGTAATGTAAACATAATGAGATCATTCAAATTAACAGAAGCCACTTTGGTTGACACCTGGTTTAATCAAAATTGAGAAAAAAAAAATCTTTTATAAAAAATATCAAAATTCAAAATATCAACCACTATGTATTTCCATTTTTAACTATTACTTTTTTTCTTTGAGAGTAAAATATATTACCTGAACATTTCTTGCAAATTAATATTCCGAAATCAAGAGCAGCCCAATTTGGATCTGAAATTGAAAACAGATCTGTATAATAAAAACAAAATTTGATATATAATGCCTATAGACTATATATAACTCTTTTCACTATAAGGTGGCTTCTCAATCTCAATATAAACTTCTACTGGTCCAAGGGTAAAAAAAATTTCTCAAACCCTCTTAGCATTTTCCCTTTTGACATCTCCAGCATCAATTAATGACCCAAACTCCTCCAAAAAGAGTGGTAAGGCCTGTGAAGACAGCTTCCTGGGGCTTTGCTTGATAATAGGAATTCCATATTAAATGTAGTTTTATCATTTATATCTACGTGTGTTTTATATCTTACTAAATTTTTGTTTAATGAAGATAACTAATTAAAATAGTTAACTTTAAAAATCAAATTTAAAAACAATAACTTTTGTTTCTCTCTGAATTTCTGCTATAATGAATTATCATTATTTACATTCAAACTATTGACTGTTACAATGTTTCAGTACTTTCTGCTAATTGAATTATTTAAATAGAACCATTTTTTGGCTGTGAAAGTGATACTATATATTACTAAGTTTATAAAAAATAAAAATTTACTGAAACTGAGAAATGAAATAGCTATTTTTTTTGCAGTCATTGTCAAAAATTTTCCTTAAATAATATTTAAAAATAAATTTAAAAATATAATTAAAAAATGGGAGCTGGTAATATACATACTTATATTTGATATGAAAAAATAATTTTAAATAATGTAAGTAATTCTATTACATTTACTTGTTTTTAAAAAGAAATATAGTCTATTAGTAATTAAGAGTAAAAATATTTTAAAATTGTAGTTTAATAAAACGTATTTTACCACAAACACATAAAAAATCTTTGAGTATACAAGGAAAAAAATGCTGAAAAACTTTTTGACATTAATTAAAAAAACCCAGACAACATGCATTTAATGGATGTCAGAATTCGTTGAAAAATAAACCCCTACCCTCCCTAAACTTAACCTCTTTTTCGAATGTAACTCATAACTGATACAACAATAGTTAATAAAAATGAACATGCTACAGACCCTCTCTGAATGATTGGTTTCCTCTTTATCCTTGGAAACAGTAAATTATGAATTTATATGTGTGTTTAAAACTCAGTAAATTTAAAAATAAGTTATTCCAATATTCGCTTGAAGATGAAACGGAACTAATGCTTTTAATTTAATTATATAATTAAATTTAAAGTTTTTAGCTTCCATTTTTGAAACATGATTATTACTGTGTAGCGAAAAAACATTTTAAATGAGTTAATTTATTATATATATATATATATATATATATATATATATATATATTACACACATGGACGCACAATTGAAACTTGCAGGTTAGATTACATGCCCTAACTGCAATTACCTTGAGCATCACAATCAGCACAGTTTTTGTTGCTTGGATTTTCCCACACCTTTGCAGCTGGACTCTAAAAATATAAATAAATATACATATTTAGTAATTTAGTTTCTTATTATACAATTCTTTGAAATAATTCAATAATTTTATGATTTTCACAAGTAAGAGGAAAAACTAAAAATGTTTTAGAAAATCTAAAGTGGCAAACTATGTTCAGAACAATCAAAGTAACCCCCACCAAAAAAAAAAAAAAAAAAAAAGCTGTAATTTTTCGTTTGAAAAGTTATTGAGGCAAACTTTCTTTCCTTTGTTCCAATTGCAGCCAACCCCATACAATAAGATGAATAGAATCATTACAACTTTAAGTTAACTCCATGACTATTTTTTGCATTTTCTTTCATCAATAAAGATCACTTTTTTTCCAGTATAATGAACCATCAACACTTATTTTCAATTTTTTTTCATTTTTATTCTTGTTCACCCAATACAAGGCCCAAAAGTCACTCAAAGTAGAGGGATACTGAATAAGATGCATAATATAAATGCAAGAAGAAGAAAAAACAGGAAGTGAACATCACAAAGATATGGTGGATAGATAATAATTGACCATAGACTTAAAGAGGTTAAGATTGTAGTGTTCAGTGAAGCATCCACATGAGAGTGTTCTCCAAAGTAACTGTTCTTGGTAAGAATCTTTCAGAGTGGATCAATCTTCTTACCATAGGAATGAGGGTGATTCAACCCTGTGGATGGAGCAAAGAAGGTTTTGGCTGTAAAGATATGAGTTGATGAATTGAACATTTGTCATGAAATTAGTGATAGTAGGTTTGTGATATGACATCTCTGGGAAAAGGTCTGTAGAGCAGAAAATAAGACAATACTCCATTTTTTATCTCATCTGAAGCTTGTAAAGAAAGCACAGCAGAAGATGTCAGGTACTTTCTGGATCAGTACAAGGACTTTTTTAAGCTTTAAAAAATATTAAAATTTACTTAAGTTTTTGTTTTTATTTTGTAAAATAGACAACAAATTGGTGCAGAAAATTTGCATTTAAAGAACTTATACAATTTTTTTTTATAAAACAGACCTTTATAGAGAAAGGCTTTCTTTGTTGTCATTAAGTTTATTTGTACATAAAGCATGCTTATTTTTAATAAGTGTGATATAGTCATAAAATGAATTCTTAAACATATATTATCATGCCTCTAAACTTATGTCAGTAACACATTCCTGGGCAAGTCCTTTGCTTGAGATAACTACTTAGAACCTTATAAATCCATCAACATTAAATTTTGTTTTCTACATGAATACTAACTTCAGAGAATCCATGCTGTGTGCAAAGACCAATTTCAGTGGCATTCTTAAGTGTTTCCTTCCATTGCTGGGTTTCTAAAGCATTCTCAAAGATCAAACTGGAAAGAAGAAAAATCACAAATGTAAAGAGAACCTTGAAATATCAATACACAAGTTATACAACATCAAACATATTTGTCAAACAGTTTGAAATATTCAATTTTTTCATCATAAAAATTATGAATAGATATACTCAAATGAAAAAAACATCACATTAATAAATGTAGAATTTTTTTAATTAGTTTCATTAGATTCATTGAATAAGCAGTTCAAATAGGTGATGGTATCAAGACTACTTACCATACTTGGAAATAATTAGTATAGAGTTGCAGTTTAGTCTTTGAGAGTTCTTTCACTGATGCTAATTTCATATCAAGTTCATTTATTGGAGAACCAATTTGAAAATCCTACAAGCAGAAATAGGTTACAGAAGAAAATGTAAAACAATTCAAAGAATTATAAATATACACTCAAAGATTAACAGATCAGATTCAACATGAATGCTTTCAAGATCAGACACTCCTCAAAATTGGAGGCCTTGTATACATAATACATACAATGAGTTATTTCTACTAAAATGAGTAAATGAGAGAAATCTTATAATCTATATAAAATTGTTAAGGTATGACAAATCAGATTAGTCCCTATGTTTTAAGATGTTACAACTATTAAAACATTCCATTGCAGATAATTATATCAAAAACAGAAGAATAAATTAAATTCTCATAAGGACTTTTTCTATCAGTTCAATATATAAGAACTGCAGCAATATTGATTACAAATTTCACACTAAAAAGAAAAAAATTTGTTGGTGAAATTATTGCTGGTAGCAAATCTTAATTTTTCTAAAACCTCAGTGCTAACAATTTCTTCAATTATTATTTCTTGTCTGCTGACAAAAATGCAGATGGCCATTGTAAAGAAAATGACAAAAAACAAATGGCATAAAAACAAGCAGTAAAATTATGAAAACTTTTTACCTGTTTAATATGGAGAAAATTCTGTGGTAAGCTGGATAATGACCTTGGTTTTAAGACCAATACATTAACAGTTTAGAGATGTTAATGTCTTGTGCGAGAACACTATATCTTCATTTTAGGCAAAAGATATGTCAAAAAGAAAACATAGCTATGGTGTCGCCACTTTCATGATTTTCAAAATTTACATGGTGGTTTTTAAAGATCAGCTCATGTTTGGTTGAGATACAAGGAGGGACTGAAAGTTTCTTGGCCCAATTCACTTTCCAAAATCTGACAAAATGACAAACATTTTATTTTCTTTAATCTCTTCTAGGCTATTCTAAGAATTTTTCAGTACCATCTCAAATTTGGCTGATATTTTTTAAGTTCCGAATCCATTAGGAGGACATACAGATTACATTAGATCATATGAACTCTGTTCATATATAATTCAAAACAGAGAAAACAAACAAGAGCAAGGTTCATTTTCATTTTATACAACTTATTTGGATGTTAGATGAAATACCTAGTCTTATGCATCAATATAAAATATCAAGTTTTTATTGTTTTAGATTGTGCTATTTGGGGTTTTTTTATCATTTCACCCCAAGTAAGGCAATAAAGTCATTCAGATGCAAGATGTTACTGAGTGTTAGAGAATATGAGAAAAAAATTACTGAGAGAACAATGAAAAAAAATAGACATTAAGAAGACAGAAAATAATGACTGACATTGCATTTAAATTTTTGAAAATCAAAGTTGCTTGGGAATCAAGAAGCAAAAAGAGTTCCACAAACAAGAAGTGCAAGAGAAAAGACTGTCAGCATAGAACTTAGTTATCTAGCCATTTTAAATGTAAAATGGTGAAACAGTCTTATACTGTTCTTAAATTTGTAAAGTCTAGGCACCACAGAGGAAAGTTTATCCAAAAAATTACCATGAAAATATTTATAGAAAAGGCACAGGGAATGTTATGGTGGTGGAAAAGTCACTGAAGCTGAGATATCAGGTCAAGACCAATAACATTGCAGATTCTTTGGATTTTACTTCATTTTTGAGATCAGTTGCCAATTTTAGCTTGTCAAACTCATCAGACTTACTATTAAGTAAATAGTTGTCATCAGCATATATAAGTTGAGAACTAATGACATCAGGAAGTTTGTTGATGAAAATTAATAACAACTTATCTCCAAGGATAGAGCCCTGGGAGACACCAGCATTAATGCAAAAAGAATTAGAAGAATGGACACGAAATGAATGTTGATTAAGTCAACATTCATTTCGTGATTCCATAAGACTGAATCAGTTCAAAAAGTTGTCCAGAAATACCATGACCTTTCAACTTGTGAAGAAGACCAACATGTCAAACTCACAGCAGGCAAAACAAAAAAAACTGAGCAACAAATGAAAGAGACAGACAAAGAGATGTGATGATCATTTTTCTTTCATAACATCATGCCAGAACCATCCTAAAATACAACTTCAGTTGTCTTGAAAATTTTTTAAACTGCCTAAAAATCAAAATGTTCCTTTTTAACTTTGTTATTCATAGCAGCATTATAAAAACACCATTATTTAGGAAATAATTTACGAAAAGCTAAAATACTGAAATTTTAAATGAATAAATACAAAAATGTTTAATTTTACATTTTTATAAAAACGTTATTTTTATCTAAAAGTTTCAGTTAAATCACCTTCAATAATTTTATACAGAAATGTTAAATTTTTACCATGCTCAAAGTAACACTTGTCAGACTAAGAAACATGCTCTACACAATCATTTTTTTTTATTACAAATACTCGAAAACTTTTTAAAGTCTTTATCAAAAACTTTCAATTATCTGCCTTGCACTGTGACTAAATTTTCCATGTTTATAATTTTTTAAATCCTCTTGTATTTTCAATTTAGTTTCTGACAAGCAGAAAACATAACACATAAATAAATGTTATTTGTTCATTCAAATTCTTAAGTGACAAAAAAGTAATTCTTGCTTTATCAAATCAAAATTATTTTTTACAATTATATACTAACTTTTTGGGGTTTCATTCACTGGTTTAAAAAGAATTTAATATGTGTGTGCACACATACATCTTTCATTAAAAGCCCATCACTATTGGTGAGAAGTAAAAAAATAAGTTTCAGAATGTTAGTTGTTTTTAGAATAAATATAATAGAATTTTAATGAAGCATCTCATTCCAAAAACCCAACATTCTATCATTGATGAGACATTGCTAATCTCAAGCCCTGCTTGTTGACAGGATATAAAACCCAAGAATGCTGTTCAAACAAGATAACCCCTTTTCAGAAAAAGAATCCCCACAGCCCTGCTCTGAAAAATCTCAAATAAGAGACACTGGAATACTTACCTCAAAGCGCCTGTAATAACACAAGATGCTATTCTTAACAACCACATAAAACCTGCCAAAACCTTCAAATTTCACATGTCCCTGAAAAAGAATTTAAAATAAAAAATAAAATAATGGAAATCAAAATCAATACACTTCATTTGTGGGTACTGCAATCATAGTTGTTTAATTCTAAAAAGATATATATGTCAAATAATATTAAATTGCATATCAAAATATTCATGCACAAGATATAAATTTCAAAGTTATATCTTTAATATTAACACACATCTTCAGTGAGACAACCACTTGTAGTTACAGCCATATCACATTGAAACACAACTTCATTGATTGTGAGAGAACCTAAGAAACTTTGGGCCTGGTCAGTACCAAGATTGTAAGGTGCTCAAAACTTAGATATCTGGGTGGTGTAATGGATAACAGCTTGGAATTGGAAATCCAAGAGCAGAGTTCCAGTTCCAATCAAATTCATTATATTTACCTGCATGCAAATACCTTTGAGAAGGGGGGTTATGAATTCACCTCTTCAAAGGCTATGGGTTAATTAGTTTGACTTATGCCAGTAAATCATTATTATAAAAAAAAAAAAATCTTACAATCTAAAAAATATATTGAATCAAGTATAATTATACAATTTATAAATCTATATATTACACATATGTCTACCTCCAAAAATAAACATAAAATATATTTGTTGATACATTCCATGACACTAATTTTAAATTATTGGCCCATTTCAGCAATCATCAGATATTCAGGTCCCAGTTAATATTTCCTGTTTACTTTAGTTCAATATATAAATATACATTTATGTACAAAATTTCACAACATTCAACTTTTAACAGTAAAAACAAGTCTGGAAAAGACCCCAAAGATGGATATTGTAAATTAGGTTGTAAATTTCCCATCACTACATTGTGAACAATGTTAAAAAGAAGTTTTAGAAATGTCTGGATTTTATTCAGCTTTTTATTGTACAGTCAACTGTAATGATTTTGAAAAGTTCTGCAGTTAAGAAAATGAATTTGATATGAACTTATAGAAATGACTGTTGATCAACATTTAAACACTTATCTTTCCCATCTTGCTTGAGACAGAAAAAAAAGGTGAGCACCAATGAAGAATGGATTTATTACGACAACCTAAAATAAGAAAAATGTGGCTAGATGGAAGATAATCAACAACCAACTGGAGAAAATGTTTTTAATGTTTGGTGGAATTCAAAAGTAATTTATTATGAATTGCTAGAACCTGAACACTTGGCTTGTTTGAATGAAATACTGAAAAAGAAAAGTCTTTGCAAGCTAATTTGTGATTTTGATGCAATCATTCTCCAGATCAGTCACCTTAAAAACAATCAGTCATATGGTGGTGCCAGGCAACACTCCTTGTCTGGTAAATAGATCAAATAATTTGAAAATATCAAAGAGTGCAGCACCAAAGAATATCCTCTAACTGAAATTGTTCTTTAATGATAGAATACATAAAGTTATAAAAAGGCAGGAAAAATATTTTAATGACTGTATTATGAATAAAAGATTTTGTAAAAATATGTTGGAATTGTTTAAATAATACTAATAGTGGGAAAATAAAATAATTCTTACTGATTTGTCTGGATTATTCATGATGCCTCCTTCCAGAGTGTCTTCTGGTGTTGGCTGCCAAAGAGTATAGAATAAAGAAAAAAAAAACGTTTTTCAGGAAACTGGAAAAACAGTAAGCAAAATACTTTGCTATTTAATAAAAAAAATTGGATTAATTTTATCAAAGCTTATACAAAGAATTTCTTGATATTAAAAAAAAACAATGTATTGCTTTTGAAAATCCAATTGTAATTCATTAAAAATGATTACTGTGGTGATATACAAATTAGATTGTATAAAAGTGGAAAGTTTTCTACACACATCAGTGGAGTTATTTTTCCTTGAAAAGTTTACTTGTTCAGCATGAGCTTTCTCGAAGTGTACATTTCGATATTTGACATTAAGTATTTATTTTTACTTGTGAAGCTTTTTTGCCCCTTTCATTTTTTGTTCATTCTGTTTCTTTTATTTTTCACATACAGGCTTTAACTGCAAAGCACCTTTTTCTCTCTTTTTAGTCAAGCTTTTATTTCCCTTTAGTTTGTAAATTTCCCTTTTATTTTTTTTTGTAAACAAAGCTTTATTAGCCAAGTGTTAATTTTTTTTCCCACCCTCAGTTTAATTTGTAAATTGTATTTTTATTTTTAATCTATTTATTGTAACTTGGTTGTCAATCTAAGTTTTATTTGTAAATTGTCCTTTTTGTTAGCAAGTCTTTTGTACATTGTCTCAATTTAATCTTTTAAATATGACTTGTTTTATTTTCAAGCCAAGTTTTAGTGGCGCTACCCTGACCCTGCTTTACTTTTTATTTTTACATGTTACTTGTTTTTTGGCAAAGCCAAGTTTTGTTGGCCCAACTGTGACTCTAGCCTGTTTTTCTTTAGTTTCGTTCTATTTGAAGTTAGAAAAGAAAAGAATAAAGGAAAAAGAATCATATTGGCAGAACTAAATTAGTGCTGCCAATGAGTGACTCTGATGAAGCACAGCCGGTGCCTGGCAAAGTAAAGAAAATGGCCTGGGCTGAAAACAGGCTGAGGAAAGACCAAGTATGAAGAGTACATTAAGGGGAATGAATTTCTCACAATCCCGAAGGTGTTGGATGCCGTTAATAGGAAAACAATCTCCCTGCTGACCACCGATGTGAAGAGTCAAAACATTAATTGGGGTCAAGAGGGAAACCATGGAAGAAGACCTCAAAAATTTGAGTATTGGGCCAAAGGTGCAAGCCTGGAGGTCAAATGCAATGTGGAACATTCTACTGGCTACCAAGCATGTTCTCTGAAATATGAGTTGGGTTCACCAGACTTAAAAAAAAAAAAATTAGTCAAATTTTGTTCAGGAAGGGTTCCAGTGTTGCTCCATCCCTCATTATATAGGGTGGTAAAACTAACCTATCCTATGGATGTTGGTAGTATTGTCCTAGATGGACAGATGATGTCAGAGTTGGGTACAGGGAGCCAAGGACAATCCGTCAGGTTCCTTATTCCTGCAGATTTCTGCTTAGTATGTGAATAGGTTGACTGATTTTTCTTTTCAGACCTAAAAATGTCTGTCAAGATAACCAGTCTGAATGCGAGGGGCTTAAGTGAACAGAGTAAGGCTGCCATCCATTTCATGACCTCTTGTCATTCTGTGTGGATGTCGCCATGATCCAGGAAACTGAATTTGTTTGCAATGTTGATGCTTGTGTGCTGTCTAACAATCAACATCTATTCAGACTGACCAGAGGTGATTCTTTGCTGGTAAAGCATACCCTACATGCGAGGGTGAACCTTGTTCATGTCGATGCTGGGAGCTGGTTGATCATGGCTGATATTGTGGTGTAAAGTAGTTTCGGATCACTGCAGTTTATACACCCAACAACTGGGAAAAGTGTCTCATTTTTTTCTGCAGTAAGGGCCATTCCTGGTGGATTAAACATGCTTAGTCTTAATGGGGGACCGGAATACCAGTCTGGCCCCCAAGTTAGACAGGGGTCAGGGAGCTAGCAGGGGGTCAGACAATTGTAGCTTGGTTGATCTGATTGGCAAGTTTAGTCTTGTCGATAGATACTGGGTTGATCAGCCAAAGGAAATGTGGACATGGGCACTTAAGTGGCCATCTACCCAGGTGGCTAGCTACTGGGATAGAATGTTAGTCAGAAAAGCCAATAGATCTACTAGACTGTCCCACTGGTTAGGCTATTCGGACCACAGACTTCCAGGTGGCATTAGATTGTAGGCATAGAATGGCTGGATACTGGAAGTTCAATCTGTCTTTACTGAACAGGCAGGACTTCCAGCAACATCTAACTACATTAGTGAAGCGGGAACAGTTATTGGGAATAGGTAGTAGGAGAGGCTTAAGTGTATTAGGTCCTTCACCACAGAAGCTTGCACTAGATAAGGCTAACAAAATGAAGGCTCTTAAGGATAGTCTTTCTTGAGCAGAGGCTGGGAAGGATCTCCTAGAGATAGCCCTAGCTCGGGAGGCCTTGCAGCATTTGGCTAGCAAATGCTACATGGGTCAGGTAATTAAACATAAGTGAAGCAAGATGTCTTCCGAAGCTGTGAACATAGGTACAGAATTATGCAAGGAAGAGATCCACTAAGGTTCTGGTCACTACATGGAGTGTGGTTTGGGCCTAACCCCCAGCTGGAGAAAAACTGGTCAGAATTATAGGCAAAGGTTGGCACATCAGTCTAGACTTGGCACCTAGGAAGGTTGTCCTTGAAAGGTAGAGCTGAGATGTATGCCACATGTCTTTCCTCTTATCCTTTACCACTTGTCTGTACTTCCTCTCTGTAAGGAACATAAGGCAATCGCGTACTTGCTCTCCTCCTTCTTGTAGTGGGGGATGCAAGCATCATGTCAACAGAGATATCTGTGCCCAACATCAGTGTCATGGAAGGCTAGGAATGCCAGCACTTGGCAAGTCACTAACACACCTCAAGGCTTGTTTTCACTTACCTGACGATTAGTTCAGAATAGGCTATCTCTCAATGACAGGGACTTCATATGAAGCTGGGCAAATTTACCAGACTGCTATCAATGTAACTTTGGTTTAGAAGAAACGTTCTTGAGTGCTCCCCATATGAGACTATGCCAGCAAGTTGACAGCACATATCACTCCCAAAAAGCTTGTTCTCATTGACTACACATAGCATTATTCTCATAAGGGTCTAATCTGATTCTTAATTGCATCAGCTCAAGATGAAGATTAGAACTGATAGAAAGAATTTGGTATTGACAGATTTCAGTGAAAGGTGGGTAACTGTGGCAAGCCTGATTCACATGAATTGGGCCAGCCTTGATTTTCTTTTTTAGGTCTCCCTAAGTCATAACAGGGTGGTTTCCTGCAGAGCTCTCCCCTGGTTAGAATAGAACCTTCTTGTGTACCTAGTTAATGTAAGTGTTGTTCCTGGCCTGTTCCAGGCTTCTTTGGTTATGATCGAAGTCGAGATTCCCAACCTCCTCAATTTGCCCCCCCCCCACATGGCCGTATTTATTTTATCCTTCCCTTTCCCTTAACAAGAGTGCCTCTTGATTTTGTCTGAAGACAGAATACAGCAGCCTCTCTTAATTCTTTTTGAGGTTTGGACAGGTCCAACTAACTTCAGTTATCTTTAGTTTGTGTGTTTTTTTCATACTTTAGTTTGTTTTGGAGTTCATCCCCTTCCCCCCTCATTACGTACCATTAACAAATTTTTATACAGAATTTTATACTCATTAATTTTTATATAATGGGGTATTTTGTAGGTTCCTTGTTAGTGTGTGGTATTGTGAAAGATGAAGACCTGAATGATGATGGATGAGTTTTTGTGGTGGATGTGCAAATTGTAATGAATGAATGGGTTGTGAATCTGATTAGCTAACTATAAGATAGTGTCAACCAGCCTCAACCCATTCCCCATTAGCCCTTGTGCCACAATTGTATTTTATGTACAATAAATCTCAGAGTTATCTTTCCTTGACTATGCTGCGTACTAGTGAGAACTTTACACAACAACATGGCATCGATGATAGGATATCTAACCTTGTTAGAGGATCCTGAGCTTGTTGAGACTTGGATGAGATGTTTTGCAGCATTGGTAAGAGTCAAGAAATTGAATGACAGCAAATATAGAGGATTAAATGAAGTAATGGAATTATTTCTAGCATAAGTGGGTTATGAGGCCATAAAAAAAGATTTCCAAAGATGCTAGAAGACTTGACATTTGAAGAAATTGTCAACATTGTACAAGAAAATGTACATCCAAAAAAGAAATTAGTCATAGCTGAGAAGACAGTTTCTTGAAATCAGGCAAAACCAAGATGAAACCATTAAACAGTGCGTTCACAGGTTAAAAGAAGCACTGAGGTACTGTGAATTCAAAAAGTTGGGTACAGGACTTATGTCTATAATTAATACAGTTAAGGCTAATTGAAGGACTGTATGTACAAAATTTTAGAACAGCTTCAAGTCCAGAACATAAATATTGAAATGAGTTTTGAATTTTTACAGCAGCTAAAGTTAATTCAGAGATTTAAACCCCTAAGACTAACATGGAGACATACAATACCACAGAGAGTTTATGCCGTTTTGCAACAAAGAACATGAGATGAACAAGTATAAATTCCCGGCTTTTGGAAAGAAGTGTTTTAAGTACAAAAAGAAAAAAAGTTTCCAGTCAGTGTGCAAATATAAAAAAACAATAAAAGTGGAGAAGATAGATCCTCCAACGAGAAATGTTGAAATTTATGATGTAAAAGCATGAGAAAGAGTAAAATAAATGGAATAACTGTACTAAATGGATATGGTAATGATGTAATGTTAATACCCAAGAATTATGGGGAGAAAATGAGAATTAAGGAACCAACCTGCAACTGAAACAATTTGATGGGTCAATTATTAAAACACTTGTGGGGTGCATAAAAGATCATGGTCTCCTGGGTGTTGACACTTCAAAGTTAGTTAATTGCATGAAATAGAAGGACCTGAGATTGGACTTTTAAAGGATAACAAGGCGAGTGTTCGGCTCAAAGAGAATAAGCCAACTAGTATATCTTCAGTCTTGTAAAGTTCTGGTTAACCTTCTCCCGTGGTTATGGCAAAACTTAATAAAATGATTTACCAAGGAATATTGGAGAAGGTCAGCCAGGTAGGTTGGCTTCTCCAATCATGGCCATACACAAAACCAAAGGAGATTTATAGTGACTACAATTTAGTGTAAATGTTCAGTCTCCTTCCCATTGCCAAATATTTTAACAGACTGTGATGAGTTTGCTAGCATTAAATTTTTTGCCAAGATTGAGCTCGAAACTGCATATAATCAGATTAAAATTAACAACCATTTTCAAGAAGTCACCAGGATAAACACTCCCATAGATAGACTCATCTGCTACATGAAATTAAAATATCCAACCACATATATCAAAAGAATCAAGAAAGTTTTGGAAGGAGTAAAAAAACTCATTGTCTATCAGGATGACATAGGTATTGGTGCTCATACTGAGGAGCTAAATAATAAACTGAACAGGTTCCAAGCAGATTGAGTAATGCAGGCATGACAATTAATCAAGATAAGTGTAAATTTAATTGTGAGAAAATTTCATACTTAGAGTATCAAATATCTAAAGATAGGATCTCACTAGATGACAGACTAATTAGCAAAATATCAGAAATAAGTGCACCAAATAAGAAAGCCAGAATCTTAAATATATGCCTCAATATAATGACATGATTGAACCTTTTGTGAACTTGAGAAAGAAGAATAATGAATTTTATTGGACTGAAAGACTGTTCATTTTCAACCAGAGGAAAGAGTTGCCTAAAGTCATGTCATCCAGAATTCTCAGGTGGACGATGAAGCTTATAGCATTTGATTTCAACATTACGTATAGTAAAAGAAATGCCATTCAACACAGACACATTGTCAAGATTGAATTTTAATACATGGAATGTTGAAACGAAGGACAGTTGTGAGGACAGAATTTTGCACTGGGTAGAGACAAATGTGTTATCCTTCAGGCAGCTCAAATTTGAAACCAAGCAGGATCCTATATTAAAAAGTGTACTGAATATAATATGGAATAATGTATGGAGTAATTGCCCTATGGCAGAAAGACCTTTTAAGGAAGCAAGGCACAGATTAACAATTGAAAGAGGAGTCATATGTCATGGAGATTTTATTGTACCACCGAAATAGTTAAGATGTTATTAAAGCAGTACATGACAACATACATGGTAGTGTATTGAACACACAACTAAAGTTGAAACTACAAGCCTGGTGGCCAGGTTATATGTGAAATGTGGAGGATTATATCAGAAAATGCCCTGTGTGCAAAGATAAAGAGGTTTAGGCAAACCAAGATTCATTCATGGCTAAAAGAGAAGGAGCTATGGATAAGAGTACACATGGATCATGCATACATTAAAGATGTAGGCCTATTCCTTATACTGATAGACTCATTCAGTTTGGCCTAAATTGGTTAAAGTTTTGGACAGAAAAGCAAGTATAGTAAAGCAGGTGTTAAGAGTAATATTTTCAAAGAATGGATTACCTAAGACACTGGTGTTGGATAATGCATCACAGTTTGCTGAAGAAAACTTGTGTACATGGTTAGCGCAAATTGGATGTAGGTCATACAAAACACCCCCATACAATCCTCAGTCAAATGTAAATGCAGAGGGGTTGGTTCAGATGATGAAAGTGGGATTGAAAGCATTCTCTCCAGAGAATTGCAATCTAGAAAGTTATCTACCAAGATTGCTTTAATTTACAGGACCATCCCACATGTGGGCAGAAATTAAAGAGAAAGTACAAGTGGTAGTGCAAAAAGAATTTAATACAGTGATATTAACAAAAAATGGAAAGAGCATGTTAGCCCATGAAGACCAGTTTAGATTGCGAAGAGAGCTGGAAGATATTGAAATGGAGGGAGAGCCTGGTGCAAAAGAGAGGGATCAGGATTATCACCAAGTATTGGAGAGTGAGGGAGAGGAGAGAATGGGTGCATCTAGTGATAATGAGGAACATGAGGAAAGTTCAAATGAAGAAAATCCAGTAAGACCAAGATCCCCCATAAAGAGGAATCTAGGCAATCACCATGAGACAAGCAGTACACCTGGAATGGTTTGTAGAAGTAGCAGATCTATGAACATAAAGCCTCTAAGGTTCTGGGAGATGTGGTGACATGCAAATTAGATTGTATATAAGTGGGAAGATTTGTACACTCATGAGTTGAGTTATCTTTCCTCAACTGCACTGCATACTGGTGCGACCTTTAGTGTTTTGCAAAAACTTTCATAAAATATTATTAATGTTCAGCTTTTCAAATTGAGAAGTGTTATAAGTTAAAAATCCCTAAAGAATTCAATAAAGCAAAGAAAAGAATTTTGATTTTTTAGATTCATTCAAAATTCAATTATACTAATACTAATCATTAGATAAATTTTAAACTAACATAACTTTGTTAATTTAAAAAGTCATTATATACTAAAATAAATTTTATGCTGTTGCTGATGACCTTCAGAACTTTAATCTGATTTCAAGAGGCCAGAAATTGATAGCTTTTTAATTTTTTTTTTAAAGATTTTAACTAATTTAACTTCATAATATACAAGAAAAAAAAAGGGTTATCATTTACAGACAAATTGTGATCGTGTATTATATATATATATATATAAAACCGGATATAAGAGAAACCTGGATATAAGAGATTTTCTCTGGTCCCAAATTAGAGCCTGTGTTAATGTATATAAAATAGACCAAACCCGGATATAAGAGACTTCTTCTTCGGTCCCGACAACTCTCTTATATCCGGCTTACACTGCATATATATATATATATAATAAAAATGAACAAACGCCAAACCTTTACATAAATGAATGCCAGAAAATATGCAATATCAAAATTCTGACAAAAATAAATAAATAAATAACTTACTTTGAAGAGTAAAATTGCCTGTTTGAGAGTGCTGCACCAAAGAATGTTCTCCTCTAATAAAGAGAAAAAGTAAACTTTATATTTAGTCTTCAGATGGCCTATAATCCTTAAGTAATTTAGTAAATTTAGTTATATAGTTATACAAAGAATTTTGCCATGAATTAGGCCCACCAGACAGAGATATTTATATCAACAGACATTGTTTTAAACATTTATAAACATTTACTAGCTGCAGCAAAATGCATGCTATCCTCTATATACTATCACCATTTTATTCATTTCTCTGCACAACTATTCAACCAAGTGTTTTAATGATAAACACATAACAGACTAATCTCTTATTTGACACTATCATAAGATCTACCAAATCTCAGATTAAATTTTCAAAACAGAAATCAGCAATTTTGAAATTTAATTGTGAAAATGTTCACTTACCCAATGTTTCAGTGGCAAAAAGAAAATTGCGATTTTTTGTTTTCAAGACAAACTTGAATTGATTCTTTTCTGTTTCCTGTAAATATACAAAATTTTGTTCTATTACATTTTACTAAATAAATTACTTTCCAATATAAATTTTGGTAATATATATTTATACCTAAAATTTTTTGTATGAAAATATCAATAATTAAAAAAAATTCACTGAATTGAAGTTCCACAAATATTCAAATATTCAGAAAAAAAAAAGAAAAAAAAAAGAAAACTTAGTTTATTTCTCCTAAAAAATCTTCCAACAATAGCAATTTTTTCAATTTATGTTATTACAATCAACAGATTCTTCTTACAAATTAGTTATTACACTTCATGAGATATATTTTTTAGTCCAATAAAATCCAAGCATTACCTTAATGTCTTGGTCAACTTCTCTCATAGAAGACAGAGGGACTATTCGTTTAGACACTTGAGTCTGTAATAAAAACAGAAAATAAATGTAGTTTACTGTGACCAACTGCCAAAAACTTTTCACATTTGTTGTTTTTATTATTATGATTATTGATTATGTGATGCTCACTTGCCATGAAGTTGTTTGTTTTCTTGGAATAGCAAACTATTCCTGTTTGTTCAAGAGAAAAAAAAAAAAGCAAACATGAAATTAACCCAAACTCCTCAAAAAAAAAAAAAAAAAAATAATAAAAAAAAAAAGCTATTTTCTTAAGTCAGTAATGTTTATTGAATCAATTCTTAGATGACATCATTTCAGAACTTTTGTAAACATTAGTTTTACATTCTGTTGGTTATCACTCCCCTGGATATCTTGATATTTAAGATGTTCCGTCATTATTCACTAAATGTCTTTTATGTTTCCTTCTTTTTAAATGTCACCTCCCCTGAAGAGAAGAAGGACGATTGGTGAGCCGATCCCGGGGATGGAGAAACACCGGTCTTCACCGGCAGGGTATAAATACAGCCAGTCTCGGACTTGGGGAGTTAAGTCAACTTTACATGGCACTGTGAACAGGATTGTTTTACCTACCAAAACGTTGAATCAGTAATTGCTAATTGTAAAATGGCTTCCAGACAAAACAGTAATGAGCATTACCTGCAACTGGTTCAACAGCTAATAGGCTTACAGAGAGAGAATAATGAACTTCGGGCATGCAGAGAAAATACGTCAAACCGGTCCCGCACTAAGAAATCGGACAGACCTATCATTGAACACGGCTGCACAGATGGGAACTGGGCACTGTTCACCGACTCATGTGATTGTTACAAACACATGTGAAGCCTAACAGACCCGGCAGAAATCTGTAATGAGTTGCGAACGGCTTGCTCGAAAGAAGTAAACAGATTGTTGTTCGACCTAGTAGGACCCGAAGCCCTCAAATTGGCCCCAGAGGAACAACTCCTGCAACACATAAGACTCATTGCGGTAAGAGGTCTACACAGACACAGATTCCACAACATGAGACAGCATGAAGGGGAGGGGCCCACACAATTTTTGGCAAAACTACGAGCTCAGGCGAGGTTTTGTAACTTTACTGTTCAGTGTCTGAACGAAAGTTCCCGACAAGTTGTAAATTATTCAGAGTACATGGTAGCTGGCCTACTCGTCACCGGGCTGGCAAACAAAGAATACCAAAGCAAGCTATTAGCCGAAGAAGTAGTTCCACAGGCTGGTTAGTTTGGAAACAACAGACAAGTCGGGTCCACACTTACAAGACAGGCTAAACCACCACTCAATGTTTGGCTCAGTGAGGTCAGAGTGGAATCAATCCCAGGGTGGAGAGACACCCAGGACCCCTCGAAGCAAGCCGTGCGACAGATGTGGAAGGACATCACACTCCAACGGGCTGAAAGGAGGGAAGAACTGTCCGGCGAGGGAACTTCGATGCCATAACTGTGGAATTGTTGGGCATATAAAAAAGGTGTGTCGAAAGCCAAAGATGGCGGCAGCCACAGAGTCAATAAATAATTTGTCAGCATATCAGTCGAGAACACTGAGCAGTAGAGGGAAGGAAAGCCAAGCGTCTCATGGACGAAAACAAGGATCAGCAGTAATACCACACTTCGCATGGAGCAGGGGTGAATTTCAAAGAACCCCCCTGATCCACCACCCTCTCTGGAAATTAAGATCTCTCTGATACCAGAGTCCCATGCCAAATTTGGGCAAACTCTGGACAACAAGACTTGTCATCAGACACACCATATTCAAGCCGTCGCAGACACTGGTGTTCAGACATGCTCAAGTGGCCCTGAAATACTGGACGTATTAGGATGCACTAGCGATATACTAGTACCAACCAGCCACAGGATACATGGAATCACGGACGACCTATTGCGTATTAAGGGTGTGATCTTTATGTGTATCATGGTCGGTCGTAAGGAAACCAGGCAAGTCGTCTACATATTTGAAAACATGTTGGGATTTTACTTGTCAGAGTCGGCATTGAAAGACCTAGAACTAATCCCTCGTGGCTTCCCAAATCGGGTCGAAAACTGATGCATCGATCGCAGATAACGGGATAGCACCATGTGGGTGTCCCTGAAGAGAGACGGTCCCGAGTAAACCTGCGAGGGTCCCGTTTGCCCCTATTGCAAGTAATCAGGAACGCCTAGAACAATGGTTACGGGAGCACTTCAAATCTAGTGCGTTCAACACTTGTACCCATCAACCATTACAAGTGATAACAGGGAGGCCACTGGACATAACGTTTGCCTGGGGAGCGAAACCACACACCCATTCCAGTCCCCCATCATTGGAAAAAGAAGGTGAAAGAGGACTTGGATATGGACGTTACACTGAGCATCATCGAACCGGTGCCGGCAGGCATGCCTACAGTTTGGTGTTCTAGGATGGTGGTCACAACAAAGAAGGATGAGTCACCTAGAAGGACGGTGGACTTGCAGAAATTGAACGCCACAATGATGAGGGAAACCCATCACACTGTCCCCGTTTAACCAGTCTCCATAGTGCCCGCTCGGACCAAGAAGACAGTACTAGATGCATGGAATGGGTACCACAGTTTACCGCTCTCCCCAAAGGCCTGAGATGCAACTACCTTCATAACAGAATGGGGACGTTATCGGTACCTTAGAGCACCCCAAGGTTTCCACGCATCAGGGGATGGATATACCCGCCAGTTTGATGACATTACAGTAGACATGCCTCGAAAGACTCGTTGCATCGACGACACTTCTCTGGGATGAAACCATGGAATCAGCTTTCTGGCACACAGTGGACTATATCACCCATTGCGGCAGAAATGGAATGGTCTTCAATCCTGAGAAATTCCAATTTGCAGGCGACAAAGTCAAATTTGCCGGCTTTTTAATAATGGTTGACGGTGTTAAACCAACCAAAAAAATGACTGAGGCCATTCTCAACTTCCTGACCCCAACGAATATCACAGGTGTCAGATCCTGGTTTGGACGCATTTTCACAAGCCGAGGTCATGGCCCCCTTTCAAGAATTATTACACAAATGACCACATATTCTATTGGGAGGATACTTTAAACAATCTTTTCGAGGAGTCAAAGAGAAACATTGTTTGGAAGATTGAGGAGGGGGTAAAAACATTCGAGATGAACAGAGTGACATGCCTCTCGACATTATAGTAAAACTGGCACTTTCTCTTTCAGAGACACTGCCAATGCCCAACAGAGGAGGGACCAAACTGCGGTAGGGACCACTGGGATGCCCAGATTTACTGGTTACAGTGGACCACCAACCACTAGTGAAAATATTCTCAGATCAGGTCCTTGAAAACAAAAAAAAAAATCCTTGTTTGTTTACGTTCAAAGAACAGTTGTTAATGTACAGGTTTCGAATTAAACACGTTCCGGAGAAAATTAACGCCACACCTGACTGCACCTCCAGATACCCGACACCACCAGGACACTGCAGATCAAAGACAATCGACACAATCCAGCAGATCGAGGGGGCCATGCAAGCATCGATCATAGCCGCGTACACGCATGATCCAAAACTACGTGCGATAACCTGGGATAGAATTGTGGTGGCCAAGGAATTGAGAGAGAGGGCAATGGCGAAGAGGCACGTGTTAAATCAAGAACAATACAACATGCACTGCCAACCACTCTAAGAGCTTCAGGTTGGCAAATCGATGCGAGTGCAAAATCAAGAGGGACCATATCCACAATGGTGAACAAAAACGGAGAATTGTTGAAACTATGGGCAACAGGCAATACCGGATACGGTTAGACGGAAGCGGCAGAATTACACTACGTAATCGTCATTTCCTCTGGAAGATCTTGCCAGATGCGGATACGCCAGACTATTCACCCGATCACCCACATTCTCAACCACCTCCCCAAAGGCCAAAGCCAGAGAACAGCGAATCTCCGTACAACATACCTGAAATGATGAAAGTAGAAGTGACAGACGATGACGTAGTGATGGCAGACGACGCAGAGATGGAGGTGGAAGAGAACCAACAGCCAATCAGCTATACACCAGCGAGTCCAACCCCACGACACAGCATGAGGGTAACACGGCCACCAAGACCACTATCCCCACAAATGCGGGGACCGACTCACGACTACTTGACAGTTGACCACAAAACATAGGTATTGTGGTCATAGGAGGGGGGGGGCATGTAGAGAAGAAGAACAATTGGTGAGCTGGTCCCGGGGATAGAGAAACACTGGTCTTCACCGGCAGGGTATAAATATGACCAGTCTTGGACTCAGGGGAGTTAAGTCAACTTTACATCCCCTTAGGACAAAGGGGACCATGACTCCTTTTTATTATTATCTGTCAATTGCCATAGCTTTTTTGGAAAGATAGTAGAGTGGTTTCCCATTGCTTTCACAGCTTGGAATTCAGAGTTTTTCTTCACATATCCTGAATATTGTTTATTATGGCTGGTGGTCAGCCAAGGCCAACTCTGCTATTTGACCCTTAGCTTGTTTGGGGATTGGGAAGAAGATAGGAATTCATTTTGTTTCAGGAAAAGAAAAGCATTTTTGCTAAAGTGAACATAAGAGATTAGCCTAGAATTTGAACTTAGCTCAACAATATCTACTAAACTACCTGCACATCAAATAAGTGACAAAAATCATAACACCTATCAATTAGCCATTTAATTTAATCTCTTTCAACTGCACTTCACTTCCAAAGAACATTATTTCTCAAGATTAGAACACTACATATACATATATGTATGTATATATATATTATATATTGTGTGTATTTCAGCAGCATTTTTCATTGATGCATGTTTCGTTAAATAAAATAGACAAGTTTTGTCTATTTTAAGTAAATTCCTTTCATATTGTCTGATAAGCTTAATAACATTATCATTGCAAGATGAAAGAAAATCGCCATATTGATACATGTTTTTTAATCCTATCTAAGCTTTCGATTTACATAAGCCATTATCAAAGATGACAATTACATTTCAATATATTAAACAATACATGGACAAAACAATAATGAGAGTCTGCTCCTGCTGCATGAAAGATTTCCAAGCAACGACAAACTCGTGTATATAAGACGTGGAAACGAAAATCACACCGCAGCTCATGACGTCACATATGACCATGCGAGAGTGAAAATGAAAAGTATTAAGTATAGGAAGCCGTTGGTATAAACCAATGCCTTCTGTTATCAATTATAGGCATTTAAGAATATTTCATAGTTTATTTTGTTCAGGTTAGATTTCAACTGTTTTATGTATATAGCTTCAAGAATTTTTAGTTTTTGTTTATTGTTTTCATGTTTAAGTATAGTTGTGTTTTCAACAAGGATTTTCCGAATTCTGTATGCAGTCAGGCATGTTGTTTTAAATGCCTAAAAATGTTATCATTCAAATGTAGTTCAAACTACCACTCATAATTAGTTCAAACTACCACTCATATCATCCAAAGACACTACAAAAATATTTCAAAACCACAAAGATTTAAGCTTTGTGAAAGTAAAAGTTCCAGTACATATGCTAATTTCTTCCAGAAGTTAATCTTTTGATTTCATAAGAGCCTATTATTGTTGCATGTCTGAGAAAATTTCAAGAGACTCGATAGAGTATTACCCAAAGAAAAAAAAAACACTATGAAGTACACTTCATATTTCATTAGTACTAATTCAGAACACTAATTACTACTCATCTCCACAGTCAATATGCTCACAGTATTTTTTTTTAATTACCAAATGCAACATGTCCCTGAAAGCTAATATAAATATAAAGAATTCATTAATAGCATCTAGGCAAATGAGAACAGATTGAAGATGGTTTAATATATTAGGGCTATTTATTAATTAAAAATTTCAAATATTTAATTTTAAAAAATAAATTACATACAAAGAGGACTAATTTAAAGCTCAGGACAACAAATATCCAGCCTTATTTTTAAAAAAAAAAAAAAAAAAAAAAAAAGAAACAAACAGGGAAAAAGACAGAAAAAAATAAATAAAAATAAAGGAAATTATGAATTTAATGAAAAGAAAAAAGTTTTTCATGGTTTCAATTTTAATGAGAGTATTTTCTGCTCATTAGACATTCATCCATCAGAAAGCCATCAATTTATGAAGGTGAGAAAAATACATTGAGTAGTAGATACAGTGGGGTTGAATAAGTGATCGTACACATGAAAATATTTCATATTTTTATTTGTAACATTAAATTAACAAAACGGGAATATATTTACTGTATCAGATTGCATACTAAAAATGCATTCCATGGTTAAGAAAATATAGCAATATTTAAATTTTTAAGGGTTTAAAAAATGATCATACACCAGAACAAAAACATGTTTTCTCCATTTAATATTTTGTAGCAAAGCCTTTATTAGTTCAACAGCAACCTTCCTGTAGTCTTTAATTAACAATTCGCATATATTATAGGTATTTTGTTCCATTCTTCCTGAGCAATTGCCTTCAGGTTTTTGAAGTTTGTTGGACCTCTATCATGGATCTTATTTTTCAAAAACCACCATAAATTCTCTATTGGATTCAAATCCGGTGACTGACTGGGCCATTGTAAGATGTCAACATTGTTATTAGCTAGCCAATTCTTCGCACTCTTAGTAGTATGCTTGGGATCATTGTTCTGCTGGAAGATCCAATCAGGAGGAAGCCCAAGATTCTCTACAGAAAGCAATAAATTTTCACTTAGGATTTGTTGATATTTTTCTACATTCATTCTACTGTCTATAACTGCTAGTTTGCAAACACCTCGCATTGAAAAGCAGCCCCAAACCATGATACTACCCCCACCAAATTTGACAGCTGGTATGGTGTTCTTGGGTGTGTATGCTTCGCCATCGTTCCTCCATACATGATTCAGGGAATTGTGACCGAACAACTCGATTTTACTCTCATTTGTCCAAACTCTTTCCCAATAAGAATTTTTCTTATCTTTATGCTCTGTTACAAATTTCAACCTGGCATCTCTATGCCGTTTCTTGGGGAGCAAGACTTTATACCGTCTCTGCATAGTTTATTGCTAATCGTTTGCTTAGTTACATTAACTCCTGACAAACTCAGATCATTCTGAAGGTCTTGTCTGATGGCCATTGTGTTATTTTGGACCTGTCACATCAACTTTCTTTGTAATCTGGGAGCACTGGGTCTGCCTTTGTTCTCAACAGTATTACGTCTTAAATCTTGCAATAAATGAACCAATTGTTGAAAAAGGTATGTTCGTGTCACTGGAGATGTTTCTGTAACTTTTTCCATTGTTCTATAGCTTAATAGTTAGCTCTTTTTGAGCACAAGTCATTTCCTTACATCTAGCCATTATTAGAACCGTTATCAATGACTGCAGAATGATCCAATTTTGAACTGAATGTTGCAATAGAGTTACTGAGAATAATCAAGAACAGTTTAGAATCTTCTACTTTGAAGTACAACCAAAATCTACCATATTATAATGCAAAAATTGATACTGTACAAACCCTTTTCTACTATTCAAAATATAAAAATTTGCATAACTATCACTTATCGATAAATTTCTAATTTTAAATTGCAGATTCTGATTCTATGCCCCAAAATACATATATAACATTGTTATTCAAGGTTTTCATTTGCAATAAGTGAGAATAACAAGCATTTGTTTGCTGTACAATCACTTATTCAACCCCACTGTATATAATTAAATTCAATTTTTACTTAGATTTTTAAAATACTTATGAAAATAAGAATATATTGAGAGTAAATAAACAAACAAATGAAACCCTATTTTAAAGAACAAATCTAAAGGGAAAAAAAAAAAAAGTGTCTCACCTTTTCATTTGAATAATAACGAAGATCTCTTCCATTGAATATAACCCATCGTTTTCTCCAACCTTTATTTCCTTGAACACTTAAAAACACAGAAAATAAACAAAAAAGAATAAACAATATTCAGGCCAATTTCCTAGCTTTTGTAAATTTTAATGTAACTAGATCAGTTTTGTTATCAATGATTTTAACACATTACCAATTTCATACTATTTACATCGCTCTGACTTCTTCAGGTGGTTAGAATGTCAAACTGAACCCTTTAATTCGCTCATAGTTCTAGTTCCACACACCATGTCTAATGGATGTCAGTTATCAGTTATTTCCTGTTAATTCCCCTCTCCAAGTTCTCCACTGCCTTAACCAGGTATCCAACTAACACTCTTTGGGTCCTGTCACTAGATCTAACAATTATCCACTGTGCCATGTGTCCTTGAGAACATCTGCGTATGAATTTCTGGGTATTATAAAACTAATGTCCTCAGCAATCATTTTTTACCAGAGCTCATATTGCAATTTTTGGTGTTATTGCTTTTCTCTGGCACTCCTTATTACTGGTTCCCATATTGCATTCATTTCTATGCTTGGTCAGCTCAGGAGATTTTTGTGGCCTAGCATGTGCGCTGATTCCTTAAGTTTACGAATTTTCCAATGATGTTCCATGTCTACGATTTCAACCTGATCCCACAGAGGGTGGTGATTTCCCTTTTCTCTCCATATGTGGTCAGCCATGCCTGATTTTTCCACTTCCCCTTGTGTTACAGCTTTTTGGTGTTCTTGAAGCCTTACCTTAAGGGGGTGGCCAGTTTCTCCTTTATATTCCTTTCCGCAGCTGCACGGGATAGCATACACACAGTCTTTAGTCATGCTCTCCTCTATGGGGGGGGGGTCTTACTTGGGAGAGATATCTGCGAAGTGTCATCAAGCTTTTAAAAGACGTCCTGATGTTATATGGACCGCAGATCCTTTGTATTTTCTCTGATAACCCCTTCACATAAGGCTGGCAGACTTTTCTGAGTGTTATTATCCTCCTCCTCTTGTACCCGCCTATCCCAGTTTTTGGGGGCTGCTGTCATGTACCCAGGGTAGTTGTTACGTTGTAGGGTACTACTTATACTGACCAATTCTTTATCTAACGTCTCTGGATCGCCACTTATGACTTTTGCTTGGTGTTGTAAGCAATGGACGATCCCTTTCTTTACGCTGTATTATTATCTATTGGAATACTGGTCTGTTCTCCTAGAGATGAGTCAGAGACCAATCTGTCTGACTATTGAGAGTGCCTCCTCCGTGGGCACCTTGGTGAACAAATTCACCACATCCAAGCTCACCATCTGGTTGGATAGGATGGGGGCATCTTTGATTATTTCCACAAAGTGGGCAGAGTTTCAGACATATGAAGGTGACTTTCCAATCAATGGGTCAATTATATCTACAAGGAAGTGACTCAGAGGGTGGCACACCGAGCCTTGGCAACTAACAACTGGCCTGAGCGGAATACCATCTTTGTGGATCTTAGAGACAGTATATGTGAGGTAGCTTGGTGTAACACTGCAACAACTGCTTATACATCATAGGTGCGAAGTGATCCTTGTTCTCGATTAGTCAGCTGGTAGTATGATTATGCTTTCAATTCCTCCGTAGGGACCCGATTGCCAGCCTCTCCAGTTTCGTGATGTTTTACTTGGGCAGCTTGGCTTTCTCCAGGGCCCATCTCAGTTCATCTGCCTGTGCCTGAGGGAAGTTAAAGCCCACCTCCTCAATTCTGGCAATGATGTCCAAGTATGGCACTCACCTGATGATTGTAGCAAAGTTGAGACCCTTATTTAATACCGACTCTTCAGAGGCACTCAGCTGATATTGGCTTATGTTGATTACTGCTTTCACAAGTGGGTGATGGACCTTGTGCGTCACCTTCTGATCTTTCAGCCTACCCCAGCAAGCAAAAATAAAGTTCGACATTCCAACCACCTGAAGAAAGCCAGAGTACAACAGCTAAAACGTTGTGATAAATATGACAACAAAGATAAGTATGATAGTTCGAGCAATGTAAATAGTGTACATAATACCTCATCTCAGAAATATAGACAGATACCAATTTCATATTCTAAATGAAGTATATTACACTGATGGCAACTAATAACCAACAGTCGATTAGAGATACATATACAAATATGTAAGCACTTTATCTTATATATGGGGATTACTATATAAAAAATACATTGTAGGTTCACTAGGTACACAAGAAGGACTCTTACAAAGTGTGGAATTGAACAGAAAGAATTTGATTTCCAATAAATTTATGTGAAAAGAGAAGGGTGTAATGAATGACTTGCTCAAACTATTCTTTTGAGCACCTAATGAAAAATCAAATTAGGTTCATGTGAAAGTAGTCCTTACACAGTCAAAGTTAAAAATTGTCCTTATAAAGGGATACAGAGAAACTTCACACGTAGCTGTTAATGTTCTGATCAGACTTCAAGCATGAATTGGTGAATGAACAATTATAGTAGCAGTGAAGAGTATTTGAAGGTTTTTGCCATTTTTTAGTTTTGACATTTTATCTCAAGTTTGGGAGGACGTCATGTTGGAGTTGAAAGCGCTTCTCACTTTCAGCTGAAAATGTTAATTTATGTGCTTGCCAAATGTCTTGACTATCCACTGATGAGCTGTCAATGAATAGTGATTTTCACTGGCCAGGCAACCTTCTTTATATTTAGTCTGGCACACTCACAAAAAAAAAAAAGAGTATATTTTCAAATAATAATGGGTTTCAAATTTCATTCTTGAAAATTGGTGGAAAATAATCCAAAAGAAGTGTTCTCCTTCTCAATAATTCTCCCTAACCCACAGAACATTTGATTTTTATTACCCTGAGCCAAACAGCATCACCACAATCAAGAAAAAGATACCAACTGAAGAAATCATTGGTTAATAATGACTTCACTCTTAGGTAATTGTAAGGAGTGTAGTGTTGTATTTTTTTCACAAATTATTTTATTTATGAAAAGGTTTCATGATTTTTTTAATATTACAAAAGTGTCTTGTTAAAGTATTATTTCAATTATCAGACTTACCCTCCTTGTTTGTGTAAATACCCACTCTTTTCCAATGTTCGAGGCTATAAAAAAAAAAAAAAAAAAAATTTTGAATTTCAGACATCAAGCAGCACTGAATCTTGAATGTCACATTTATCCACATTATTTTTATACTCAAGCAGCAAGATAAAATACAGCTGAATGTGAAATATTGACAATTCCTTTCATTTTAACTCATCAATTAATCTCAATAAATCCCTTTTTAACTTTTATCAATTCAAGACATTCAAACAACAATAAAAATGACACCTTCCAAAGAGACTAATAGACAGAAATCTGCAGACTTTAGAACACTGGTACTTCACTTCTATATTAATGTTCAGTAGTAACAACTGCCAGTTTAAATAACATCTCTCTATGCCAACAAGCAAAAGTAGGTACCTCCACTTTTTCACGGGAAAACAGCATAGCATAATGAAAAAGGCTACAAACTAATATAGTATTATCATCAAAATGCTTACTAAGAAGAAAGACCAAAGTTTTTTTTAATTATTTTTTAATCCTTTCTAAAACATTTGAAATTTTAGTTAAAATCTTGTTTTGTTTACGTCATCACGGTGGCATAATAACATTGACGTTTTTGTGCTTTTTTCCGTTGAAAACACATCGATTTGGAAATTCTTGTAAAAATCAAATAATTGTCTGATTTTAATGAAATTTTAGGACTTATTCACAAATGAATGAAATTTTTTTAATTTTTTACATATACCCCCCCCCCACACACACACACTTAATTTCACAAAACACCTTTCTATTCCTGAATTTTTGTTTTATTCATTATAAGTAGGACTACTTGGAGAATCTAAATCACCTAATCTTTTTCAAACTTGCACTATTCTAACTGGAAATCTGCTCTGAATTGAAAAATAAAAAATGCAATAAAACTATGACATTATTTAATTAGAAAAGCTTTTAATTGCTTTTGTAAATAAGTTATAGTAAGGACATTTTTATCTGAAGAAATACAATTTTTCTGATGAATAATGAATTTTTACAAGAATTTTTTCATTTTATTTTTAATTTTAATAAGTTATAATAGTTTAAAATTGTGTAAAATTCTGTATTAGGCTATTTCCTGGAAGTGATCTAGTAATTAAGTGGAAACAAATTTACGAATCCAAAATTGCAAAGATTAATAAACAGTTACACAATTCTATTTTTAAAATAATTTTTTTTTTTTTTACTTAATTTATTCTCTATTTTCATCTATGAAAGTTTAAACGTGACATTATTATGAAACAATCATGTGATCTAAGAGTCCTGTCTCTTTACAAAGAAATTAATTTAAGAAAATTTTATAGTATTTAAAAAAAATTTTTATTTTTGCATAAAGCATCTTCAAAAGGTAAATAAAAGTTAAATTATTAGATAATTGCTGGAAATATGTTCATTTGTAAAAATTACGAGGTAGTTAAAAAAAAAAAAAAAAAAAAATTTTTTGTAAATTTTGTATCAATTCTATCCAGCCAGCAAGGTCAAATTTACTGTATTGCTAACTGAACGCTCCTCTGTGGCCAAATCGGTAAATACACGTCAAGCTAAATGATGGTTCCATATAGGATACAGGTTTGAATCCTGTCAGAGGACGAATATTTTCTGTGAAAATTTCTTGGACATTCAGGCCGGTAAATGTTGTTTAATACTGTTTATTATAAACAGAGCATTTACTTAAATATTTGTATCTATAAAAAGAATGTATAAACATAAAAATGTCTTAAAATAATTGTCGGACTTTGTCCATTTCATAATGTGTGACATCATATATATTTTTTTTTTTGTTTTTCTGGAAGAATTTTAAAATCAATAAAATTTGTTTTGTTTACAGATTTCTTAAAATTAAGAAAATAGCTGCTTTTAAGAAAATTTTAAGAAGTCAAAATTAAATTTGACATTCAATCTATATAATATTCTATCTGAAATACGCCAGAATATTTTACTTACTGGAAATAATAAATTTAATCATTTAGCTTTCAATTAAAGCTAAAATGAAATCTCCAAGAATGTTTTTCATTTTTTTTAAATTCATTTTAATCTTTAGGTATCGAAACTTTATGCCGAAATAGTGGAGGTACCTAAGCAAAAGCTGGAGGAAACAGAAAAAAGAAAATACAAGGAATAAAGTGGAGATGATGTGGCGGACTATATTATTATTATTACATGCACTTATAATTTGGTGTAGCGAAAAGATTTAATGAAATCATGAAGTAAAAATAAATATAATTTTTATTTTGGCATCATTGAACAGCATATTTACCATCTTCTGTCACTATCTCCTCTCTTCTCCCAGCCAACTTTACAATTCCAACCTTGCAAAACTACTTAGTTTTTTCAACACAAAAACTGCTCTAAGTACCTTTTGTAGTCTTCCAGGGAAATTAATTTTTTTTCATTAAGACAAATATGGCTAAACAGAAGGATAAAAGTTTGATTTCGCTAATCTGACAAATGTTCAGATTAGCATTTATACTCACACCTTATTAAAAATTTAAAGTTTGGCATTTTCTACGAAAATGGATCTACTTAGGTCATCCAGTATATCACCACTGTTATATGTCATTTTTATATCTGTAAGTCTGTCAAATGTGTCAGTATCTCTATTACAATTTTTCTGATACTACTTTGTTTCTGTTAAATTTGGTTTGTGCTGATTTTATTTCAGATTTTTCAGATTTCTAGTTATTCAACATTTCTGTATATTGCCAGTTGTCCTCTTTTGCCATGGAAGCATTTTCCAATGTATTCATTCTATCACTGAGGTATTTTGTTTCTTTTTCTAGTGTCCCTTTCTTGGATTTTATACATCCTGTTGATGAGCAGGTCTTTTGTCCTGTTAGTTCTCTTATTTTTTTTTATGCATATCTGCTTTTTCTGTGATACTCATTTTTTTCTATTTCTGCACATTTTTCATTGAGCCAAATTTCTTTAGCCATCCAGCATTTGTTCCTAATTTATTTGTGAGGAGTCCTATCTTCTGTGACATACCCTCTCTTTATGTGTCCCAATTAGAGTTTCTATTCTCATTGTTAAAAGCAGATACAATGGACAATCAACATATGTTTTCCTTCATATTCAGGAGTCTGTTGTCTTGCAATTTGGGTTCTTCCTTGGTCCTCTTCAATTTCCTTAGTTTCACTCTAAGTTTACATATTACTGGATGGTGGTTGCTTCTACAGTTGCTTGAATATGTAAAACTGCATTCCTGAATTTCTTATTGATAGTTATATAGTATATTTGGTTTTCCATTTCTCCTCCCAGGCTGAAGCCATACATATCTTGGATGTTCATGAAATCAGGTGTTGGCTACTACCATATTATTAAGAGTTCCTAGTCCAAATTTGCCAATTATTTCACCATCTTTCTTCTTGCCTACTTTGGCATTCAGGTTTCCTATGACAAGTGTAATTTCAGCAAATTTAAATTGAGCGTTGGTATTGTCTAGTATACAAAAAAACTTTTCAATTTCATCTTCCATATTTTGTGCTGTTGGTGCATATGTGATAGATATGTTGAAAGGCTTTCTTTCAGCTTAATGACAAGAATTATTTCAGGTAGGTGACAGTATCCCAAGTACATATTTCTTTATGTCTTATTCTAATATCAGTCCTACTCCTTTCATTTTTTTTCTACCAGCATATATGAGGCTGTGTTTGTTACTGACAAAATCTCCATTGTTTCACATAAATCTAGAATATTAACTTTTAACCTGTTCATTTCCTGCTTTATATTTTCTAACTGGCCACATTGATTTAGTGTTATTCCATGTTCTAAGAATTATTTTCTGTTTAATGCAATAGTCACTGGATAACAGTTTAATGACACTTGTTGCAAGGATTTAATTCCAATAAACTTACCCTCCTTCATGCCATTATCTTTCATAATTGCTAAAAGCCATCCCATTAAAATATGTTAATGATACACATGTTTAAAAGATTTTTAGCTTTTAAATGACATTTTGTATTCTTTAATAATTTAATATATAAAAAATGCAACAATAATTTTTGCCATCTATATGTAAATAAAGGACAGTTGTGTGTGTGTCCAGTTAAAACTAAAATACTACAATAATTAATTACAAAAGTAAATATATATCTAGATTCATTATCACCCAAGTCAGCTTTTTTTGTAAAAAAAATTGTATGATTTGTATTTATGAAGATATTTTAGAATTAAAATGCATTAGAATGCATTCAAAATTATCAAAATTAAAAATGAACAGTAATAATTCGTATTCCCAATTATGATTAATGTCCATTTTTACTTTTTAATTCTGCTGCTATTTTCAAAATGCTATAGATGTATGTATTTTTAAAATTTCTAATCTCTTAAATTTATTTTCACATCTATAGTAAATAAAAGCATCACTTTAAAAAAATGAATATTAAAAGTAAATTTAAAAGAATATTAAATACAATTATTTGACAGAAAGTTTAATATTTATTTATTCAAATATTCAAGTGTGCACATCTGTGTGTGTGTGTGTGTGTGTGTGTGTGTCCAGTTAAAGCTAAAAAAAACTACAATAATTAACACGTGTGTGGGTATGTGTTATCAACTTATTAATATTTTTCAGCCATCTTATGGAAAATAATTTTTTATTCAATCTTAAAAAAATAAACTTTGTTTTTTTTGGTTTAAGAAGAAGGACTAATCTCATAATTAGGAACATTTCTTTCTTTCTTTTTCCCTTCATTCTGACCAGTTGCTTCATGTATACTTGTGGGCAAATGGTGACGGTGAATGTACAGACAAACCTCTCATCTATGCCCCCCGCCCTTGGACATCAAGGCAAAATAAAAAAAATCTGCAGGAAAAAAAAAAAAAACTTCCAAATCATCAGCAATGTATTTCAAATTTTGCAAAACAAGTCGTATCAGTTCTCAAAGTGACAACTTGGTGGAAGTAGCAAGCCTTTCAATTGTAAACAAAGATGAATGTATGAGAAAATAACCATGAGAAATCTATTACTTTTGTTATTTTGATTAATATATTAATTGTTCTGCACTCATCATAGCATTGCAGGAGACGGAAAGTGTAAAAAGGAAGTGTACAAATCTAAGTATCAGTGACAAATTAGAGCTTCTTCCATCTACAGACAATCGGCTTTAACAGACTGCCCCTCTCCACTATTAGTCCATTGACGAGAGTGTTATCTGAATTTTTAAAATTTCTATTCTCTTGAATTTATATCCATATCTATAGTAAATAAAAGTAACTTTAAAAAAATGAATATTAAAGCAACAAAGTAAATTTATAAAGAAGAATATTAAATACAATTTGAAAAAAAAATTTGAATATTTATTCAAATATTCAAGTGTCTCTTTTCTCTTTGAATATTGTATATTTTGAGCTATAAAATTTTATCAGTACATGCAATATATATCTTTATATTAATTATCTTTGCATGCATTTTTAAAAGGCCATAAATTGGTGTATATTTGGATTAAGGACATTATCCGAAGATAGCCAACTATAAACAAGTAAAACCCTACTTTGGTGGCTTCCACACAAGGACCTTGAAAAAATAGACTCAGTATCAGCCTAAAGGGCAGATGTCTGTTTGCGTATTATTTATTTTTTGGCCATCTTATGGAAAATAATTTTTTTATTCAATCTTTAAAAAATGAACTTTTTTTTTTGGTTTTAACTAACATAAAAATGTAAATAATTTCTAAATTAAGTTTTATTAAAGCAAAAAGCTATAGTGAGCCTTATTTTTTTTCAAAAATTAATTTAAATAAAATATAGTTAAATTCATAAAACAAATATTCAACATGACTAATGTTGACCATAAGTCGTGTCTGTCTCTGCTAATTTCTATTTAACTAAAGTATTTTTTAAAATTTAAAGATAATTGCTTTTTAAAATTAAATTCTCAATGTATCTTGCTTCTACTCTTTCAAAATAATAATTAAATTCATTTACAGAGAAATATTTGCTTCTTTAATATTTAAAAGTAAAACTTTATTTACTTTAAAAAAGCTAAATTCCTCTCTAAAACAAATAATAAATAATTATTTTTCAAAGAGTGTAAGGGTCGCTTAGTTTTTGCTAGAGAAAAAAAAATGATTAAATTAAATGTTTAAATATCTTAATTTTATTTTTTTATTAATAATTTGAAAAAAAAGGTTAATGAATTTTTATCTATGATTTGTTTGAAAACAACATTAACAGAGTATTTATGTTAGCATTTAAATCAAAAAAATAAAGTGTCTTATATGAGGATGCTCAGCCCCCTAAGCCCCCCACCCCCATCAAGTGTGGTATTGGTATCGTGCTATTTTCCAACAAAAAAAATAATTGAATAAAAAATTATTTTCATAAAATGGCTGAAAAATATCAATAAATTGTCAATAATAAACTATTATTCATAGATCTGAGCAACACAGTGTATCCCCACTAGTAAACTTATAATTTCTGAGTTCAAGGAAGAACCATAGTATGGTAATATTTGTTGAGTCTGGCATATATGGATGGTTTTCTCAAACTAGCTGTTGTCTGTTACTGTCTATAATTTGATTTACATATTTAATACTGGTTATAAATAACTATAGTAATACTAAATCCAAATTTACATATTCAAATTGATAAGCAAATATTGCAACTTATGTTTTGCGATATTTTTCCTATAATAATTATGTAAGCAAGAATAAATAAAAAAAACATCTTGCAGCATTATCTCCACAGAAAGTTACAAATGCACAATACTAAAAGTCACTTTATTGTATTCTCATAATCCACAATATGTACTTATTAGTTTTCTTCACTATTCATTACTTTGACTAATTATACTGAAATAGTAACCACATTACTGAGAAATTATCTAGTTAATGGAAACAAGTGAGAAGTCATCTAATATATTAGTGTCATGTAACAAAATTCAAAAGAAATTGTAATCACAATACATAATTGCTTTTTTAAAATACAAAGAAATTTGCCTACAGGTGTAGGTGTATAAAAAGGATTAAATACTTTATATCTCCCTTAATCCTCTTCCTGGTTACATACTTGAGATTTATTATCTGAATGTTTAAATGTACAAGTGACACAGACTTGAAAAATATGACATACAAATTAATAAATATAACAGTAATGATCCTAAGTTATGACAATACTTATTAAATCTTTCTTAAAGTACAAATTCCCATAAGCAGATTTTTAAGAATTCATTTTGTTCTTAAATATTAAAAACTATGACTGACAAATATCAATACAAAAATATGAATATAACAAATATGATAGTTGATATAGCAAAGGGAGTGAATAGGGATTGACTGTGAGAGAAGAAATGGTAGTAGCAAATAACAAAAATATCATCTCCCAAATAGGATCTGGCCAAAGCAATAAATTGGAGGCTAAGCAGGATATGCCTCTGATTGATCAAATGACCAAATTTTCAAGACACAATCAACTGATGAGTACACATAATTTGACAAGACAAAGAAAAAGATGCACTCCAGATCAATAAGATCAGTCATGGTTAAGAAGAAAGGATGTTATGTTGAAGCATGCATCTTATAACAGCAGAACTCACAGAAAGAGAGAATGTTCAATGGATTGTTGTTCTATAAACTTCTGGGGGGGGGGGAGATGTTTCTTACATTTCATAAATTAACACTGTTTGATAAAATTATGGAATCACCAGATTTAGCAGATATTCAATTACTTTTTAGTTCAAAACAAAAAGTATTACAGATTTGCCAAAAAAATTAATGTTTAATAACTAAAAATTCTAGCTTTATGAAATATCCCTAAAAAAAAATAAATAAAATCAATATGGTTCCCTATGACTTATGGCTCCATCCAAAACTAAAAAATATTATCATTGAAATGGAAATTTCAGATTGTGGATGAGATTAAATAGAACGTGATATGACAGTTGATGGCAATCCTGAAAGAAGACTTTGCAGGTTATTTTGAAAACTGGAAACCTTGAAAAAGATTAAGGTGCCACTGCCCTAAGTAGGCTACTTCTTCATTTCCAAATCAAAATTTATTGTCTATTTAGACAGTAAATGTTCTTTAAGGAAAATACTATTAAAAACATTTTGTGCCAATTAATTTTAATGATCAACTTTTCCAAGAGGAAATTGTCACTAATTGTACAAAGTTCATTTCAGAAGAAAAATACAAGAATATAATACATAAGATTTATTATTTACTATAAAAATTCAAAACTAATAACTTAGTTATTAAAAATAATATATTCCAATTTTCTAACCTCCTACAAAAGACCAATGTTCTGTTTGAATATACTTGCCCACTCTGAGAATGTTTTTCTGTAAATAAAAAATGCAAAACATCTGACATAGGATATATTACAACCACACTATCATAGAAACTCAACTACTACTTATTGAACCATAGTGTCATGTGACAACATATTAATAAGCAGCATTAAGATCAGAGTAACATAATACCAAAATACTAGCAAACTCAAATAGTAAAAACAGACTTATGATTCTTGAAGCAATGCTCATACAACAAAAACAACCATCAATAAATAAAAACAATTATAACTGAAGAGATCACAACACACTTACCTTATGTCACAACACTACAAAAACTCACCAATTGTCTCTACCTACCCTGATGATGACTTAAGTTTGGAAAGTTGAAAGCTTGGACCATATTTTTTGTACTTTTTTCCTGAAACAAACTTCAGACAATTTCTGACAGAACTTTCTCGTTATCTGAGGAGGATTATTCATAACTTGGAAAAGTCAATCACTAAAATTAAACACAATATGTGTTTTGATTTTAATAGTATTTGTCTTATAATTAGCATGAAAAACATTTTCTATTTAAAAAAAAAAAAAAAAAAAAAAAAAAATCAAGAAAATACTACTTTAATATCAAGCAACAATATTTACAGATTGTATTCCAGAAGTAATCTTTGCTCCTGTAGTGTTGATCGATGCTGGAGAACATGGTAAACTATTGGCATTTCCTTCACTGCTCTCTCCATCATCTGAAATTGACAGAAATATCAAGTATTGTAATTTTAAAAACTTGTGTTAAAATATGCAAAAATATTTTTATAATTAAAAGAATTATATATATCTTGTACAACTGTGATTGTGAAAAAAAAAAAAAAAAAATCCATGTAAGATCCAGGGCCTTCTGGAAATTATTATTGTAGGTACCTCCAATCTCTATATATCAAGTCTCTTAGAACATTATCTTCTCAAATGAATTTAGAAACCAAATTTTCTAATTACTGCTTCAAGATATTATTAAAAATAGTATACCTAATATAAAGCACTAAATAAATAAAATGAAAAATGTAATGAAGTACACAAGCCTGGAATAAATCCTGGGAATCATACATTCTGAACTAGAAAAACCAGTACTTTGCTGCAATTTTTGCTCTTGACAGGATCTTTTTTTTTTTTTTTTTTTACAGTGAGGTTCACCTTTTATAAGACCCAGGAGACACTTGGGATGGAGTTAGAGAGTAAGGTGCACAGTATATGCAGATAGGTGGGAAAGATAATGGTTAACCCTAGACTTGAACAAGTTAAGATTGTAGTGAACGGGGAAGCATCTTCTTGGTCAGTTCTACAAAGTAGCGGTTTGTGAAAAGAAACTGCTCAAATAGAACTCACCAATTGAATGTGAAGGGAAAGAGGGTGGTTCACTACAATGTGTGTGGTTTGGTGGGACTTAGCAGTGAAGGTTAGAACTGGTGGAACTAAGGTATGTAGTTCATCTGAACAGTTTTTATAGAAAATAGCAATAGAGCAGTGAAAGGCTAACTATATCTCGTCTGTGTGAAAGAGAGATTGCATGGTGGTAAATAATTTATCAGCCACAAGGATATGGAGACACTTTTGAACTGTTGAGACTAGAAAGTGAAGACTGGGCAGCTCCTGAATAAATATGACAGCAGTACTCCATTTTAGGCCTGATCTGGCTCTTGTAAATGTAGAGAATAGCACAAGAAGCAAGTACTTGCTGGAATGATACAGGGAATTGACCAATTGGCCTGCATCTTTAGCAATTAATCATATGCAAAAGTTCCACTTGAGGTCTGGGTCAAGTTTGAGGCCCAATAGTCGCTCAGGACATGGTGCCTCCCTGAAGGAAGATTCATCATGACTGGTGGCTGTTCAGGATCTGATTGGCATTGATGGAGTGTAACTAGTTTGGTTTTCGAGGCATTGAATGCAACCAGCCAGTTTTCCCCCCATTGAGATGTGAGAACTAGATTGCAAGAGAGATCAGCTGCAAATCTCTAATCATGAGTTTTGAAGGTGCATGCATATCATTGTATCATCAGCATAGATATTCACAAATGATCAGATTATACTCTTAAGCAGATCGTTTAGGTAAAGTTAAAAGAGGGTTGCTCCAAGAAATGACCTCTGGGGGGATGCCTGCATTGACTGCAAGGTCCCTGGAGGACTGACCATTAACAATTACCTTCAGAGACCTACCTGTCAGGAAGGACTTTATTACTGAGACTTCCAGTAATCCCATACCTAGAGAGCTTGAGTAGCAGCCCTTTGTGCCACACCTTCTCAAAGGCTTTTGAAATATCTAATGCTATGCTCTTTGAGGTGTATGTATTGTCTAGTGACTCACTAATTTTGTGAGTAATGGTAGTTAGAACATCAGCAGTGGATTGGGCCAATCAAAACCCATACTGTTTGCCACTCAAGAGACTGTGCTTATTTAAATACTCAAGAACTTTATTGATTATAGCCTCAAAATGCTTGCTAATGACACTGAGGAGACTGATGGGTCTATACTGGGAGAGGGATGCACATTCATCCGGGATTTTGTCTGGGCTAGTGGCTTTCTTAAAGTCAAGACTTTTGATAAGTCTTGAGACTTCCTGGCTTGTAATAAAAATACTACTGAGATTGTGAGATGGGGAAGTCAGAAGGGGTATTCTAATGTCAAGTTGGTGGAAAAGATTGAGGTGAAGAGCTGCACCTGATTTGTCAAATTTGTTTTATAACAGTGGGCACAGCCACTTTACCTATTCATAATTTGTTTGGTGGACTTCCAAAACTCTCAGGATCCAATTTGTTTGTTTTTAGCCTTCGGCTGGACTGCTTTGCATTTTCCAGAACTTTCTTGCAGTGATTATGGGCAATTCTGAATGCAGTAAGAGTCAAACTACACTGCTACTTACAACAGATATTGAAGTAATAGATATGGTGAGATATGGCTGCAGCACATTCAGATGCGAACCAGGGCTGGCTGGTTTTCAATGGAATTTTTGGAGGAATATAAAATTCTCCATTCCAGAAAGGATCCTTCAGCAGTTTTGAAGGCAGTATGTTTGAAGAACGTTGCGAAAGCAGCTTTCACCAAATACTGATCAAAGCAGGCAATAAGGATTAATTATATAAATGAATTCTACTCTTGTTCATTATAACTTCCTGATTAAGTTAAAAGAAATGAAATTCAAAAGCAATAACTGGTAAATTTAGTTTAATTACGAAATCAAAATCTGGTTTTTCATGTAAAAATGAATTCAAGTTTTACTGGTTTTTCAAATTATTTAAAACAAGTTTTGTACTAATACAAAATAACACAATCTTATTTGTGGCATTTTCCACATTCCTTTCTGAAGTGCTCAAGTTGGAAGCCATTAAGTACTGTGTTGAACTGATTTTAAAGCCATGCAGGATTTTAATTTAAAATTTTACATGATCAAAATCACAAAACCTGTAACCCTTAGTGTGGTAGGGACACTACATGTACTGTTGTTGCAATAGCAATTTTGTTCCCTGACAGAGCTTCAGGCTGGTTTTGAATTCAGTGTTTATTTGAGTTTTTTTTTTTTTTTTTTCCTTCACCTCAACTGGTTTCCACACAAGGTTATGGGACCTGCTATTTACACACAGCTAGGGAAGAGAAGAGATGGTATTAGCACGCAAGAGAAATGTAATGAACTTGCCTGGAATTTAAACTCGGCTCTCCGATTCTGCAATTTTACCCCCTATCCATTACTCCATGCCTAGATAGTACTTCTTCCTATCTTGGGTAGGAGGTACATGTAGTAAGTAATAATATTCTTTTAAGAAAGATTTTGCTTTCATTCTGGAAAGCTTTCATATTAATTAATAATTTTTAAAAAATTCTACACTTTTACAAAATGGAAATTAAGAAAATAAAAAGGTAGGTATCTTGAAACAAATTAATATATCCACAATTTACAGTATAAGCATCTTTAGACAGTTCATATATGACTGTTAAACCATGTATAAATTTATTATACTATTTTACCAATAGAACTGGCACCAAGCACACAATCCCAGCAGACAAAACTTGTTGACAAACTGTCATCACTGTGTATACAACACAAATAATTTTCAAAATTCAGGAAAGGCTCTTACCACTTTGAAATAATCATTATGCTTCTTAAATATAGCTTACTTTTGGTAGATTTTTCCATCCTACTGAGAGATTATAGGCCACTGTCAATTTTAGTTTCATTCCGTGGACATAAAATTTATATGAAAAAATTTTACTTGATTTCGGAAGTTTCGATGCCATAGAGTCTAAATCTAAAGTTCTCCAGGTGAGAATTGCACATTTTTTTATAAATTGCATTTTAAATTGAATATTTTATCGGTAAATTTGAGCATAAAAATAAATTAGGGGAGGTAATAATTGAGTAAATATGACATTCCTTAGGCTAGTAGTTATCTCCCTTAAATTCAAAAATTTTAAAATACGGCGAAAATGAATTCCCCGAATATTTGTGCAATACATTTTGATGGTGATGAAAACAATAGGTACAATTTGTATCATGCTAGCATGTATTTAAGAAATCAGTTTATTTCTGTGGAATCACCAATATCTTGGCCTCCTAAGAGCAATAGTGTAACTACAGAATGTGCTATGAAGATAATTCCTGTAGAACTTTTTAATGCTTTGGCATTGATGTGTGGTCTTTCTGATGAAGTTGAAATGAAAAATAGATTTATTACTGTGTCTGAGAAAGATAAGAGAAAGCTACTTGCCATAGCACAAGATATTCTGAACCTTTCTCACAAAGGAAATTTGTTTTTACCAAAGCATTATGCACTGGGAATGGCTGTTCGACACTGGACTGGTCAGTCAAAACTTATAGTCATTTTAAATGGGTTTGGGCACTCTATAAGCCACAGCACAACTCTAGAACTGGATATGGCTTTGGCTGAACAACAACTATCAAAAAGTAACATTCCAGAGAGTTTTAAAAAGAAACCTTTTACACATTTAGCCTGGGATAATAATGACTTTGGAGAAGAAATTCTGAGTGGTAAGGGAACAACCCATAATACAAATGGGATCATAGTGCAGCAGCTAACTTCTGATCACTTATCACATATTGAAGATGTCGCAATAGAAAAAGACCAGCCCCAAATGATCAGGAGTAAGAAGCGCAGTGTGATGCTAAATGAAACACCCATACCAGAATATTATGTGGCAAAAAAAGTAGGCCCTTTCCTACCTTCAGTTTCAATTGACAGCATTCAAAATGCTTTATTTAAATCATTTTGTGAGACCAAAACAAGCATTACTGATTTGGCTATGACCATGATCAATATGCACTGTGAAAGTGACAACCAAAACACTACTCCAATTCCAGGTTGGACAGGTTTCAATATTCTTTTATTACAGGACCAAATACCACCAAAAAGCAATATTGGATATTTGCCTGTGGTCAATGGTAACCCAACTCAACTAAGTACTGTGAATGCAGTATTTTTGAAAAGTCTTGCTATTGCTGATGAGCTTGAAACTGAATGTATTGTATTAACATTTGATCTTGCATTTTATGCTAAAGCACAGCAAGTATGTTGGAATGATACCATGTCTTGTATGCAAAAAACAGTTGTCAGACTTGGTGAGTTCCACATCTGGATGTTGTTTCTCAGTGTCATTGGAAAGCGCTTTGAAGATTCGGGGCTAGCTGATGTCCTACTTGAAGCTGGAACAGCGGCACAAGGATCACTACCTGGAGTC